GGACTTGGATAACATGGTAATTTCGATTCACCTCGAAGTGCACTTCATCTGAAGTCAACGAATTCTCACGTTTTCGAAGCGAAGCGAAGTACTTGACTGAAGTCACTATAACTGGCTGTGTATTAAGGTTTAAAAGCTTATGTATAGCTGTGCTCCATTTACTTTTGCCCACGCCTTGTGGCAGGCCGTCTCATCCTCACAGTTGCCGAGGAAGCTTTACCATTTGAAGTCGACTTCCGTCGGGTATTGTTGTTTTCTGGTACATTGGTCGCATGGACTTCAACTCAAGCAGTGACCTCACGACAAAGCTACTCAAGCAAACGGAGATATGCGCATAGCTCGAAGGCTTTCAGCCACGGACAGGAAACGTTGCTAGGAGATCCTGAACTCACAGAATAGGGCAATGAATAAACTCAATGATTCACAGATTAGCATCTGCAATGCCTGACATAGCACATTTTGGATCCGACCAGTGCGCTCAGAGTCAGTGGTAACCAAATGGAATAGCGACTTGATGGACTATAGTAGTCTAGTAGTATGGGAGTTCCGATCTTACTGGTGCAACGGCTGCAGCATAGCCCCGACGTACTAGTAGTCAATGCAGGTATGCGTTTCACACTTTTAGTTGCTCTGATTGACTTGCGGTAGATAAGACTGCGACCTGTGCGGTGTGTGCTACGACGCATCTGTCGGCCTATCACCGCTAGTGCAAGGTACCGCAATCACACCGCAGGCAATCTAATTCTGGCATAGAGGTATATAAGTCCAAGGAAGTTGGTACTCAAAATTGCAACATCCTAGACATCTTCTCTTTTCTGACCATCTTTCTATTTTAGAATTCAGACATCTCGTAATGGCACCCGTCGCAGTCACCCCCACTGAATTCCTTACATCCATTGTTTCTCCACAACCCAACACTCTCCATGACGTCATCACTCAAGCTGTCAACCGTTATCCATCGCATGAGCTTGGTTTCATAACCTCCTCTGCACATGACTCTTCCATTCAGACAAAGACCTTCAGCGCTTTCAACCAATATGTTCGCAACCTTGGACGTGCCATGCTCGAGTGGGGCAAACCCACAGGCTCCATCGTCGTCGTCTATCTGACGGAGCATGAAGATAATATGGCTGCTGTATGGGCATGTCTGCTGGCCGGATATGTGCCCTGCTTGCAGCCTGCACTCAGCGCACAACAGGCGCACAAGGAGGGCCATGTCGCCCACATTAAGAACTTGTTTGGGTCTGCTACTTGGCTGACCAACGAGGTTGGGGCCGAACAGATCAGCACCATTTCTGGTCTGGATATTCACCTACTCTCCGAATTAAAGGCATCAGCGGAGACATTTGACGTCTCAGCTGACTGGGTTGCGTACGAGGCAAAGCCGGACGACGAGGCGATCCTGTTCTTGACCTCGGGGTCGACTGGATTCTCCAAGGCTGTCGTTCACACGCACCGCACTATTCTGGCCGCATGCCATGCCAAGGGGCACAGCTACGGCCTGACTTCCGAATCTCAAGTCTTGAACTGTAAGGCGCACGTGGTTTAAACATCAGTGTGATATTGATCGTGATTTCAGGGGTCGGATTTGACCACGTCGCGGGATCGTTAGAAATGCACATCACACCTCTGTTGTATGGCGCTTCGCAACTCCACGTGCACGCATCTGCTATCCTCGCTGATCCCCTTCGGCTTCTCCGTCTGATCGACGAAAAGGTACGTCAGCATGATATCATAGTCACACGCATCTCTCATCACTCAATTGTTAGTCGATCGAACTGACGTTTGCCCCGAACTTCCTGCTATCTAAACTGACACGTGATCTGGAGAAGCGCGTCGACCTTTTCGGAACGTTCGACCTGTCTTCCATCAAGCGGATTAACAGCGGCGGCGAGGCTGTTGTTTCCAAGACAGCCCAAGCGTTCGCTGCTACCATGAAGCAGCTCAGCAAGAACCCCTCCGCTGTATCGTTCGTCATCTCTCCTGGATTTGGAATGACAGAAACTTGGTGAGACACATTTAACCATCTGGTGATGTAAATAAACTGATGGGGTTTCTGCAGCGCTGGATGCATTTACGAGCCCGTGGATGTCCTCGCAAAGGAGCCTGCTCACGAGTTCCTCGATCTCGGGAGACCCATCGATGGTTGCGAGATGCGCATCGTGGACCCCGCAGATGGGGCCACCCTGCGCCATGACGGAGAGAGCGGCGAGCTCCAGGTTCGCGGACCGATGGTCTTCGTACGATACTACAACAACGCAGAGGCCACGTCCTCCAGCTTCGTCGAGGGCGGCTGGTACCGCACCGGCGATGTCGGCATCATCGAGAATGGCGTCATGCGGCTCAGCGGTCGTATCAAAGACACCGTCATCGTCCACGGTGTCTCGTATGGTATCCCTGAGCTCGAGACACACCTCCAGACGGTGGAAGGGGTGACGCACTCGTTCCTCGCCGCTGCTCCGTACCGTGCTCCTGGTCAGGAGACGGAAGGGTTCGTCATTTTCTACTCGCCAACATTCGACCTCGAAGGAGCGGATGCCTCCACAAAGCTCTTCGCCACTCACCGTGCCCTTCGGGATATCTGCGTGAAGATGATCACGCTGCCGCCTCAGTTCGTCGTTCCGATCCCCGTGAACCAGATGGAGAAGACGACTCTGGGTAAATTGTCTCGTGCGCGTTTGATCAGTCTTTTCAAGCAAGGTCAGCTCGCGAAGCACATAACTCGCTCGGAGGAGCTTCTGAGCGAGGCACGCGGCGCTACGTTCGTCGCCCCGTCCTCTGAGACGGAGAAGGCGCTTGCCCAAATCTATGCTGGCATCTTCAACCTCGCGGAAAGCGAGATGTCGGCGAGCGACAACTTCTTCGAACTCGGAGGCACTTCCATTGATGTCATCAGGTCAGTATATCCGTCCCGCCCTAAAATGACTTGGACTAATACATATCGTCTCCAGGCTCAAGCGCGAGGGAGAAGCACATTTCGGGCTTCCTGAAATCCCCACCATTCAAATTCTCAAGCACCCCGTTATCTCGAGCCTGGCCAGCTACGTCGACTCCCTGGTCTCAAAGGACAGCCAGACCGAAGAGTACGACCCCATCGTTCCCCTCCAGCTGACCGGAAACAAAACTCCGATCTTCTTCGTCCACCCCGGTGTCGGAGAGGTTCTCATTTTCGTCAATCTCGCGAAATACTTCCAGAACGAGCGTCCCTTCTACGCTCTCCGTGCTCGCGGCTTCGAGCCCGGCCACCCCTTCTTCACCTCCATGGACGAGATGGTGTCGTGCTATGCGGCAGCAGTGAAGAGGACGCAGGCGAAGGGACCATACGCCATCGCGGGCTACAGTTACGGTGGGGTCGTCGCGTTTGAGGTTGCCAAGCGGCTCGAGGCCATGGGCGACGAAGTGAAATTCGTCGGTCTGATCAACATTCCTCCTCATATCGCCGACCGCATGCACGAGATCGACTGGACTGGCGGCATGCTCAACTTGTCGTACTTCCTCGGTCTCGTGTCGAAGCACGATGCCAATGATCTCGCGCCTGCTTTGAGATCGATGACGAGGAAGGAGCAGCTGGAGGTTGTGTGGAAGCTGTCTCCGCCTGAGCGTCTCGTCGAGCTGCAGCTGACGGCTGAGAAGCTCGACCACTGGGTGGACATCGCCGGGTCGCTGATCGAGTGCGGGAAGGAATACAACCCATCAGGCTCAGTTTGTAAGTCATTTTTTTTCTAATTTTATCATCACTTGCTCATATTCTGGGTCTCTTCAGCCGCGGTTGATGTTTTCTACGCCATCCCTCTCCGGGGCAGCAAGTCAGACTGGCTGAACAACCAGCTCAAGCCATGGTCTGGCTTCAGCCGTGGCGAGCCATCATATACTGATGTTCCTGGGCAACACTACACGCTGATGGACTTTGACCATGTTCCGCAGTTCCAGAAGATATTCCGCGGTCGTCTCGAGGCTCGTGGCCTATAAAAATATACAGTGGTCTATTATTTTTTATACCTGACATTCGCAAGTATCTATTTAACTACTTATAATAGTTGGTACGTCGTCATGCATCTATTGTTGTCTTATGACACAAGCATATTAGAAATCATTCTTTGCATTTTCTCATGATACTTATAGTGCTTGTTAACTTGAGCCCAACGTTGGGAGTGACATGAAACACCACTCTACTACGACCTCTTGGTGTTGCGATCAATATGAATCTGAATCTGATGGATGTGCCTTGGGTCACACACCATCACGTGCCGTAAAGCTGAATTCTTCAATTCACTCACTGACTTAGTTTTCTCACACTTCAGCCATCGGTGTACTTAAATTCATATTTCCAAGCACCCTACACCATGATCATATACATGGGGTTTTATGTTAACAAATTTGCAGATCCTCACGCATTTGAAATTGCCTCTTGATGACTTAGAGTGAGCCACCAATGGTAGCCACTTTCAGTCCTCGCCCTCGTCCACCAGCCGGGCCTGAAAAACATTCGAGGCTTGGTTATAACTTTTCTGTTGATTTTGTCTGCTACTTAATTAATGCTTATAGAATGACTTGATTTGTTTTGAAATTTCGTGATTTTGAGATCAAGTAGTGTTTAAGACGACTTTAAGCGCTAGCCAAGCAGCGGCTCAACACCATTGAGCTTAGCGTGTCTTAATTACACTCCCGACGGACTAAGCCATTCAAGCTCCATCAAGCCGAATTTAAACAAATTGGGGTTTTCCTGATGTCCTTGGGCGTGGCTATGACTGGATGCTACATGCAAAGTCGTCAGAATGCTTTAATCAACAAGGTGGGAGGACGCACGGAATTGATCATATGCCAATATGCACGAACACTATGCGCTGGTCCAAGGGCATTATGATGTCCTCGTCACAAGCTAACGACTGGACTGCTCGGTGCAGCGCCCAGGCAGCTCGTTTGGGATTCATTGGGCCATCCCCACATAAGTTTTTGTAGAATGCCTTGACTAAGTGCTGCACGGTACTATCGGTGACCTTCTACATTGTCCCCACGACGCTGTTAACCCCGGCAAATTGCAGGCCAGCCACTAGGTGTCTCACTTCGTCCGGCGTATGAAAGTCACCGACTGCGGTCTCACAGGCTGAAAGAAACGCAAATTCATGGCGAGACAGATCCGTTTGCGTGATATCGAGGAGCGAAAGCGGCTGATCGCGCATAAGAAAGGCTGACTTGAAGGGTTCGTCAAATCTCTGTGTCCCGTGACAAGCGAGATGGAACCAAGTATTGTCCCGCAACGCACACAGCGCTCTTGATTTCGTGGCATCAACGCTGGTGACCTTGGAGAAGGAAACAGTAGGGGGATGGGGCAAAAGTTCCCGCACCAACTCCAGCTCAGGCTCCACAGCATCCAAAGTGAATGAGGCACCGGCTGGGAAATCCTGACCAATGGCCACGAAGGGCACCGACAAGGACCTGTCATGACTTCTGCGAGCCTTGATCAGCGCGGTGAGCGATGGCGTGTATGAAGAGATATACTGCTGCGAAAGGGACTTTCCCTTCGGCCTGTACTCGCCAGCAGCATGTAACGGCAAGAAATTGAAGAGAGACGTCGGGCACCACCATATTCGGGAACCTCGTCGTGCGATTCCACCCAGACTTTCGACCACCGGGCCGACCACACCGTCCCACAGCTCTCTCAAAGCTTTTATCAGCGCTGTTTGGTTCCCTTTAGGACCGGCCTCTTTTTGAACTGCCTCTCGGAGTGTTGGTACTAATTTGACGAGTTTCTGCCAATCGGTAGGGAGTTGAATGCTAGTCGGAGGTTGCTTATGCGGGATGATAATGGCGTGGCACGACGACCTGCTTGCGATGAGCACGATAACAGGCCCATCACGAGCTGCATCTTGAAGATCAGAGAATAAGGGGGGGAGGAGGAAGCGGGAGAAGCTTTCGATCTTCCGGATCTCTTCTACAGCTCTATTCCACTCCTCTACTAGACGTCTGTAACGGGTTTCCTCTGCTTCTATATCGACTCTTGAGTTTCCTTCTGAATAGTTTGCAGGAGGTTTATCGAGGAGGGAGCTGGGGTCTCTGAATCTCTTCATCAGGGCTACTGCATGATCGCCGCGAGTCTGAAGGCTGTCAAGAGGGGTGCGTAGTCGTGTCATCTGGGTCCAGATGATAGTCCTGCCTTGTTCCAACAACTCGACAGCGCGACACAAATCACCACTGCGAAGAGCACAGCATGCAGCATCAACGGCAAGTGTACTTGGGAAGTCCTTCATGATATTGTGACGAGACGATACTGAAGATGTTGTAGACATATACGCGTCCAGAAGTTGCATGGAAGTTGCATATGCCGCCAGTTCAGTGGGATGTGAATATCGAGAAGCTTCACGAACCCAGAACAGACTTGTTTGCAGGCGGGATCGCAAGCCTCCAGAGACAATATTTGCTGCTGCTCTGAAATGATGCATGGCAGCATTCAGACTATCAGTATCTTCACCTGCGCTGGTATCGCCAAGGCTTGAACGATAGAACGACAAACAAACTCTAGCTAGCGACCTATGGACTAGTAATTGACGAGGATCATGTTGCATCATCAGAGCCAATGCACAGCATAGGTTCTCGTGACTCTTCGAGGTCTTCTCTATTGTGTTGGTGGTGAAAGCGGGCGGAGAGTTGATTGGCGAGGTTTTTTAATGACATGGACCGATCTGTGTGACCGACCGGGCGCAAAGCCAGCGCTTCCCTGTAAAGTGCGATAGCCTGATCCAAGTCTTCGTCGTTGCCTCGGTGCTTAAAGCGAAAGGAAAGTTGAGCTGCAAGGTTATTTAATGCCGTGGACCGATTTGCGTGACCGACCGAGAGCAAGGCCAGCGCTTCTCTGTGAAGTGCGATAGCCTGATCCAAGTCTTCGTCGTTGCCTCTGTGCTCAAAGCGGGAAGAGAGTTGATTTGCGAGGTTATTTAATGACGTGGACCGATGTGTGTGACCGACCGGGTGCAAGGCCAGCGCTTCCATCTGGAGTGTGATGGCCTGATCCAAGTCTTTGCCATTGCCTCGACGCTCGAAGCGAGTTTGCAGCATCACAGCCAGATTACATAGCAATTGGCCTCGGTAAGTATGTCCGGCATTGTTGCATCGTAATGAAGGGATATCACTTCATCTAAGGCAAGGGGCTCATTTCTCTCCAAACACCGCTGTGCTCGATGAAGAAGCTAATTTGGCGATAACGGAAGTATGGGTGCGGCAAGCCGCTCCTGCTGAAGATCATTTGCACCCATGCTTCCAGCAGAATGCAGAGCGATTGTTTCTATTGCAATCAAAGCTGCTCTGTAAATGTGACTGTTGGCGTGACAGACTGGCACATACTGTTGATCACCTGACCTTCCCAATAGGTAAGCCTTACTATGCTGAGCTATCATGTGTATGGTTCAGTATTACTGTAGAGATACGCACTTAGCTTCGATATTATCTGGGTGTGACCAACTGAACCTTAGCTTCGAAGATTCGAAGACGGGTGTGACCTGTGACATGTCAGCAATAGCTTCGAATCAGCACCACTACCAGCTGCTGTCAGCAAGAGCTCACAGTTGATGGCGATGAAGAGAATTTTGGTCATGTAAAGCGAGATGCATGGCAAATACTCAGTACAAGAATTTTTGGGAATATTTTTGCATTTTTTTTCATGTTTTACCATGTGTCACAATTTACCTTCGACGAATTCAATTTTGTGTGATGGTCACACGAAATAGCTTCGATTCGTCGGACGTGTGACGCTGTGACGAAGCTAAGTGCGTATCTCTACAGTATTTGGCTTAGTTGCAATAATCCTCAACACCGGCATTAAATCATGTACTAAATCATCTAATACCTTCAGGTATTCTACAGTAGGCAGCTCGGCAACAACACCTTTGGCAGCAAAGGTGCGCATTTCCCCGTAGCGGGGTTCTCACACCCCTTGCTCTTGCTCACTGTCATTGCCAGTGCCCTCCCATCCTCACTGTCCTAGGCTCGGCAAAGGTGCGCATTTCCCCCATAGTGGGGTTCTCACACCCCTTGCTCTTGCTCACTGTCATTGTCAGTATTCTCCCGTCCTCACTGTCCTGGGGCTTCCATCTCGGCCTTCTCAGCCTCTCTGGACACCATCCCCGACCTCTTCTTGCGCTGCTGCCATTGCCATCCTGCGCTCCCAGCCTCTGGCATCTCCTCAGCCATCTACATCCTCTGTTTTTCATCATCCACAGCAGCATATTCCTCTGTAGCATCTCTCTGGTTCCTCCAACATTGTACCTGATGCTCTTGTGGGCTGTTATGGCACATGGATCTTCCAGGAAAATTACAGGGCTCTCAAAGGCCATAATCTCACATGGATTCCAGCGCTCTACTCGAGCTTCTGAGGTACTCACAGCAGGGAAACAGCAACAGCAAAGGAATGCGACTGATGCAAAGTGCCGATCACACGTCCAGGGTGCGAGGCCTATGTCTAACTCTTACATTCTCCTGAATTGTGTTTGTAGAAATGACTAGCAAAGATCGGGATCTTGTTGAGAGTATGATGGCTGATACTAACATTGACATAGATGATATACCTTACAGCGCACCACCTAGTGAGGAGGGACATGACTTCAGCCATGAGGGCGGAGAGCATGAGGCTTTTGAAGGATTGGCTCAGCAGATGGCAGATCTCTCAGGATGGTACACAGTTGTTCTTGTTGTCCTACTGATTCATACTAAAGCAATGTTGGTGTTGATAGCTGCTATGTGGATTCGCGCACTCATACTGATCGTATAGGACTTCAAAATGAACATTGGGGTGTTCAAATTGAGCATCTGGTCAGCACGTACCTTGACTATCGCACCCAGGATGGTGGCAATGGTATGCCAAGCTTTCTGCCTTCAGGTGAACCCACCCTGGATGGTGACTGCCTATCTCTCAAAAATATTGAACTGGTTGATATTTTTTAGTAAGTTTGGGGCATATTGTGTGGCTTTATTGTTGACATTGTCCAGGTTGGAAGCACACATCTTTGCAGCCTCATCCATCTCACAAGTATCCAAATGAAACACTTATTCATCATGGTTACTTAGGCTGCTCTCCATTATTTCCCACTGTCACCATCTCCATCCGCACACTTGCAGTATATCGGCAGGTTCACCGAACTTGTCCCCAATTCAGCATTCAGGCACAATGCAAGGCATTATGTCATCTCCATAATGTAAGCTCTTTAGTCTGTCATAATCATTTACTCATTTCAAACCCTTCTAGATTCCATATCGATCATACTTAAATGCGCAGTTTTCAGACACTTATGACATTTATCTCGAAATCTTGCATCACATTGATGTCCTTATCAACCAAGCACTTAACCGCAACTCACCCAACTGGCGTCTCCTGAACTCCTGCCCATGTTGCTTCTACAAGCTAGAGGATGAAGAAAATATGGCTCTGGAGTGGCTGGTGACTATGGATGGCAACAATAGCTTAAAATGATGGACATTGTCAACTGCTCGACATGATTCATGGACATTCCATTCTGACTACTGGCTCGACTGCTCGAGAGTTGATAAGTTTAAGGATGAAGTGCAAGGACAAACTGTAAGTCCTCTCACTGCCACCCTATATGACGCTGCAACTCAACCTGACTAGCACTTGACTGTGGATACTGAAAACTGGCAAGTCATCGAGAAAACTGAAACAGTGCCATCATCATTTACTTGTGTTGACCGGTGGCGAAATGCCAGTCCAGAACAACGTAAAAGGATGTTTTTGGTGTTTGATGAGTCGGGGATATTTATTGCTGCATGTTGACACTGGTTTATCCTTCTCACCTGTGATATGGTTAAGAGCAGTGAACTGTAAGCTATTTTATCTTCCATTCAATTTATATTTGCTGATCATTGTTAGTGCGAAATATCCATTGGCAGTTGTTGATCAACTGTCAATGGTTTATGGCAAAAATGGAGGTTGTGCATTTGCTAAGACACTAGGGAACAGTACTTTGGGACCACATGCTTCCGCCCTCAATTTCCGGATGATGGTAGGAGCATTTCACGGCCATGCACATAATCGAAGGTGCCAGATAGATTGGCATCCTATGTATATTGAAGGCACTGGACACACGGAGGGCGAAGGATGTGAACACATTTTTTCTTCATCAAATGACCTTGCACTCAGCACTCAGCACGCTACAACTTTTCACCGACATCAATCGATTGAGCAACATTTTACATTTTGGGATGAGGATAAGTATACAGCATTAAGTACATTTTATAAATATCTACTCGATGACCGATTATGACACCCTTGTCCAGGTGTTTTTATACGGAATCATTATCGGGAGGCCCTGGCAGATATCTGAACCCTCACAGGAGAACTTTCAGTCATCCGTGAAACCCTTAATCTTACTGATGCTGACTTTATTCATTTTCATGCGCAAGAACGTGAATATATTGATGGGTTGAACAAGCACCGGTCAAGGATCTTGTCAGTATCCAATACATCAATGTACTTGACGAGCTTGCTGAGCACTAGTGAGTTCTGATGTTTCACACTAGCAAATTTATTTATTAAGTTTGACTGAGGTTGGAATGGAACCAAGCCCGAGAAGCAGCTAATCGATCACTAGTTGAAATTCATGTTGGCAGCCTGAGTCATATGCACCTTGCTCTCAATCAAGCTCAGGTCCATGTCGATACAGCATATTCAAAACTTCAAAACACAGAACAGTTAGCTGGATACTTAGAGGTTCAACTTGGCATCGACAAACACTGGGAAATTGGAGGTGAACATTACAATCAGTTTCAAGAAGAAGCCTTGCTTCTGAGGTATCATTCAGCGCTTGATGAACTTGAACACCTGGTAGTCATGCGCCTGTTTGAACTGTCCAAACTTTCATTATCAGGGACAGGTAAGCAAGTCGTTTTCATTTTGTTTTAGGATTAAATTGTAGCTTGTTTAGGTTACAAGCTACGTCAACAGATTACCAAAGCCCTTCAACGAGTTTCAGATGCTATTCGGAACACTATCAATCGTTACAACACTCAGGCTGCCGCTCTGGTCCCACCTAGGCCAAAACTGGCATGGAAGGATATTGTTGAATATAGCTTCCTTGGTAAATTTGACCTATTGCGTCACTCACGTACTGACATTTGAGACGCTGACTGGACCACACCCGCTCATTGGGAAGCTACAGTTAAATACTTCAAGCTCCAACGTGCTCGTGAAGAAATACAGTGTCTGAATATAGAAGTCCATTGTCTGCGCACGGCAATACATGATGAAAAAACCAAGACCATTGCAACGATTGACCAACTCCTCATCACAAATTCCCCGCTTGCTGTGGAGTTGAGAAGGAGGTGGTAGGCATGTGCTGCTGTCAATGCTGTCCATCTTTACCGACTAGATTGAATTGAGTCACAGCCTGCATTTTTGGGCAGACATGGTATTGGTATCCAAGTGGAAAATCTGTCAGTGTCACCAAATAGTCACCCAGAGGTAACAGTTTCATCGGCAAATGCTGGTCTGTGTGGACTTTGTTGACTTTGTTGTTCTACTTTACTAATTGATGATTTACAGGTATTTCTGTAACCAGTATTGATGGAGAGCTTGCTGAGGAACTTGACTTAACTGATATTATCTCTTTTGAATCAACCGGTGATGTTCTCGAGGACGAGGATCAAGTGCAAATAATGGATGACTTTGCTAGCTATCTACTCTCAGTTGGAGACTATTATTTATTTACAGCGCTTATCCTCATGTTCTGAATAATCATATGTTTTATTAAATTAATCTACAAAGTGGTCCAGTGAGAACGAGGATCAGAGGTGAGCAGGCAGGCAAAGACACATGAAATTAGGTGGTAGATCTGATAAATTGGGTTGTGGTTGGCTGCCAGAAGTGAGCAGGCAGGTAGATGATGAAATTGGGTGGTAGATCTAATAAATTGGGTTGTGGTTGGCCATCAGAAGTGAGCAGGCAGGCAGATGATGAAATTGGGTGGTAGATCTGATAAATTGGGTTGTGGTTGGCAGTATCGCAGAGGATGAAATTAGGTGGTAGATCTGATAAATTAGGTTGTAGATCTGATGAATTGTTTGGTTGTGATCTGTTGGTTGTGCCAGTGCCATCTGTCGATCAGGAGTGAGTACTTAGTAAGTACTGAGTTTGTAACAGTAGATCATTCAGAAGTGCACATGTCCAATTGACTTCACTGGTCGGACTGCCAACAGCAAGCACTACTAGTACAGTGAATACACTGGATGCGAACATTTTTTATTACTGTCTATCGAAGCCAATCCTTGCCCAACTGCTCAAAATGTGGTGGACTTGCCAGTGCATTAACTGGTAAGCACCATACTACTTAATTGGAGTGCCAGTTCACTAATCGCTTTCAGTACTCCTTGGTACAATCCAACATCTACTATGGACTCAATCATATTCTCCCCTTCGAAAGTCAAATCAGCACCCTCACGACTCTGTGGTATACCACAGCCTATATCTTGGATGTCGCCTGCCATCACAAATGATGTGCCCAGCACAAACCAACCTCAGTTTTCACTGGCCAGCATCACTGCCTTGGACTCAAACACGTTTGCTCAGGAATTTACCAAGACCAAACACCAGGCAGCTGCGCACGCACTGCTCAGACATGATGCTCACCTTGATGGCACTCATTTTCATACCAGGAAACCCGCTGGTCTTATCCTTCATATATCACTTTCAACTCATACACAACTTTGGATGAGAAGTCTATGATGCACAAGGAATTTGTTGAGGCAGCATTGCAGGACCTCTTTGATGCAGTGAGTACAACTAGTCCTATCTATCTGGCAGGATACTAATGCGATGGGAAACAATAGGTCGCAATGCAAGACCGTCTCGATGGTGGGATCTCTCTTGTTATTTGTTGTCCTGGCTCTAAAGCTACACCAACTCTTTCACCCGAGCATCTCTCTCTTGATCTCTATATCACACCACATGAATTATGTGAATCTCCTGGCTGCATTGGAGGAGATATATCTGTCTTGGTGCAGGCTTTTGGGGAAGAGTTTACAATCCCACATTTGCAGCACTTCACAGAGCGCTGCCAGATTGAGGGTGTTGTCCCTCCTCACCACGTAAGTCAGCACCTTCCTTTTCTCTCATGATGATCTAAAATTGATTTGCATTTTTGTTCCTACAAGACCCAGCAAGTCAGGTCAATCCATCTGCAGTCCCGCACTTGATGGTACCTATGGCTGCTACAGGTTCCTGCATTCCTTGTTCAGCGTGTCCTCCTCAGCAGTTTCAGCATGATCTTCAAGCTAATGCCCAGTCCAACACAGCAACCTCCTCTGCTGTTTGGGAGGGTAGAGCTATGGTGCTTTTGGACTCCAACATGCCACCTAACAAGATCCGACAACATCGACCTGCTAACACATTTTTCACTAAGGGTTTGATGGTTCCCGGAACCGAGATACAAGAGATGCGAGCACCAGCATCCTTTACACTACCACTAATTAGCCTCAGCCCACATACAGATGCCATACTTGATCGTTTCAAAATGGATGATACGATGCTTCTTAGGCTTCATGCACTTGTCGGATCCATTCGCAGCAGCCATTGGAAAGCAGTGCTTCGATCCCTGAAATGGGATCTAACATATGAACAGGCTTCAAATTTAGCTAGAGCCCTCCTTGTGGACCTTCAGGGAGTGCATCAACAGGTTTAGTTAGTCTCCTTCATCGCATTTTAGTTTGCTGATGATATGGTCATTCACAGCTGCCTCTCTCGTTACTTACACTCATTTTCAGGGTGGTTGGCAGCCCAAGTTTTTTGTGTGCAATTTATCTATTTTATCTGTTCTTCTCATAGATCACCTGCTGTTTTTTTGCTTCCATTTGTCATTTTGGTATCGTAAATTGTGTTCACACTGTTGACTTATAAAATCTGTTCACCAACAGCGTGAATTTTGTGGCACCAATGGTTTCGCACAGCTTCATGGTGATGAACAGTCGCAGATGGGTCCAAGCCCAACCCTCTCGCTGTCCAAAGGTGACCCTCAGCAAGGAGGCTCGTGCAGCCATAACTGCCCAACGTCGCAATAAATCCTATCAGTTTAGGGTAGCTCTTCACAATGCTTGGGATGAGCTCGATGAGACTATGAAGACCATTGCGTCCTCGCATCATAAGAGTTTCTGTCGTGTCCAGAACGACTTATGCATGGGCCGTGGGATGTTACACTACCAACGCTCTAAGTTGAGTGCATAGAATGTGTTCTGCTGGAAGAAGCGTCATGAAGACAAGGAAAATGGTAAGTAACAACATCTTTGTCCTTAGCATGCACAAACTGACAATGCACCAAGGGGCCACAGGAAAGGCTGTATTGCAAGATCTCATTAGGGATGAGAACCGCGATGAATATTGCAACCTCACAGACGATGAGAAGGCACAGCTTTTGCAGGAGTACCGTGAACACAAGGAGACGAAGACTACCAGCATCCGTATCTCGACAAAATCAAAAGTCAACAATGTAACGCAGACACTCAAGGCTGTCGAGAATGAGGTAAGTCATTATATATCTGTTGTTGTGCTACTTATTGACACATCTACTAGCTCAAGAACTTACGGATGCGTACAGGTGCCGAGAGTATCCTCTACACCACGCATGGCTCTACAGATCTCCCTCTCCATGGTATCACTTTTGCAACTGAAGGTGTCCATGAGTTCATGGGCTCGGTGATGAATATTGATGACCAGGACCTTGTGAGTAAGATGGAGGGGTTTGCTGTCCAGGGGATGAAAGGTGAGGATCATTTTTTCAAAGACTTGCTTTCCACTGACTGCATCTATTAGGCACTGCGAGGAACCACCAAAAACGCACGTCAGATATTTGGAGCGCAATTCACCAGGAAATCAACAAGACATTTTATAAGTACTCTACATTTGAAGTGTTTTTTTATGTTACTGATGACGACAATTTTTCTAGAGGCAATCACACATGATCTGAAAGCATGGATGCACTGGGCACACTACTGGCAGAATATTGTCCAGCACTACCTTGTCGTCATCGAAGGTTGGCCCGAAAACATACCTTTTGTCAACCTTAGCACAGTATCCAGCGCCCTACCTGATTTGGAGATGCTTTTGGACAAATGGGAGACTAGAGAAATCCATTGGAAGCATCTGGACGAAGATGAGTACAAGAAACTTCATCAAGAACGCCATGAGAAGGTTAGCAGCGGTGAGGTCATCGAAAAAATGCTGCCAGACTCGCTCTGACAAAGGAAAGAAACACAATCAGCCTTCGAACCACTCTAGTCACCGCAGGAAGACATATAAGAGCGCCCAAACTGTTATAAGTGATGACAAGTCAGACATCCCTGACAATACAGCATCCCGCAAGCATACACCTGCTGGCACCCCCCGAGCTCATGTCATCCACTCCTCCCACTGTCCTGAGTCTGTTTGTCCCTGAGCTCACATCATCTGCTCCTCCCACTGTCCTGAGTCCGTTTGTCCCTGAGCTCATGTCATCCACTCCTCCCGCTTCGTCATTCTTCAATGGTGATATGTTTGGCATGGACTTCTTGCCTGCAAATAGTCCTGGCGCTGGTACATCTGTTGACATGAGGTCCGAATTCAATTTTGATGGTATCTCAGGTATGCTAGACTTCATAAACTTTGAATAGACTTTAGTTACCTTGCTTGTCAAATATGGGCTATATTCTTACTGTTGGTCAATCAAATAAAGTGGCAATGAATTTAATTAGATTGATATCAAGTAAGAACAAAACACATTAATTGTATGTAGACTCATTGTACGAAGAACTGGCAACCGAATGAGAATGAACAAAATCCGAGAGATCCTGCTTGACACAGGAGTAAAACGGGCCAAGAGAGCACCATTGACAACATTGGGGGATGCTGGAAGGAAGAGGCAGCTGAGAAGGCCGAGATGGGGGCCCCAGGACAATGAGGAGGATGGGAGGGCACTGACAATGACAATGAGCAGGAGCAAGGGGTGTGAGAACCCAGCTACGGGGAAATGTGCACCTTTGCCAACCCCAGGACAGTGAGGGCACTGACAATGATGTGCCAGAGGCTGGGAGTGCAGGATGGTGATGGCAGCAGTGCAAGAAGAGGTCAGAGATGGTGTCCAGAGAGGCTGAGAAGGCCGAGATGGAAGCCCCAGGACAGTGAGGACGGGAGGGCACTGACAATGACAGTGAGCAAGAGCAAGGGGTGTGAGAACCCCGCTATGGGGAAGTGCGCACCTTTGAGCCCAGGACAGTGAGGACGGGAGGGTACTGACAATGACAGTGAGCAAGAGCAAGGGGTGTGAGAACCCTGCTACAGGGGAAATGTGCACCTTTGCCGAGCCTAGGACAGTGAGGATGGGAGGGCACTGGCAATGACAGTGAGCAAGAGCAAGGGGTGTGAGAACCCCGCTACAGGGAAATGTGCACCTTTGCTGCCAAAGGTGTTGTTGCCGAGCTGCCTACTGTAGAATACCTGAAGGTATTAGATGATTTAGTACATGATTTAATGCCGGTGTTGAGGATTATTGCAGCTAAGCCAAATAATACTGAACCATACACGTGATTGCTCAGCATAGTAAGGCTTACCTATTGGGAAGGTCAGGTGCTGTTGATGGCAACTTGTAACATTTCACTGGTCACCAGGTTTGTCTCTCCCAAATCCTGGGGTTGTTCTGGTTGGCCCGGCTCCTTGCCTAAGGCTTGAGGCTATCATTGGGCGGGTCTGACACCGAGTCTGTCACAAAACAAAACAAGAGAGTAACAATGAAATAAAGTGCCACCAGGAGTGCTTTTGGAAATCATCGGTACATGGTAAATGAAGATAGGTGTGACACATACTATTGACGACAAGTTGTAGTGTTTCACTGATCATGAGGTTTCTATGTCCTTGGGGGTGTTCTGAGTGACTGAGGCCCTCTCCCAAGGGTGGAGGGTAGTCATTGAAATGACCAGGGATGAATCTTGACATGTGAATAAGGGATGGACTTCAACTAACACTTGAGAATGAGATGTGTATTGGAGGTCACAAAAATACTGCAGAACCTGTGAGGTCCTGATGGTTTATACGTGAGGAGTTCACAGCATGCATGTGGCAAATATTAGGATATATCATATCACGCCACGCATAACCTGTGCATCATTTGCAGTGGGCGTCAGATTTGTGCAACAGCATCAGTGAACGCATGAGTTCTTGAAATTGTAGCCATGGGGACTGTAGGAGGTAGTGATGTTCTGGCCCAGGTTGGCCCAAAAGCCGTGGCTTTAGACAGCTCTGGCCTGCAAAAAAATCCAAGCCGGGCCAAAGCTGCAAATGACTCGAATGGCTGGCTGGCTTTGGCCCGAAGTACAGCGATTGCATGACAAATCATCCATATATGGTCTAATTGACGTGACTATCACGCTGTCACGGTGGTAGGGAGCTTTGGCAGGGTGTATATCATAAACTTCTCGATCGCACACCTCTTGGCCATCTTTCTCTGCCAGGAGTCAGTCTGGACTATCCAACCAACAGCGCTTTTCGTGCCTCTACTAAACACAGCCGGTGACGGCCCCAACGTACATCAGCAAACAAGCCTCAATCCCCCAATGTTCAAGCGTACCAAGGCGACGGATATGTTTGCTCCACTTCAACCCACTCTATATCACGGTTTTTTTGTCTAGCTTCTCTGGTGCTATCCCGCAGAATATCCCTTGTTCCATAAGAGTAATTGGACATTCAACCACTTCCTGGTTCGTTCGGATATCCGTCCTCACTATCTTCGGATCATTTTTTCTTCATCTCTACCGCCACCTTCAAATACTTTGTTTTGTTCTCTGGCGCTGCAAGCTTTGTGGACGTTGCACAATAATTTGGCTTCAGGTTCTACATAGGGTGAGACGTGTCTTTTTTTGTTTAGACCAGCTAAGGATGCGCGACAGTACTTGCAGAGTCCAGACATATTTTGCCACCTGTCTGATCCGTTGCTCTTTCAGTGCCATTAGTTATCGACTTCGTCGTCATTCAGACTCCCACATTAGTCAGGGTCAACCGAATACATCAATAAAACCCTTGCTCATTGCGTGACACTGGAGTCCTAGCGTCGTATCACCCGTTTATCAATTTTTTTTGGTTCGGTTGGTAAGTATCATCATATGTGTGTAGTGTACGAATAAAGTTTTATTTCGTGACTACGCCAGACGACGATCACTAAGTTACTTGCCGCACTAGCACTGAGTGGCGCTACTCGTCATGATAACCTGAGGCGGCCAACCTGGGAACACGTGATCCCCGAACTATCCGGCGGACTCAAGTTCCGGGAGTCCACTACGAGTCTCAGACTTTCTACGTTGGTTTGCAAATCAAAATTGACTTTGATTTTGGAGGGCTTCCTCTTTTTGCTTGGTTTCGCACCGCAATACTTTCACCCAGTCAAGGATCTTGAGGCGGGATCAAATATTCATTTCCACCATGCAGATTTTGGTGAGTGGCGATATATCTAGCACGAAAACCATTGTAACACACCACCATCATTAATATTACCCACTTGCTCACACCTATCCCTCGAATATGACCGTAGTCTTAAATACTCCCAGTTGGTGGCCGGAAATCAGTTCAAACATCTTCAACAGCTATTGGATAGGTTTGTCGTATCAAGACATGTCTTGACAATGATCTGGTATTGACTTGCAATTTCGCAGTTGCCGCCGCCGCCGTTGTGGTATACGACTGGGGTGAGCAGGACAGTTTTCGAAAATCACACATATTCTCATGATGCTTCTAGCATTAACACTCGGACAAGAGGTAGGTCGGTGTTGTCGCCAGAGCAGCCAACTAGCTAATAATGGTGTCATAGATTGAACTGATCTGGGTGAGTGATTGAGTCCCATATCAGAAGAAAAAGAGGAAAATACAATGAATTCACGACAGAGACAACACTGGTCCCTCATGACTCTGCAGTATTTGGTTGTTCGTACCGCACATTGTGCTATAGCGTGGTTGGCAGTAGTGCTGATCCCCCAATGTTCTAGATACGCTATATTGCAATACCATATTCCGTGTATGTGTCGAGGTCAACAGATTGACACCGTGCTAATACCACATCTCTTCGATAATTAGCATCAATGTTCTGAGTATGTCTCATTTGCACTGTATTCAATTCTTCTTCTGACCGGCGGCACACAGGAATCATGCCATTGTTCTCGAAGACAGATACAGTGAGTATTCTACCACCATCTCTCAATCACATCTAATGAATACACTCATTTGTAGGGGTGAGTGAAGTCATGATCATTGAATGTGGCTCAATATGACGACTCAATAGGTGTAAGTTGGTATGTCGCATACTGGTACGAGGGTGTTCACTGACTGGGTGTTTCAGGTAATATTATGTACTATGCAAAAAACGGGACGAATGTGGTCATAGCTGCTATGTTGGGTGGTGAGTTACAGCTGCAATACCTCTGTAAGATTACTTCGGCTGAAATGTGATGCAAGCTATCATGATTGCCCGGTTATATGCCATGTATCAAGGATCTAGAATGATGCTCACCTTCCTTGTTATTATCTTCCTGGCTGTAAACACCGCTTGCGGAGTGATCGCAGCAATAGCAGTCAAGTATGTTGTAGCGGGTAAGCTCCACTTACCGAGTTGAAGAACACAGCTCATCGAACGAACACCAGAGGAGCTGATACTCTCTGGCACGTATACGTGTTATTATAAATATGAAGAAGACGTTCAGCTTCTGATCTCAATGGTTTGGATGCTCAACACCGCTTGGGAGCTCCTTGCACTGTGTCTTTCAGTCTGGATTGCTGCAAAACACTTCCATGACCTGCGACTACCTGGTTCATCGACAGGAACGACCATCAGGGACTGTTTCAGAGTGCTGTTACAATCACACGTGCTTTATTTTTCAAGGTGAGCTTGTAATGTGAATGCGGTTATCTTATTCTTCTGAAGAGCCGCACATGCTAGCTTTCTTTGTGTCTCTTGCCTCCAGTTTACCTATTTCTCTCCAAAGCTCGTGGTGCGCCGAACTGTCGCCGACGTCTGTGTGTAATCATTACTCATCATCTCTGTAGAATTCAAATTCCACTGGAGTTCAGACACTCTATGGTGCTCTTGAAATTTTATTGGGCGTGCAGATGTTTGTGCTGGGACCACGCCTCATCCTTAGCGTTCGAGAATATTATGCAAAACTCGTGGTCGACTCTGACTCCGACACTAGCATCACTTCGATTGTTTTCCTGGAGTGTGTACATGTACCAACTAGCAGTACTGTGTAGCACTCGCCGAGTGGTCAACAGGAAGGAGAGGTTTGACCCGCCGTGGTATTCGGTTGATATGTTATTTTTTAGTATATTTGCAAACCTACTTGTCGTATTACTATTGGAAGGAAGTAGCTACCCGTGCACGCTTGCACCAAGTGACAAGCTGAAATTATCCAGAACGTCTGACAACCAACCCGGTCCTCGATGCCCGATTTTGAAATACAATAAGACTGCCCAGATAGCGCGTTCGTGGAGTTCCGCTGTCTTAGCACGCAGAAGTGACCACAAAGTATGAAGCTCAGATGGCTGCTATTTCATTAATCTGAGATGGATTTTCATCCGTCCGGGCGACAGAGAAGCAAAACAAATGACACGCACCGATTTATGGTTTGACTGCCATGAATGAGCATGGCAAGGGGCTGAGTGGGGAGTGGGGAATTAGTAGAGAATCGGAGCTTCAAGTGTAGTATTCGTCAAACTACTAAGGCATCACGGTCGGCCAAGGTCCAAGATGTTCTGTTGGAATCCCTGCTGAGTACGACCATCAGAGTAAAGCACTGAACGAGATAAACGAGACACAGATATGTGCAGGCATACATACATCCGTTGGCAGCGACAGTCGCTCCTAGAGCAAGCAAACGATGACTTGAATGACTTGGAAGTGCCTGATAGAAGATGGGAAACAGGGAAGATACTTTGCAGAAACTCGCACGCTTGTGTTGGCATCGTGGGAATCGAGTTCTGGAGAGCGACTATGAACAAGATTAAATGAAGACGCAAGATGTATTGATGGCGGGGAGCATATGTGAGTCAGACAAAGTACTTCCGAAAAACCCGCATTATAATGTCTCTTTTGACCTCTAGGAATACCTTTCGAATTTAATTTCACTGGCGACAAAAGGTTAGTTTCCCCGCTCAAGGTACCTAGAATGGGCCTCGTTCCATTATATGGCTGTTACTACGCCTGCCAACCGCTGATGAGGCCGAAAAGAGTGCCTCGATCACAGACCTGTGTGATAGATGACCATATTTCATATAGAGGACTCCTCAATTTTTGCAAGCTTGCAGCAAAAACACCCCGAAAATGGTGATGGAAATTCGTTGCCGACATTACCATGAAAACTAGAATCTTCCTGGTGTTCAACTGTAGCTGCGTGTTTTGAAAATCAAAATTCACTTGGATCATCAAGCTCAAGCCTTGGCGTCTTTTGTTTGATTTTGCACAGCAATACTTCACCTGATCCAGGCAGGATCAGATTTTGGTGACAGGAGGGCTGAACGGTGCTATATCTAGCACGGACGTTGTTGTTGTACACCATCAACATTCCGCACTCGCTCATACCCATCCCTCGAATATGACCGTGGTCTTAAATGATCCCACTTGGTGGCCATCAATCGATTCAAATATCCTTCTCAGTTATTGGATGGGTTTGTCGCATCAAGAATCAAGATGTCTTGATCTAACTGACTTGTGCTTTCGCAGTTGCCGCTGCCGCGGTGGTGGTATACGATTGGGGTGAGCAGGACGGTGTTCGAAAACTACTAATATTCTCATAATATCTCCAGTACTAACACTGGGACAAGAGGTAGGTCGATATTATCGCCGGAATGGCAAACTTGCTAAGAAAGATGTCATAGATTGAACTGATCTGGGTGAGCGTCAAAGTACCTTGTCAGAAGAAAAACGGGAGAACGTGATAAATTTGTGACAGAGGCAGCGTTGGTCTCTCATGACTGTGCTATATCTCGTTGTTCGTACCTCATGTTGATTCTGCAACCATGTCATTCCCATCCCACGAAGACACTCATTTGTAGGGGTGAGTGAAGTTCTGACCATTGATCTTGACTCAACGTAATAACTCAATAGCTGTGAGTGGGAGTTTTTGGTACTACGAGAGCGTTCATTAATTGGGTGTTTCAGGCAATATTATGTACTACGCACGGAATTGGATATATGTGGTTGTAGCTGTCATGCTGTGTGGTAAGTTACCCAGTTGCAACATCTGTAACATTGACTAGACTGAAATATGATGCAAGTTATCACGATTTCTCGCTTACATGCCATGTATCAGGGAAGTAGAATGATGCTAATTTCCCTTGTTATTATCTTTCTGGCTTGCAGCATCGCCTGCGGAGTGATCGGGGCAAAAGCATTCAAGGATAACGTAGTGGGTGAGTTTTACTCGTTGACTTGAAGAATATAGCTCATTGGACAAACACCAGAGGAACTGATACTCTCTGGCACGTATATGTGCTATTATGGATATGAAGGGAACGACAAGCTTCTGTATTTAATACTTTGGACGGTCTACACTGCTTGGGAGGTCCTCGCACTGTGTCTTTCAGTCTGGATTGCTGTGAAACACTTCCGCGACCTGCGACGACTCGGTTTATCGACAGGATCGACCATCGGGGACTGTTTCAGAGTGCTGATACAATCTCACGTGGTTTACTTTGCAAGGTGAGCTGGTAATGTGAATATAGCCGGATTTTCTGCTCAAGTTCTGCCCATATTAGTTTTGTATGTGTCTCTTGCCTTCAGCTTATAACTCACTCTCCAGAGATCGCGGTGCGCCGACCTGTCGCTGACATCTGCGCGTAACTACTGCTCATAATTTCTTTAGAATTCAAGTTCCATTGGAGTTCTGATACTCTATGATGCTCTTCAAGTTTTCATTGGCGTGCAGATGTTTGTGCTGGGGCCACGCCTCATTCTTAGCGTTCGAGAATATCACGCCAAACTCATGGCCGACTCCGACGCAGAAACTAGCATGAATTCGATTGTCTTCCGGGAACGTGTACTTGTATCAACTAGCAGTACTGTGTAGGGACATACTTACCAGGTGGCGTGCATGAAGGACAAATTTGGTCGAGGGTCCGGGGACGTCCATGCGGACAAAAACTCACCTTATCCTACCCATGCTTTCCAATGGTTCATCCGAGTTTTCCAATGACCAGCGGTGCAGCTCTTTAGCGCATTGAGAGTGGGCATTTCAACATACTTCAGGTGCACCAATGTTAGCGTGCCGCTTCAGGATGGAGTAACTTGCATAAGAACTTCGGTTGAGCAACTTATAATCTGTTGGAGCAAAAAGAATGATCATGATTTGACATGACATTGAAGATTAGTCACCTGGACGAACAAACAAAGTAAAAGGACTGGATAGGAAAAGGGGACAAAAACAGTGCGTCCGTGCTCAGATAGGTGATACCGGAAAAATTCCGTGTTCGGGACAGACCCACTATGATCTGTCCGAGCACAAAAGAAGATGGGAAGAGTGTGGCCTTCAGGGCGGTAGAAATGTCCTGGGCACAGGGAAGACTGTTTTTGGAGGATCTGTCGCAGGAGTAAGGTTTTAGTCTCATATATTACACTAGGAATACGTTTCAGCTAGTGTTGTGGGCAGAAGTCCGCCATTCTGCCAATTGGTTCTGCCCGGCAGATGGCAGAATTCTGCGGACGTGCATGAACTCTGCGCTGAGAAATCGTCAAGATGTCCGTATCCTGATGGACGACACAAATCCGATAGTGGTATATGTATAATCATGCTGTAAGTAACACAGATGTTTTTAGTTCCTTGCTCACGCGAGCATAGCCAAAATGTCCAGAGCTTCTGATCATCAATTTGTACGACATTGATGCTCGAATATTTTTGTGTCAAATTCGAGAGAGGGTAAACGAGAACATGATGATCCATGATACTCAACGACATCGAATTCGATATAGAACCCAAGATAGATTTGAATGCTGATAGGTTCCTTGTGGCGTTGGCTAACTCGGCTCCTGAAGGCGCAGGGAAGAATAAGGGTAAGGGTAAAGGTGAGGAGATACAGGAGCTTGATAACCACTCACGAGTGGACAGCGGAATGTTCTTGTCTGGAATCTGCCGATTCGGAAGGAAAAAAATGACATCACGTGACTGACATACATGGCTAAAATGCTTGTCCCGACTCCCGAACACTCGTCAATTGGATCATCGATTCATCCAATATCAATCATATCAAGACTCGAACGTGAGTCACGAATGTCAGTAACGAAGACTGAAGTGAACAAACAACTTGAGGTGAAGAAGTTCCAAAGAATCTCAACAAGTATTTTGGTTCCCGAATCATCATGGTAAAGTTGACATCAACGTTTGGAACACAGATCTGCCAAGATGAGAGAGGCACATCGTCAGGTTGGGTTACAGGAGAACAGGCCTTAACTCCCTCCTATTGACACGATACCAAGGAAATTTGAACGGATAAATCTCACACTGCCAGGGCCATTCCTCAAACGCTCGGAGGCAGCGCTGTCTTCTGGCATGGAAATCACCTTGTTTGCACGGTCAGACCTTCATTGTCAGAAATAAGTAGTGTTGGGGGCAGAATTATTCATCAGACTGCCCATAGAATTCTGCCGACTACCAGGCAGAAGTAGCTTTGCCAGCTCAACCAGCTAGCAGACTTCTTGCCCTAGGAATCAAGCTGGGCCGTACTACAACCAGATACGGTAAGCGCGGGCCGTCTACTTCCGCTGGTAAGCCTAATCGGGAATACCTTTCGTCGCTACATGCATGATAACTTGGATCCATTCCACAAAGTAATCTTTCCACCATCTCCACTATATGCATATGGAACTTCCTGAGTATCGCGTGGAAGTTCCTTCCGATACGCGATTGAATGCTTGCGCACAAGAAAGGCGCATGTAAACATGTTTACATATATATAAGTAATTCCAAGAAGGCCAGTAAGTGCTTAACATCTTGTTCATACCACTGCATTAAATCTAAAATTTGCATTGAGAGAGACAATGGTACCTGTCGCAGTCTCCCCCACTACTGTCACAGAATCTGTTGCCACCTTGAAGACATTGGTTGTCTCTCCACAACCCAATACTCTCCACGACGTCATCGCTCAAGCTGTCAACCTCTATCCGTACCACGAGTTTGGTTTCATAACATCCTCTGCACATGACTCCTCCATCCAGACGAAGACCTTCAGCGCGTTCAACCAATATGTTCGCAACCTCGCACGTGCTATGCTAGAGTGGGGCAAACCCACAGGCTCCATCATCGTCGTATATCTTACGGAGCATGAAGATAATATGGCTGCTGTATGGGCCTGTCTGATGGCCGGCTATGTACCATGCTTGCAGCCTACACTCAGCGCACAACAGGCGCACAAGGAGGGCCATGTCGCCCACATCAAGAACTTGTTTGGGTCTGCTACTTGGCTGACCAACGAGGTTGGGGCCGAACAGATCAGCACCATTTCTGGTCTGGATATTCACCTACTCTCCGAATTAAAGGCATCAGCGGAGACATTTGACGTCTCAGTTGACTGGGTTGCGTACGAGGCAAAGCCGGACGACGAGGCGATCCTGTTCTTGACCTCGGGGTCGACTGGATTCTCCAAGGCTGTCGTTCACACGCACCGCACTATTCTGGCCGCATGCCATGCCAAGGGGCACAGCTACGGCCTGACTTCCGAATCTCAAGTCTTGAACTGTAAGGCGCACGTGGTTTAAACATCAGTGTGATATTGATCGTGATTTCAGGGGTCGGATTTGACCACGTCGCGGGATCGTTAGAAATGCACATCACACCTCTGTTGTATGGCGCTTCGCAACTCCACGTGCACGCATCTGCTATCCTCGCTGATCCCCTTCGACTTCTCCGTCTGATCGACGAAAAGGTACGTCAGCATGATATCATAGTCACACGCATCTCTCATCACTCAATTGTTAGTCGATCGAATTGACGTTTGCCCCGAACTTCCTGCTATCGAAACTGACACGTGATCTGGAGAAGCGCGTCGACCTTTTCGGAACGTTCGACCTGTCTTCCATCAAGCGGATTAACAGCGGCGGCGAGGCTGTTGTTTCCAAGACAGCCCAAGCGTTCGCTGCTACCATGAAGCAGCTCAGCAAGAACCCCTCCGCTGTATCGTTCGTCATCTCTCCTGGATTTGGAATGACAGAAACTTGGTGAGACACATTCAACCATCTGGTGATATAAATAAACTGATGGGGTTTCTGCAGCGCTGGATGCATTTACGAGCCCGTGGATGTCCTCGCAAAGGAGCCTGCTCACGAGTTCCTCGATCTCGGGAGACCCATCGATGGTTGCGAGATGCGCATCGTGGACCCCGCAGATGGGGCCACCCTGCGCCATGACGGAGAGAGCGGCGAGCTCCAGGTTCGCGGACCGATGGTCTTCGTACGATACTACAACAACGCAGAGGCCACGTCCTCCAGCTTCGTCGAGGGCGGCTGGTACCGCACCGGCGATGTCGGCATCATCGAGAATGGCGTCATGCGGCTCAGCGGTCGTATCAAAGACACCGTCATCGTCCATGGTGTCTCGTACGGCATCCCCGAGCTCGAGACCCACCTCCAGACGGTGGAAGGGGTGACGCACTCGTTCCTCGCCGCTGCTCCGTACCGTGCTCCTGGTCAGGAGACGGAAGGATTCATCATTTTCTACTCGCTAATATTCGACCTCGATGGAGCAGACGCTTCCACACAGCTCTTCGCCACTCACCGGGCCCTTCGGGATATCTGCGTGAAGATGATCACGCTGCCGCCTCAGTTCGTCGTTCCGATCCCTGTGAACCAGATGGAGAAGACGACTCTGGGTAAATTGTCTCGTGCGCGTTTGATCAGTCTTTTCAAGCAAGGTCAGCTCGCGAAGCACATCGCTCGCTCGGAGGAGCTTTTGAGCGAGGCACGCGGCGCTACGTTCATCGCCCCATCCACGGAAACGGAGAAAGCGCTTGCCAAGATATATGCCGATATCTTCAACCTCGCAGTTGACGAAGTGTCGGCGAGCGACAATTTCTTCGAGATCGGCGGTACTTCCATTGATGCTATCCGGTAAGTATATCTTTTCCGCTTTCAAACGACCTTCACTGACACATAATCTATAGGCTCAAGCGCGAAGGAGAGGAATATTTTGGCTTGCCTGAGATTTCTGCTATTCAAATCCTCAAGCACCCCGTTCTCTCGAGCCTGTCTAACTACATCAACTCCTTGCTCTCCAAGGGCACCCAGACTGAAGAGTACGACCCCATCATTCCTCTCCAACTTACTGGAAGTAAGACACCAATTTTCTTCGTTCACCCTGGTATTGGGGAGGTCCTCATTTTCGTCAATCTCGCCAAATATTTTCATAATGAGCGTCCCTTCTATGCTTTCCGTGCTCGTGGTTTCGATACTGGCCACTCCTTCTTCACTTCCATGGACGAGATGGTTTCCTGTTATGCCGCAGCAGTTAAGAAGACTCAGGCGACGGGACCATACGCTATCGCAGGCTACAGTTACGGTGGGGTCGTCGCGTTTGAGGTTGCCAAGCGGCTCGAGGCCATGGGCGACGAAGTGAAATTCGTCGGTCTGATCAACATTCCTCCTCATATCGCCGACCGCATGCACGAGATTGACTGGACTGGCGGCATGCTCAACTTGTCGCACTTCCTCGGTCTCGTGTCGAAGCACGATGCTAATGATCTCGCGCCTGCTTTGAGATCGATGACGAGGAAGGAGCAGCTGGAGGTTGTGTGGAAGCTGTCTCCGCCTGAGCGTCTCGTCGAGCTGCAGCTGACGGCTGAGAAGCTCGACCACTGGGTGGACATCGCCGGGTCGCTGATCGAGTGCGGGAAGGAATACAACCCATCAGGCTCAGTTTGTAAGTCATTCGTTTTCTAATTTTATCATCGCTTGCTCATATTCTGGGTCTCTTCAGCCGCGGTTGATGTTTTCTACGCCATTCCTCTCCGGGGCAGCAAGTCAGACTGGCTGAACAACCAGCTCAAGCCATGGTCTGGCTTCAGCCGTGGCGAGCCATCATATACTGATGTTCCTGGGCAACACTACACGCTGATGGACTTTGACCATGTTCCGCAGTTCCAGAAGATATTCCGGGGTCGTCTCGAGGCTCGTGGCCTATAAAAATATAGAGTGGTCTATTATTTTTTATACCTGACATTCGCAAGTATCTATTTAACTACTTATAATAGTTGGTACGTCGTCATGCATCTATTGTTGTCTTATGACACAAGCATATTAGAAATCATTCTTTGCATTTTCTCATGATACTTATAGTGCTTGTTAACTTGAGCCCAACGTTGGGAGTGACATGAAACACCACTCTACTACGACCTCTTGGTGTTGCGATCAATATGAATCTGAATCTGATGGATGTGCCTTGGGTCACACACCATCACGTGCCGTAAAGCTGAATTCTTCAATTCACTCACTGACTTAGTTTTCTCACACTTCAGCCATCGGTGTACTTAAATTCATATTTCCAAGCACCCTACACCATGACCATATACATGGGGTTTTATGTTAACAAATTTGCAGATCATCATGCATTTGAAATTGCCTCTTGATGACTCAGAGTGAGCCACCAATGGTAGCCACTTTCAGTCCTCGCCCTCGTCCACCAGCCGGGCCTGAAAAACATTCGAGGCTTGGTTGTCGTCCTTCCTTGGTCTCGTGTCGAAACATGATGCTGATGATCTGGCTCCTCCCTTGAGACTGCTCACGAGGCAAGAGCAGCTCGAGTTCGTGTGGAATGTGTCGCCTCCTCGACGAATCGTCGAGCTCCAGCTGACGATTGAGAAGCTTGATAAATGGGTAGACCTCGTTGGGTCTCTCATCGATTGCGGACTAGATTACAATCCATCAGGCTCAGTTTGTATGTCTGTTCACTTCCTGATCTCAGATGTGCTTGCTTATATACAAACCCCTCAGCTGCACTCGAAGTTTTTTACGCTATTCCATTGGCCGGAACAAAGGCTGACTGGCTCAACAACCAGCTCAAGCCATGGTCTAACTTCAGCCGCGGCGAGGCATCATATACTGATGTTCCTGGGGAACATCACACGCTCATGGATTTTGAGCACGTCCTGCAGTTTCAGAAGATTTTCCGAAGTCGTCTCGAGGCTCGTGGGCTGTAGTTGTTTGGAATTGCGCATTCCGATTATATCTCTTGTCTTGCGTCGATGTTCTATCAAACTATTTAGCGGGAGTGCATGTATTGCGTACTTAATTTGCCGTATCTCTTCACCATGCCGTAGGCGTACGGTTGACATCGGTATAGGGGATCTTGTGCACCTGTTGCGGGCAGTAGCTTGAATGAAAGTGATTTATCGTTTTCCCCCCAGGGGTACATTGGGCAAAAGGTTGAGGGTGAACGAGTCGAGTATTATACCATATTTATGACATCCTACAGCTTTCAATTAAACACAAACACGCGTCCAAATTCATATTAACCACTTGATATCTTAACTGTTGTCCAACGGCGAATGGCAGCTAAACGACGAAGAACTCGAGGTCGCGAACGCAGTAACGATCGTGGTGACGGCCGAGTAAGCGCTCAGAGTAGCGCAAGCCAAGCATGCGAACGTGAGAAGGAAGTTCCACAGGTTGAAGAACACATCCCAAGTCAACACTAGCGCAAGGGGTTAGATTTGGCACGGGGGCACTCTGAATTGGTACGTACATGCACGTCTCCAACGCGAGAAATTCCTCCATGTATCAACACGGTGGGCGTAGGGGTCGTTGATGTCGAATTCTCGGTCGCCTTTTGCGGCATCGATTTGCATGGTGTAACCCAAAATCATAAATGGCGGGAAGGTGTATGTAAACTCTGAAGGGAGTTCGAGTCGTGATGAAAGTAACTAGAAAAAATATTTGGATACTCACGGAAGATGCAAACGGCAGCAACCAGCGCCGAGAGGGCGCTGAATTGCGGGATGGCAGATCCAATAACGAAGGCAGCGGCCCAATATGCTATGACGGAAATTGCGAAATAGTATTTACCCCGAGTCGCAGTCAGCTGGGGGAAACCAAATATGTCCACGAAGAAGTTGTTGTAAATGATTTTGACACCAATGTTGCCGTACAATGCAGCGGCGATGAGACCAGCGGTCAAAGAAATGGCGTTGGTCGCAGTCTGTAAACTATAAGTGGAAATCCCTTGGTTAGCCGGCTGTAACAGCATCGTCAGTAGGATTCCAAATCAAGAGAGAAACGACGGACGTTAACGACATATTGGCCTTGGTATGAGTAGACGAAAAGACCGAAGAACATGTAAACAACGAAGATGAAGATTTGGGCATACGCCATAGCCTTCCAAAAATCCATTGGGCGCCGCATTTCAGCCATGAACTCGACAAAAATCATGCTAAAAGAAATTTAGTAATCTGCACATGCATATCTTCACGAATTATGATGACTTACGCTCCACCGTATGAGAACACAATCTGCATGATACCATTGAGCTGGTTCTCGAAAGCCTGTAAGTTGATTGCCTGGGTTATCACAGGGCCAGAATATGGTACTGCATTATAGTTGGGTGGCGAGTGAGCCACAAAGGCCATTGTCATTATCAAGACAATGATGTTCATCCAGATAGCGAGATTGGCGATCGAGCCGAACTTCTGAAGAGTGCGAATTTGACCAAGAAACATTCCAGCCAAGGTCCAGACAACGTTACAAACGCTGAAGCATAGCTATAGAGGGGTAAGTTAGATAGATGATAACACGCGCCAAATGATGAGGAGTGTACTTTGAACTTTGCCATCTGCGAAAGACCTTGGCCATTTTGAAGAATAATGATCCCAACATTGAACACGAGCTGCAAACTTTGCAAGACGTTACAGACTGTAGATGCACATGATCAATGGATTCTCTACATTGATGAGAGTGATTACGTACGAAGCCCGAACCAACGGCCATAGATACGTTGCCCCAGCTCTCCAAAAGACTTGACGGGATACCTTTGGGAGTCGAGTTTCAAGAACAACTGCCATAGGATGAAGCCACCATACGCAGCCATAGACGCCGAAGACGACGAAACAGGCTACACCAGGACCATAACCAACTTGTTGGAATGCATACGGGGTAGAGTAAGGACCCAAAATATCTTGGGAATGAAGTTATAGAACCCATCAAAATGATCAAATTTGAAAATGAATTTACCGGTAGTAATAAGATAGAAGACGCTCCCCCAGGTAGCCGTCCTAAGAGCCCCAGAAGCTGCACGGTACTCGCCTGGAGTGACTGGATCGGCGCCCCCCTCTGCTGAGGAAGGAGCTATGGCTGATGCAACGGAACGGTTATCAGAGGAACGTCTGAATGTTCTGGAGATCAGGCCACCCCAATGGGTAGTTTCAGCATCATTCCTTGCAGATAGGACCTCGTTTTCACGTTGAATCTTGGCGTAGTACATATATGTCTCGAGATTAGGCGTAACGCCATCAGGAACATAGTACTCAGGAATATACGGAATCTGGTCTTCCTTCTCTGAAAGAGAAGGTTGAGGGTCCAAGCCGGGTTTGACAGCTGCCGCAGGCTGGAAGGCCATTGTGGTGGGAGCGAGGAATGAAAATTCAGAGTTCACGGATTGATAGGGCAGGCTTTATTTACCTAAACTGTGGGTACTGCTAGATTGAATATCAGTATGCGGTGTTATTACATACCATTACTGTTGGTTACCACACGGCTGATCTCTTGAGAAATGGAAAAACGGATATTCCGGGACGTATGCCGGGAGGAGCTGCATGGTGAGTTCCTGGGACAACACCTGAACACAACAAGCTCATCACGGAAGGCTGCATAGCCTGGGGTGGATTAAGTGCCAGCACAATAACCTAAGTAGGCAAGCGGCGTCAGTACGATACTTTGTCGTTCTGAATCAGGATAACGCAAACGCATGCGCTCAATCTCCAAGTGGGTATAATCTGACATTTGAGCGCCACCGAATCAATGTTGGGGGACTTACTGCTGTGCGTGTTCATGAGGACCTCGTTTATAATTGGCAGCGGTAACGCGTAGTAAAAATCGGCCATCCTGGTGACAAAAGATAAGGGAGAGTTGTAGATTAGTCAGCGCTGTGACCCGACGACGTGGCTTTCCTTGCTCACGTAGCTTTTGGACGAGTGTTGAAAGGGACTGCCTTATATGGAATCTAGGCAAGAAAGTTTTTCACTCGAAATGTGATCCAAAAGGTCGCTATCCACGTTCTTTCTTTATATACCACAGCCTGTCCTCAGGGCTAGTCATCCCGTGTTCGCCGGGGATCAATTCAGACCCGGAAGACTCATCGGTGACTGGCAAATGTTCCGAATATGCTCCCGTGTATGTCGCTGGCACATTCACTTTGACTTTAAAGTTTCAGATACAGTTCGTATATATATGACTCGTTCCCTGAAGATACACAGTCCTCTGCCTATCACGTTTTCCTAGGCCGTGAAGGAACCGTTTGTTTATAGAAATGCACCATAATATTCTCCGTGTGTGTCATCGTCAGATTGAATACCGGATGCGTGGCATTCTGCATAAAAGCTCAATCAGTCACTCGCCGCGTGGAAATCGGCACAGTAAATCACCATCCGGTTATTTTGCGCTCCGAGTATACGAGATGCGCCCTCTTCCTCTGTCCAAGAAAGAGAGTGCAAGAAACACGCTTGACGAAGTTGCTCGTGCATCGATTCTGATTCAAATGAGCGACTACCCTTTCCGATCAATGCTTACAACTTACCAGCCGGAGTTTTCCAATTCCGAACGATAGCATCCCGCCGAGTAGATGACAGGAAAACATTGTGCTGAGCCGACGATAATCCTGCTAGACAATACAGCGTATGGTATGAATCTGCGGGCCTGTAAATATCGTCAGCAGAGAACCATGCAAATAGTACCAGAACCCAATTACTTTGGAGGTTTATCACGCAACCCTCCTGCTGGGTGTTGCCCAGCACATAGGATGTAGCGCTGTAGGGCAGCACGATCCCATACAGAATCTGCGTATGAGTTCAGCATCTCTCGTCATCCAACGACAGCAGACGACAAACCATCAATATCATCCCAACTTTCGTCCTCTTCATTCGCACGAGAAGATTCATGACCATCATCACGGCCATGCGCACCAACGATGCCTAGCGAAGATAACAATGCAAAGCAGCCCCCGACCCACCAAGAATAACACCCATCCACAAGCTTATTAGTACGGCCTCTGAAACCACCAAGCTCGGTCTCCGAGCCTTGCATCTGCACCAGCCATCGCAGCAGCGTCTTGAAATTCAGAGATGACCGCTGGAGCGAAGGCTTTTGCAGAGCAAGGTACGGTTGAAGCATGACCCATGAGGCTAGAGAGCAGAAAGTGTACCCCCCATGAGCCTCCCCGAGAGGCGGACGCGGAGAATCAAGTAGCGTCGGAGGACCGTCTGGCTCAGGAGAGAAATATGGCTGGGACGCGCATGAGAAGCCTCCTTCATAGGTCTGGCATGACATAATGAACCCAGGGATGCCCTCCAAAAGTTCCGGCGTCAGCATGTTCAGTAAATGCGCCGTCACGAGGAGGCAATATGTACCGCTGTACGATCATCTGCATCAACAAATCGACAGAAACCCGATCAGGACTTCACAAACCGAACATCCACTTCTGCATGGTGCGCTACAAGGAATGCCCCATCTGGTTGCTTGACGGACAAGAAAAACTTGTACATCTTCTCCCTGCCGGTGAAGCGTCAACAACAACATTTCCATATGGGTCATAAATTTGGGAACTCACCGGTCGATTTGATCCCATCCTCCTCCCGGGCCAGGCCTTCCAACGATCGCCAACGCACAAACTGCCGCATAAGTCGGTAGTAAATGCGCAGCCTGCCCCGGCCCACCTCCAAAACCGCCCTCTGGATGCTGCAATGCCATAATAGTGTCGATGGCCCTGTATTATAAAGAAAGCACATCATATATCCCGTTTGATCGGATACTAAGCACCACATGCTCCAACGCACTTTTGTTTATTGTCTGGATCTAGCGCTACGCCCATGATGCTGAAGCTTTGGAGCGTCCAGTAGAGCAGCCATGGTTGGCTTGCGTCTTGACTGATGTAGCGGGATGGAAAGCCTTGGATTAGATTTCGGATTAAGAACTGTAGATGTGCGTCTCTCTGCAACGGGGAGGGCGAGTCTGGGTTGAGTGGGAGGTGCTTGAGCAGTATGGTTTCTGTTTCTGTTTGGTGATCTGTTGTCTCAGTTTCGTACGAATCATGAGGTGACCTTCGCGGCTGCGACATTATTGCACTGGTAGATGATGGTTAGATGTAGCGACTATTATAGTGGCTGCTTGTGCAGCATCGACTCGAAAGGATTCAGACAATAACAAAAGTCAAACCCGACTTAAACATACTTGAACTCAAACCCTACAGTAACCGAGCAACTGATCGTGACCATCATCATGAAACGTGAAGAAACATCTACTACGTGCGTCTATCTCTAGTATATCCTTTTTATTTTATACAACATGTAGTAACCGTAACCTCACAGCACCCTCTCCACCAGACCCAACCCTTCGCTCTCCAAGATTTCACGGATGGGGTCACAAATCTCCTTGGTATATGGAACGTGAACTCCGGGAGTTTTAAAAACGCCATCCAAAACAAGTTGCGTTGCAATACCACAAGGAACACCGACAGTGAGTGCCATTGCCGAATGCCCAGATGAACTTCCGTATTGTTCAAGCGTCGAGGTAAGCGTTTGCTAGAATATGATGAGCAAAAATTTGTCTGATAATACCTGTAGGAAATACAAACCTCGCTACCGTCAACCCACTCGACCACGAACTTGTGCTGAAGCATGACGAGGTCCCGTTCGCCCTGCTCGTACTTCATCAGCGTCTCGAGTTGCGCGCAGAGGGTATCGAGGAGGTTTCCTGCACGGGGCTTCACAGTCTCCGATGAGAAAAGTCCAATCCAGCGGAGCCCGGAAATGATACGGCTAGCTTCAGCATCGTTAGGGAATTTGCAGACCGACTTGACGTGCGCAACGAGAGTGCTAGATTGGTTGAGTCAATCACGTACGTATTGTGCACAGATTCAGACGACTAGTCGCTTACCTTTCTGCAGCGTCATTAGCACCGATCGCTTGTTGCATGACCTGGGCCCAGGTCAAGCCCTCCTTCAACCAGTCCTTCTCGGATGCATCAAGCCAGCCCAAATCAACAAGCGCCTTGATGAACTCGGGGAATCCCTGGTATCGGAGTGTGCCGCGGACCACAGTCTCTGCCTCTGGGATGTTATACCACTCCCTGAAGGGTACGGAGTTACGGTTCGGATAAGCCACGAACGCAAATGCAGGCGAGATAAAGTAGGGTTTGGCATATCCCATCAATTCGTTGCCGGAGATATCGAGCTGTTTACCCTGAGAAAGATAGGATGCTGAGTTAAGCAGGGCGAGTAGGACTCCACGAGATGACCACGAGAACTTGTAGCCGAGTGGGTTGCCCGAACACTCTGGTGCTGGGAGACCGCCACAGTACGATAAGAACTGTTTGATCTATGAAGATATGTGAGGCGTTTGTAGAGATCGAAAGTACAGATAGCTCACCTTGCCGCCCTTAGCATGCACCTCATCGATTGTTTTGATCGCGTACAAATGGTCAATGCCAGGATCAAGACCAATTTCGTTCATGACAATGATTCCCGCTCTTTTTGCCTCCTCATCAAGTTCACGCATTGCAGGGGATACATAACTGGTGGTGACGACGTGAACTTTGGCCTTTATCGCAGCCCTGATGACAGTTACGTGGTACGTGTAGGGGATCAGAGAGATTACGAGATCATGTGCAGCAACCTGAGCCTCGAGATCGTTGGTGTTATTGACATCAAGAGAGATGCCCTGTGTATTTGGAAGACCCTCTGCCAATGCCTGTGCACTCTTGAGCGTGCGGCATGCTGTGGAAGGAATGAGGATCACCAAAAGGTACAGATTTGATTGACCTACCGATTGTTAGCTCATTGGACGGGTCACGTACAACGTACTCGGCACACGGGCGTGCAACAAAACCAGAGCCAAGGAGAAGTACTTTGCGAATTTTCTCGCCTTCTGCTGCTACTTTAGCAGCCGCAGAAGCACGTCCGAATACAGGTTGAATGTCCTTTCCCTCCTCCAAGTACGATTTAACAAACTGTGGAAGCACGAAGGCCGCTCGGTGCACGTCCTCGTTATAATAACGAGTGTTGGCTACTTTGCGTGTGGGCACAGTGAGGTCCCGACCTTGTTCCTTCGAGCACACCATGAATCCGATCTGGCCAGATGGATATGTCGGGATGGTAGTGAAGGCATACTGCGAAACTGCGAATATCTCGCGTGTGGACTTCAGAAGGTTGTTGATCAAGGGAATGTGGAGCCACTGAGATTCTGCCTGTGTCGATATGTGCCCCCCAGGAGTTAGTGCATCATGAAGAAGCTTGAAGTAGGGCTTTTGGAAAAGAGCCTCCGCTGGACCAACTGGATCAGAGGAATCGGTGATTATCACGTCGTAGGTTGACTCGCTCTCGGCAAGGAACTTGAATCCGTCGCCAACAAAGACCTTGACGCGGGGAGAGTCGAGCAGTGCAGACATGTGAGGGAGGTATGTCTTTGAGACTCTAATCACAGCCTGTATCACCGTCAAAGAAGTGCTTGTATATGTTACAGTTATTCATGTACATACCTCATCGATGTCGCAGAGAACCACCTGCTCAACTGTATCATGCTTGAGCACTTCTCGAACGACACCTCCATCGCCACCCCCGATAACAAGTACCTTCTTAGGGTTTGGATGGCTGGCGAGAGGTAGATGGGCTATCATTTCCTGATACCTACGGAAGGGTTAACTGATTTGAGCAAGGGTTGATGTATGAGTGACATACGAGAACTCGTCGCGTTCGGTGCATTGAATAACACCATCGAGGACCAGTACATTGCCATATGTCTCAGATTCAAAGACGAGAACATCTTGATAAAGAGATTTTTCGATATGCAAGATCTTATTGACCTTGAGGGTCATGGCCTGACCAGGCCACTGAGAGGAGATTTCGCGGAACCAACCATCTATCAAGTGCGATCGGTCAAAAATCAATTCATTGTTATATGGCACCTACCTTGGATCGAAGGGTGTGCGAGGGGTGACATTTCTTGCTCAACAAACGAGTCAAGTGCAGATCTTCAAATGATAATTTTCTCGGATCTCGCCCGACGACCGACGGTCCGGGACGGCTTGTCAGATCCGACAAAGTGCATCGTGACAGACCGCTTTTCGCTTCTTAAAATTCCATTTTCGTCCTCTGAGAGAGTAGATTATACTCTGTAGGGCATTTACAATCTGCACCTCAGAGTCCGTTCCAGCCGGTCGCCGCTTTAGATGCGCAACTAGCATTGAATATCGGGGGTTTACCTAGCACGCCACTAGTGACCAGGGACCCTCGAACCGAGGTGCGGCGGCGCAGGTCTGCAGTCACCGTAGAAGGGACTTGCAGCAACAGTTCTCGCATCGAGGAGGAATGCTCCAGCTCCAGCCTGAGTGTCAGCGACTTGTACGGTGGCCCAAAACTTGAATTTCGACAGCCCATCCGTTCACCATCCAGGGCACTGCACCTTCCACATCATCACGTCCGCAGTCGCTCTCATGCAATCATTTCTGCGTGTTCAGGAGCAGGCAGCCAAATATAGCTTAACCTTGGTAGAATTACCTAGTGTAGGCGACCCTCACTTACCTCGAGGCTCCGAAATGACTGCTCCTGAACACGCAGAATCTTAATACGCCTTCTTTTAGGTCCATAATGGGCGGAGTAGGAAACGAACTCAAGATCGCGGAGAGCAACAGTGGATCTGGGCACGGATGTTGACTAATTGATCACCCAACGTTGGGACCGAGAATGCCTAGCAATTCAGGGTGACCGGACTGACATATTCCACAAAGGCGTCACTAATCACAACGTCAGGTATCCTGGACAATCATCGATGAGTGGGAGCGCTGTCCCTGCAACGTACTCTCATAGACCCTAATACTATACTTTCGCCTGTCAAAGAGATCTTTATTCTGACATGCCAGTTCTTCGGGTGCGTTTTCCCTTTCTTTCCAGCCGCTTCAAAACGCCGAGATGTTATACTGTGGCTCGACATCTTCCTTTCTTACTTTCATCTCGCAATGAGCTACAGACACTCCCTGGAGGATACTTGTAGAGTGTTTATTTCGCGTCCGCGACGCTATAATCAACCAGCACTTACCCAACATACATTCCAGCATTCCCCGTCGCCTGGCTTCACGCCCGTAGATCTTGGAACTCCATCATCCTTTTCTTTGTCAGAATCACCACAAAGTACATCGGATTCTACTCCGTCGCCGAACAGGCTTCCAGATGTCATTCAACTGCCTATACCAGGAGTCGCAGACCTCATTCCAAAGACGAATCGGACGTCGCATGCCAAACGACAGCCTGCTGGACACATTCCTCGTCCACGCAATGCGTTCATTCTCTTCCGCTGCGACTTTGTCCAACAAAAGAAAATTCCTGGTCATGTAGAGAGCGACCACCGAAACCTATCACGTATCGCAGGTAAAATATGGAGAGGCATGAAGAAAGAGCAACAGAAACCGTGGATTGACCTTGCCTTGAAAGAGAAAGAGCGCCACGCTGCCATGTACCCTGGGTATAAATACATGCCTGCGCAGCAAACTTCAAAGCAACGGAAGGTCAAGAGTGATCGCATCGCTAAAGAAGAGAGGGAGCTGGAATCACGCAGGGCGGAATTATCGTCCGTTTTGGTACAGCGCGCGCTCGAGATGAGCGATAGCTCAAAGCAAACTGCGCAGGCTGCCGCTCGGTTTACGCCTTATCCTGCTCCCTCGCGTCCACGACGCTCGTCCTCGTGCCCCCCTGTTGGCGCAGAACCAGTGAACCCGCTCACAGATCTTGACTCTTGGGCCCCGTTCTTGGTTACTCATGACGATTTAGCTCGTCGCCCGAGTCGCACCACCATGTACCACTCCGTCACCTCGGAGCCAATTGCCTCACCTCTCATTCCAGCGTGTGACCTTCCGAACTCGCAGCCTGGTGGAGATACATGGTTTGGTGCTCCAATGCCGTACGCGTGGCCTTTTCCAGACCAAGAGGACGACCCTTTGTTCGAGGCACAGGCTTCTGATACCACGTCACAATTTAACTCTCCCTTCGGTCAACAGGTGAGTATTTTAAGTTATGGCTTCTAAGACTGTTTATTGATGCTTTAGTAGAATACCGAACTTTACCCTCAGAATTCCGAGTTCATATACTCTCCATTTGAGAACCTTCCCCAGATGCCCTCCGTGAGTATGGACAGGGGAGGGGCGCTCGGGCTGGACTTTACAAATCCGTTCGGTCTTGATAGTTTCCCATTCAATACGGATAGCTTCCCGCCATTGTCTTCTGACATGTCTTCAATGTTCTCTTCTCTGGAATGTGCCATGTCAAGTGACCCGAGCGCTATGGGGAGTATGAAATAGAACGGTGAAACATCCTTACTCAGTCGCAATAACATGGCCTTGGTCAATTTAAGGTAAAAAGCTGTGCTTTCCCCAGTGACATATGTCTGTTTACTGACGGTGAAGTAGTCATCAAGGATCTCGTTTGCTTATCCAACGATGGAATTCGACAAGAACGAACTCGCATCGTCGTAGATCTTCGCTCCGATCCTCATGTTCATTCTTCATGGGTTTTTAGATAATATAGTAGCCGTGCATCGCTAATTTAGATGGAAACAACATACCAGAAATATTTAATATCTTTTCCTTTTAGAATAGTATCGTTGCACAAAACATCACTCACTCTCAGTAAATTTACTCTAATGTTATCGTCTCTCATCCACACCAACCGAGAATCACGTCTCACTTAACATCTCAGAAGAGTTGTATCAAGACTAGTTACCGATCACGTGCACAAACAGAATTGCCAGCCCGGGGCGTTCCGCTAGGTTAGGTTTCGAACTCTGAATTACCACCGCACCCATAGATGACCAGATGTAATATTATTCATTCATTCATACACCCCATACCTACGCTTTCTAATGATACTAGCGGACTGAAACACTATGAATTCGTGTGCGCGCTTGAGTCCACAGATATCACACTGACATACCCACTTCAAGTCTTCAAGTCGCACTGACTATACGACGATCTGGAAGTTGATGAGTTTACCAATGAATCAACGGGTGCAAAAGAAATAGGCGCGAAACTTCGAGTGAACTGGAATTGCAAATTCATTCTTTCGAGACTGCAAGGGCGGGCGGATATCATGCAAAACTTTGTTACATAGCGTTGTTCTTGACAACGGTCCATGGGGACCCGGTGCTGACCGGGGGGCGCACGCCAGCGTTAAACGATCTACTTTTGTACAATCGTAGCGGCGCTGGAAAGCGCCAGTCCCCGACTCCAAGAAACAACGATGTATGACAGCAAACAGTAATCAATATACGACATTCGAGACGTAGAACTATCAGGCTATTCGCAGGTCAAAGGTGGCACTGTTGTCTATTCCAGTCTACTCCTCATCAGTCCCCAGATCCATGTCGAATAAGTCACGACCCTTCGATGGCATCTTCGAGGTCTTAGTAGGTGACTGGCCTTGGAGCTCGTCGTCGGCCTTCCTTTTTCCTTTCGAATCGTGCAGAGCTTTCTTCGTGTAAGCTGCACACGGCAGCAGCTGCATACGCCGCAGTATAAGTTGGTATGCACGGGAGCCATTAGCGTCGCGACTATTGAGCTGGACATCTTTGGGAGGTCTGATGTTCCAACTGCCGGTGGTAATGACTGTCAGAGAAAGCCGAGGACAAGGAATGAACAGACATACAGTTTCAAGATGACTAACGGTTGAGGACCAATGAAAACAACACTCAGAAACCCGTTGATGTCCGTGGGAGTCCGTGGCAACACAGAAACGGTAGACATAACATTCATGTCATGAGCGCAGGTGTTTCCATAGAAAACCTTAGGCTGCGATGGGTCAGACGATTGAAATAAGCGGGTGACGTGCGCAGTAATAGAATAGATGGCACATATCTTCTCCTCGACCCATGTCAGGTCGCGAAATTGGTCAGGGAGGGTGCCACGAAACAAACCATTCGCAAGCGCTAACGAAGGCATCTTCTCCTGCACCAAGGAACACCTGCAATGTGGGCATATTTTGAGTTCAACGGCCCTCGCATTTTCAAACACGATACCACGCTTCTCCAGCACTAGACCATCGATCAGATCGTTGCCAAAAGTGAAACACGCTGACATGCCTTGAAGAATGCACTTTTTGATAACAAAATCATCCGATACGCGGAGCAGATCTAAATTCAAAGACGAAATATCTCCTGATAGGCGAACATCAGTAGTGTCTCTGTCGTACTGCGAGCACACGGCACATACAGGCGGCTCAGTCCACATAGTACCTTTCATATAGCCATTCAAACACTCGAAAACAACCTCCTTCGAAACCGGCATTGGCCAATCGCGTTCTCGTTCTATGCGAACAGTATTTGCATCTGCCAACGCATTCTGTTTTCATTCTAGACGGGCTGACCTGTGCTTGACGGACCGCGACATGATTTCGTGCGACAAACGTTCAGTAACGAGCACACCAAACTCATGAGTGATAATCTGATGGAAAATGTCCTGATCCAAAAGTGAGTCGAACATCAAGAACGGAAAATACGCAAGATAAATATCACCCAAAATACTTGCTCCAGCATGAAACAGGGACAGTGCACGTTGTCGAACATAACCAGCAAGTAGGCAAGTTATGAAACTCGGCAGCAAGCAGAGTGCCCCGCGTTGTTGCACAGCCAGGTGGGACGGGAACTGTGGAGAGACTCTCGAAGAGGATGTCATCCGACATGCTCGAAAATTTCGTGCGTCTAGTGGTGAAATGAGAAGTGATTGCGTTAATGCTACACTCCTTGTTTCGCACATCTAATTTTTTACTCACAACACAAAGCGCGGATTTTTGCAGTACAGGCGCAGACAAAGCAGATAAATTTTCTGCATAGCAAGCATCCGGGTAAGAAAATCATCGAGGATCGTCTTTTAGCCTGGACATAATACACGAGGCAGCAGTTGGGAGGGAAGTACCTTGCCGAGCAGCAGCTCGATAAGTCTTAAAGCGCTTGAACACGCTACAATGCACGTACGTAGCAGACTCAAAATGTGCACGAGTGAAAGTCATCGAGACGTCATCCACGCGGATAGAGAGACCTACCCCATCAAAAACCACAGCAACGGAGTGACGAAAGGGACCACATACGAGACACAAACTGTCACAGTGGGAGACGAGTGATAGTTGCATACACAGATTCATTATATTGCGGGTAGTATAAAGCATCATAGAACAGAGAATATTTTTGTATATCATGAAGAACATTATGAGGTGGGCAGTCCTTAGCATCGAGAACACGAGGACATGTACTTGGGTGTTTCAAGAGAAACATGGACATGGTAAAATATAACTGAATACGAAGGTGGTCAATTCACTTATAACAAGCACACGGAGAGCAAAGAAAAGACGTACGCAAATTTCTTCCTGTAAAGACGAGTCAGACAATCAAACGACCTGAGTGAAACGAATCGCGCACGCATCGATATCCATCAGTCATCATCAACTATACAGTTTTAACCAAAACATTCCCATCCCACGTATTGTGTTCCCACGCATCAGCGTATAGGTGCCTGTACGTTTAGATTCGACAAAACCCTCTTCCCACTAACGTGGGAGTCGGGGAAGTCGACCCGAGAGTCAACTTGCAGGATTCGTGGAATCAAATGACTACCATATGGTCGCACGACACAGGTACAACTCCCATCTTTCGTAGTGTGCCAAATCCTTCCCAGCGCTGATCAACATGTTCAATGGCGACACTTTCAAAAATATTCGCGTGTATTGTTGGTTGCAACGTTATTTGATAACACATCTCTTGCTCACAACTTTGCAGGGCTCGCATTCGTGGCTTACTGGGGCATCATTCTATTCGGATATGACACGTACGTCCCTCTTTGTCGAAAGCTCACAACCGTCTGTCTGACTGTCATCTAGTGGTATAGCTGGAGGTGTTGTCTCCCAGCCTTACTTCGAGACCAGCTTCGGTTTAGTCAACGCAGATGGCTCAATCAACAAAAGCAAGGATACTACGGTTTCTTCCAATGTTGTTTCGGTGTTGCAGGCAGGAGCATTCTTTGGCGCTCTAGGCAGTGCACCTATATCAGGTTAGTGCAATCGTGACTACTCTATGGTAGACTAATTACATTCCCATCATCGGGTAGCTTGGTTGGGACGGAAATTAACATTGATTGGTTTCACCATAGTTTTCGTGATCGGTGCTGTAAGTGGATCTATTAAATCTACTCTCAGATAAGCCTCTTACTGACGAGGTTCTAGATAGTTACTACGGTTGCTGGTGGTAGCCGGGGTATTGCATACATTTACGGCGGTCGGGTTATCTCCGGCTTTGGCATTGGCGGTATCTCTGCTGTCGCGCCCACTTATGTCTCTGAATGCTCACCGAAGAATGTTCGTGGTCGCATCACCGGGTGTTTCCAGATCATGGTGGCCATCGGTGTCATGATTTCATATTTCATAAACCGTATAGTCCCCTCTCGTTCTTTTCGACCTGGATGGCTCTTACAATAATCAAACAGTCGGCGTCAGCCTTCATATGGCGAGCAGCCCCAATGTGTGGAGGGTTCCTTTTGGATTCCAGCTTGTTCCTGCAGGTATAATGTGCCTTGGTCTTTTCACTGTCAAGGTTAGTCATCCTCGAACTTGCACGTAGATATTTACAGATCATTTTAATGCAGGAATCTCCCCGTTGGCTTGCATCTAAAGGTTACGCTGCGGAAGGCATCGCTAATCTTGCTTACTTGCGGAGGGAGCCTTGCGATTCAGATGAAGTACGGCATGAATTTGCTGAAATTGAAGCTGCAATTCGTGAAGAGCAGGAGGCTCGTAAAGGCCTTGGATTGAAAGAAGCCTTCTTCGGGAAGGGCAATTTTGTTCGATTTGTCATTGCGTTTGTAATCTTCTTGTTGCAGCAATGGAGCGGACAAAACTCTGTTGGCTATTACGCACCTCAGATCTTTAGCTCCGTGAGTCTCCCAATATTGTAGTACCCTCTTCTCTTACTCACGTCAGATTTTAGATCGGGTACTCCGGGACCACTAATTCTCTCTTGGCTTCTGGAATCTACGGTATCGTGAAATTCATTGCAACTGCAATTTTCGTGTTCTTCTTCGTTGAGAGTCTCGGTCGTAAAGCATCGTTATTCATATCCGCTATGGGAATGGGAATCACGTTCTTTATCATCGGTGCTATTTTGAAGACACATCCTGTTGTCGCACCTTTGCCGGGCCAGTCTGCTCCACCACCGGCACCGTCTTCAAAAGCTATGGCTGCTATGCTTTACATTTACGTCTGCTTCTACTCCATGGGATGGGGTCCTCTTCCATGGGTTTATGTCTCTGATATCTTCCCCACACGGACTCGCCATTACGGATTAGCCTTTGGTTCTGGTTCGCAGTGGCTATGGAGTGCGTAATGAGTCGTGTAAAATGATGTAATGCCACTAACTCGGTCCTTTAGACTTCGTTGTGGCGAAGGTCACTCCAACTCTTGAAACTGATCTAGGATTCAAACTCTTCATGATGTTTGCCACGATCAATATCGGCGGGATGGCTGTCTTCTCCCTGTCAGTCAATTCATGTGCTGATTACTTGATCGATGCTTACACTATGTTCAACAGGCTCCTGCCTGAGACCAAGGGTCGTAGTCTAGAGGAGATGGATATCATTTTCGGCTCAGTCAGCGCTGAGTCACGCGAAGCGTTCATTGAACGTGCACTCGACCACAAAGAAGTAAAATTACAACCATCTATTGACGTATAACTTGCTTCACCATGTGGGCTTGTCTATTACCATTACTATTACCTGGGATGAATTGGAGATAAATAGCACATATACCACGACTGTGCTGCTCTTGCTTTCCGCGCTGACACCGTCTCTGTTACCCCCACGTTCAGTGGTAATTCACATGCTTGACAGTTGATGAACTCCAGTCAACATCTACATTGGTTCTATTGAACGCCGTATACTATTTTTGCATTCTCATTGGCGCGCTTCATGATATCTGCACCACTCCAGGGATGTCCAGCTTTTCCTGCGGTATATTCTGCAACCCACGGGATCATGGCAGTGTGACACAAGGGCAACCTGCTGCCCTTGATTTCCGGTATAGAATTGTAGAGGTTGGAAGGGACCATGAAGGGCGCATCTGTTTCCAGTAGTATACGCGGTCCACCATCGCTCATGGCCATCTGACTGACGATGTTCGACGTATTCAAATTCGTCGAATATGTAATAACCCCTTATATGTATGATTCAGTCAAGAGATTTATCGAACTCGATAATGATCAGCCTACCAGTGATCCCGATGAATAAATTACAGAAATGCTGGAGAAGTCGCTGTGCGAATTCTGGCGAGTCCGTGAAACAATGTATATGTATCTGTGAAAGAGAAGATTCATTAAATCATTAGCTCCGGGAATCAGTAATAAGAGTGATCGCTGGCAGTACCTTGTGATCGGCAGGGACGTGCTCCTTGAGAATCCTCTCCGTGTCTGCCTCTGCTTCGCGTGTGTGGATCGTGAGCGGCTTGCCCAGCCTGACAGCGTGATTCAACTGCCGAATGAAGACTTCTTGCTGGATTGCCCGTGGGGAGTTGTCGTAGTGGTAATCGAGACCCATCTCCCCCCAGCCTACACATCGTGGGTGGGTCATCGCTTCAAGGCTGAAATTCTCGAATCAAATCACCGGAATTATAATAAACATAGAAACACACATGGAAGCCTCAACTGCATCGTTGTATGACTTTGCATCGTGCCTGGGAGGATTATCAGTTCACTCCCGCGCGAGACGTCCGAACCGGTACACACGGATGAACGCCTGGCAAAATTATTTCTTAGTGAAGGGATCGAGGACAGCGCACGATCATAACTCACCCATCACAAACCAATAATCGATACCTCCCCACTTCTGTTGCCGATCCTCTGCGGTCAGTGCTGAGTCCGCAAGCTCCCTCCACGCCATTAACACAGGTGCCTCGCACCACACGTCTACGATTGCCCTTACGTTACGATTGCGGTACATTTCGCGCACGAAGTCATGGATAGTGTAGAGCATCCCGTTCTTGTACTTGCTCCGGTAAGTCGAGAACGTCGACACGAGGTGCGTGTGCGTGTCGATGATGGGCTGGTCAGCAAGGGAGGCATCTGCAAGCGGAGGAAGGCGCAGGTAGGTCTCAGCAGGGATGATGTTGGACTTTTTCTTGTTGTTCTTGCCCATAGTGCGATAGGCTGTTGTGGTGAAATGAACGTGAGGGTGCAACTTGAATAGAACTGATGCTCTCAACAGCTGACTCGTGCGAATGACATGGTTGCGAGTATTAAGCATAAGGTTAAGTAAGAGTCAAAAGTCGTGACCGCATAATTATGTAGTCTCGACACCAAAATAAACAAACACTGTACTTGAACGATTTCATCATGAATCATGATACATGTACAGACTACAAAACGAGATATATTAATGTACAGCTCCACACTCAGACCATAAAGTGCCATGCGCAAAATGACTCAAATCCAGCTGCAATGTGCGGCTCGGAATAACCAGCGTATCACCCGGAATGTACACAGACCGATGAAAATCGACAGGAATGCGGAGGAGAAGATGTCCCTCGGGACTTTTAACCCACCCTTCCTCGTTGGGGGTGAGAGAGGCCGGGGTGGGAGAATATTGAAGAAAGGAAAGGGCGGAACAAAGGGCGTGAGTTGGGTTGGAAGAGAAACATATTGCAGGTCTTCCAGATATGAGTTGGTGCTCATTTACAAAATCTAGATCCCATACTCGGATTGTCGTATCATATGAACCAGACACAATACGTTTTCCATCTGGCGAGAATGCGACGGAGTATACGGGCTGTGTATGACCTTGGAGTGGGGCACCCAATGCATTGCCAGTGTCCGCATCCCATACTCGGACCGTCTTGTCTGATGAACCAGATGCAATGAGTTTTCCGTCAGCGGAGATTGCGACTGACCAGACGCGGTGAGTGTGCCCCTGGAGAGGGGTACCTACTGCCTCACCGGTCACTGCGTCCAGCACCTGGATTGTCTTGTCGCTTGAACCAAACACTATGCGTTTTCCGTCTGGTGAGATCGTTAAAAATAGGATGGCATCAGTGTGTTCTCGGAGAGGGGGGCCCAATGCTTCGCCGGTTTCTAGATCCCACACCCGGATGGTCGCGTCATCTGAGCCGGACACGATACGCCGTCCATTCGGCGAAATTGCGACAGACCGAACAACGCCAGTATGTCCTTCAAGAGGTGCAACCAATGGCTCGCCAGTCTGCGCATCCCACACCAGGATCGTCTTTTCGCCCGAAGACACGATACGTTGTCCATCCGGCGAAATTGCGATAGACAAGACATAGGTGGTGTGTCCTCGGAGAGGGGAGCCCAACGCCTTCCCAGTTTCCAAATCCCACACTCGGATTGTGTGGTCGTTTGAACCAGACACAATGCGTTTTCCATTTGATGAAATTGCGATACATCGAACGGCCTCACTGTGCCCTCGGAGAGGGTCACCCAATGCCTCGCCGGTTTCCATATCCCACACCTGGATTGTACCGTCGTATGAACCACACACGATACGTTTTTGATCTGATGAGATTGCAATCGACATAACCCCGGCGTGCCCATGGTGTCTGTTTTCTTGTGGAGACCACCATGTGACATGACCAGCAACAACCCGAGGAGTACGAGGAAACTTTGCGGCAAATTTCCCAAATATCGTTGACTGCGTTGGAGCAAATGGCAGAGCGGACAAGTATAAATGCGGAGTGCTGTGTACAATGGTGGTCCCGAAAGTTTGAATGAAACGCTGGGCATCTCTGACATCCTCGCTAGTATGCATATACTCAGCGTTATCCTGTAAAAATTACCACACGTAAGACTCCGTGCGTCCCAAAGAATGAGCTACAATCACGTACCGTAAACCAATCCGCAACAGACGAGAGAAAACGTGCTGTACTATTTAAGGCCTTGACTAGAGTCAGTGCTTCCAGCCAGAACAGGAAGCACTCTCCATCGAAAAAGGCTTTGATTTCCTTAGCGAGCGATGGCTCGAAGGACGTAGCTTTCACATGTGTCCCCCAGAATCGACATGAGTACGACAACTCCACTGGAATGAAGTTCTTCACTCGTGTCTCTAAATCAGGGATAGCATAATTTGGGAGGTAAGAGCTTTCCAAAGAGCAGATGTTGAAACGAAGCCCGCGCGCCATGACCCGCAGCGAGGCAAAGGCAAGGTCCTTCTGTACCAATGACACATCGATAGAGAACTTGCCACTTCGTTTCTTCTCTGTGAGAAAGTCGTAGAAGGAAGAGTGAAGGGGACGTGTGGGAATGTCGGGATCCGCAGTGCCGATAACAAGTGAGCCCAGTGGCCCCATGACCGCCTCGACTTTGTAACGGTCATCCTCCTTTGGAAAATGTAGTCGCATGGCGTTTAAGGCAACCATGGGGAGCGGTTCTAATGACGCAATAATTTGCCCCATCACAGAACGAAACATAGGAATCACTTCTTCATCTTCCTCATCCTCTGGCATAATTTCTCCCAATATACGTTGGTACATATTATCCAATAGATGTACTCCTTTTCCAAATGTCGTAGAGACCACAGAGCGCAGACGGCGTATAGGGTCCCCCACTCCGTTCGTATTTTTTATGTGCGCAGAGGCAAGACGAGCCCATTCGAACAGCCCATCGGATTTCTGCGCAAGCATGTTGAAGTCTGTGTCCTTCAAATCGGCGCTCACGCCGGCCAGCTTATTGGTAAGGTAAAGTTGGATGTCATGTTCTGCAGAGGCAGAAGAAATATTATCCATGGAGACATGACGAACATGTGACAAGTCATGCAGGGTATCGTGGATGTCTCGGAGTGGACGGGAAGTAACGAGGATACGAAAATAAGGCGGGAATTTTGTTGGCTGAGAGGACGAAGTATCCAGCATACCAGAAAGCAGACGGAGAATTTGTTCCCGGGATTTGGCTGTGCCACTCTCGTCCAATGCATCAATGACTATTAAAATAGGTTGAGTGATGGTGGGTGATGCCTTGCCTATTGGTTCGACGATGAAGTTCTGCCATTGTCTTGTGATGTCTTGGCTGTGCCCGAGTTCGTTATCATTATGAATCACATGTGCTATCTCTCGCCGCAGGATAAGATTTCCGTCAGCTAAGTCGCGCGCAATCGTGGTGACTATCTTTTCATGGCGACGATTTGCTGTGCGGTCGAAGCAGAAGCAAGCGCCTAGACGCCCAGACTCATGAAACCAGTTGGCGATTGTATGGGCAATGGCTGATTTGCCTCTCCCTGCCGTGCCAGATAACCAGAAAACGGGGGGCACATTCTCCTCAGCGTTGTTGATCCAAGACTTGATCTCGGTCAAAATGCCTTCCCGAGTGCCTGCGATGCAAAGCTTAGATGTATTCAGTCCAGCACCGGTCGCATACTCCAGGCTGTTCAAGTCCATATCATCGGCTAGGTTACGGGTCGGCGAACGTTAGAACATGCGGATGAGTTTGAGGCAAATGCTTACCTGCACGGTGGAGGAAGATGGTGGTGTCACGAGCCACTTTATCTCGGAATTGTTGCATGAGATCATCGAACACTTGATTATAGCTCTGAATTGAGGCATTCGTTTCACTGATGACGTTCTTGTAAACTCTTTTCCCTATTCAAAGACAGTGAATCCTCGGTGACAATACAGTGGAACCTACTCACAGAAATTCTTGGTCTCAGAGTAATGGACAACGAAATCAGCGCATTCTTGCGTCTGTTGTGCGATCTTTAGATATATTGGTAGCATGGACGAAATATTCTTCAATTCCTCCTCTTCGGTCATTAAGGCATAAACTTCCGAGATCTTCTCGAGAAGACGATAAACAGCAGCATCACGGTCTGCCTGATCGATGATGATCTGTCACGAAGACAATCGTCATAACCTGCCAAGTTGAATAAATGGACATAAGCGCACCTGAGACGCGCCAGTCAAAATAGTCATTGTTCCCTTCAGATAGGGATGAATCTACATGAAGGTCAGCTCACATACTCAACAGAGATGAGTGTTCTGTACATCTCCAATACGATCAGCAACAGAGTTGAAGGTCTTCAGTGGCCCAAGAATCGCAGTCCACATGTCGACCTCATTGAGAACCGTCTGAACTTTGCCGGTTGCTGAGACGGCATTTTTGGCGTTGCCCGATACAAGGCGGATGTCTGTGATACCTCTAGTGGCATCTCTAATCCTTTCATTCACAACTTCCGGGTTCAGTGGTTCTGGCTGGATGATAGACTTTAGGATGCGTGTGTCGAGAGCTAGAACTACGCCTACCTGGGGAATCTGCACAGGAACGGGATCCCGTCGGCTTTGTATGCCATCCACGGGCGAAGGGCTCAACGAGCGCCCATTGTTCTGGGCGCAACGACACTGGTTGATTACCTTGTCCCAGAATTTGCGACAAAAACCAGAGTGTCGTCTGGGAGATCCAGTTTGGGAAGGTGGGAAAGAGGACAGCTGCGACGATATCATTACAACATCAACACAAGGGCGACAATATTCCATACATCTTGTTTGGTTGCTCTCTTGCCCCTCCCCCGTGGTAGACGAGGGTCTGATGGAGTAGCATCTTCATTCATTACTTTGAGCAGAAGGCTGGGTCCGAGTCTGAAGAGAGGAGTTGAAGGATGGCAGGAAAATGGCTGCCTAGCGGGTTTTATAACGGACGCGCGCTTGTTCAAGACGTCCATTATGTCAGAAGGAAGGAACTTAAAGACCACTGGATCTGATCAAGGTGAATTGTGGCTACGGAAGTCCACGAGGACGCTTGCATTTTCCAGGTGATCATCTGAATATGTGCCATTCGAATGCCCTAGAGCTCTCTCCTCGGGGGACTTGCCTGCCGTCAGTGACTCGGATGGGTGGCTGTAGGCACTGCAACTTAGTGCCCACTGCCCACTGCATGCAGGCTACCAGCCACACAGGCACGCCAGCTTCTAGTGTAGGGGAACATTTGATGCGATCGAGTTCTGATCTAGAAAAGTAAGCACGACGTTCCACATAATGCAATGTACACGCTTGAAGCTTGACCGCCTATAGCGGTTCTTTTATGAACGTGTGCCCACTGTCAAACCATGAGAATGTTCCATTTCCAAGAGCGCCGGAGAAGCGTGAACGTGAGTGCAGACTGTGCAGTAGCCTCACAAGTCATAATGGAAGTCCATCATGATGCCCACTGCACATTGAGAATCAGCCTCTCCAATCTGCCACATGAAATTTGGAAATCACTAGTGTGTTGTGGTCATTGAAAGAAAGATAACAGATGTGGTGTATTCACAAGTCCCAGGGCTGTTGCGGGTTGCAAGGGGGTTAGGTAAATGGGTGCAAGTTGCCGCAAATGGGTGTTTTTCCGACAAAGTTTCATGTTGGTACTTGCAGCAAGTATACTTGTTAAGTCCAACAAATAAGCATTATTCTCTTCTTCAACTACAGCAACGGCGACGAACACGTAAACTACTTCGAGCGCAGTGGCTGCTCGTCACCACGCGACGAATCCTGTATGAACACAAAAAATCAGAATCAGACAATAGGTGAGTACGCCGCTAAGTAGCCACATGATCGTGCATGTTCATGTTCATATATCCCTTAATTCTTCTTGCATTTCCACTCGATGAATTTAGAGTCCTCAGAGAACTGGGATGATGATTTCGAATTCCAGCAGAGTAACGAATCGAACCTCGACAAACATCAGGCGGCTCAAGAGCCCAGGTTGTCTGTCGCGAGTTCTGCCTTTACTGAAGATTGGGACACCGAAGGAAACCAGCAGAACATCAAGCATTCGTCACCCATGGTACTAGGGCACAACAAGAACCATCCTGCGTTCGCACTTGAAGAATGGGCGGAACCAGGACCATCAACTCCCACAAAGCGCTCTACAACCCAAGCAGAGAACTGGGATGATGACTTCGAGGATAGGACTGAATTTCCTGCTAAACGGCACCCCCACGCCTACTCTCTAAAAATCCGCCATTCATATCATACTCCTCCTCGCCTCAAATCCGCGTCTGACCCCGAGAATTGGGATGACGATTTTGAAACAGACAAGGCCGACACCCCAATGACAAAACGTACGCGTCAAGAGGCATATCCAGATTCATCAGATGACGAGGCTGAGTTTGGATTCACTGACAAGGAAGAGGACAGAACTATTACAGCTTGCAGCCGACCGCAGCTCAAGTTGAGACAGTCCCCGCCGCCGCCTGTGCCTGCATTCCCCCTGTCACTCCTCTCACCTGTAGAACCATTTCCACGCTCTCCGACGGTGTCTGTGTTCTCAATACCGACTACAAGCGGACGTAACTCAGTAGGGTATACGTCCACGTCACATTTGGCACTGAGACCAAGCGCATCAGGTGGCTCACTTGCTATGCTGCCACCCAGTCCACCGATACACCGTGAGCGACGTAGACTACGGAAAAAGTCACGTCCTCCACACATAGAGAATAATGTGTTTGAGTTAATTGAAGAACAGCGCGACTCACCTCCACCACTTCCACCGTCCACTCCCGAGCGACCATCTACTTCGCCCCTCCCCCAATCCGACACAGGCTCAACGGGCCCACAGAAGACACCTCTCCTTTCGCGCATCGGATCAGTCAAGTGGGGTGTGCGCAAGAAGCGAGCCAGTGCGGGGCCAGCAGAGGTAATGATGCATGAGCTCGGTCACGAAGACCAAGAACACACGCCACGCCCAACTAGCTCGCTCACATCTGACCTTAGTAGCATGCGACCGAGCTGGTTTTTTCGCTCTGGCGGCGCCCCTGGGTTTGGGTCCCCGCCGCCGCCGCCCGCCGAACTTAAGCACGAGAAGAGCATGAATAGCATGCATTCGGCTATGCTGTCAACGCCCACCAAACTTTCAAAGCGCAAGTCGAGCAAGATGTTTGATCCAAGTAGCAGCAGTGAGGTCGTGGGGACACCTGGGAAGCCATCGCTTCTCTCTGTGGCCAGGAGACCCACGTCCATGCAAGTCCCACAGGGGAAGATCATTTCGACCTCTTCAGGGACGCGGCACACTTCATATGGCTCATCAGTGGGTCGTATGGCATCGCAGACGTTTGGTCATCCCAGTGAGAGTGCTGAAGATTTACAACATCGGGAGGGTAGTCGGGGCTTCATGGGCAGCATACGGAAAATTAGCCTCATCAGTGGTACAAAGCACAAACGGCAGAAGAGTACTGCCGAAGTTACACCCCTCCCACCAGTTCCTATGAGCCCAACACCTTTACTCCCCGACGAGTTTCAGCATCCAGATCAATTACTTCCTCCAATAGAGCTACAGCCACCATCCCCACCCAAGACGCTCAATGGGGTGACCGCGTCACATTCTGCGCCGAATAATATCAGCCAGGGTGTCGAATCATTATTTGTGCCCTCGAGCAGCGCTCCTGCATCACTATCTCCTAAGGCTAGTCCTGTTTCTGCAAGTCGCGCCTCTCCTGGCAAAGCATCATCCCCTCAATCTGCATCATTAGGACGGGCTACGCAAGTTCCCCTTTCACCATCATCTAGTACCTCTGTCCCCCGTAGAAACTCACTGGGCGACCTCAAGATTCCAGCGAGAATTAGTCAAGCTCAAATCAGCCTTAAACGCGACCTTGGAATGGTGAGGGAATTTGCAGCAAGTGTCGATAGTATGTCCCATTGCAATTTCCATACATGCCTTGACTGAATATTTCCTCAGAGCTTAAAGAGCTGCAAGCAATTCACCATCACCTAGTCGCCGAGGTGCACACTGCCCTAGAGAGTTCTCATCTATCCCGAGCGGCTTCACCCCTCATGACTCACCCCACCCGTCCCCGTTCCAGACTGCGCTCTAACACCGAACCCAAGTCTAGCTTTTCAGAGCACAAACATTTAGCAGCAGCACTGAATGCCATCACGACCAAGTACAAGATACCCTGGGAATGTGCCGAACTACTGATTGAGCTCGGCGGAGGCACGCCTTCCCCTGCTTCTCCTCCGCCTTCCACTGTATCTGCGCCAGCTGCGCAGGCTGAAATCGACCTCCGGAAGAGCCGCGAGCGAGCGGTAACTCTGTCAGGCGAGGAATCGAAGTTGCCCCCGGGATTTGTTTCGTCGGCTGCAACGGCGCAATCCAATCTGTCATGGCGATCATCATCAGGGCGTCACGATCTCACCCAGCGACAGCTTGTTCTCTTGCGCGACATCCTCAATAGTACAGATGGTGCGCTTCCTGATGATGCATTGGTCTCAGAAGAAACGCATGTCAATCGACAATGGCGATGGGGAGATGCGATGAGCAGCACAGTTACGCTTCCCTCTGAAGAATCAGTGCAAACTTCACAGAATGGAAAGAAAAGGCGACATAGCCGAATAGGCATGAGTGGGCTAAGAGACATGCTACGATCGCTAAAGCGGAGCTATTCAAGCCAGCCGTCACCGCTGCCTGCGTCTACCACGTCTCTAAGCACCCAATCATCTATGGGCTCTCAGAGCCAACATCATTATCCACATGCCCATCTTCCTCGATCACACCCCCAGCGAACCTCCAAAACGAGTGCTAGACCAGAATCGCGTCACACTGGGGATGCACTGAGTTCGCCGTACAATGGACAGTCTTTAAAATATAAGTCATCGCCACGCCGACCCTCACTCGCGTCTGTCTTCCGCCTGGGGCAGAAGAACAAGAATGCGTCGTCTGGTGCAGAGTCTTCGCTAGATAGCGCCCACGGTTCGCGCTGTGCAAGCCGAGGCAGTGCTACTACAGAGGAAGAGGATTGGGATCGGATTGACTCTGTCACTGATCTTGACGGAGCGGCGAGAGCACTGGGGATCGATGGGTCTGCCACGATCAAGGGAAAGAAGGGACGTTCACCTTACCTAAATCACCCTCATGAGATGCGTCCAATGTCGCCCAAGAGGGAGTGTTCCTCTCAGACGTCGCTGAAATGTGAACCATCCCCTCGCTCCATAAGACCAATGCGATCGACCAGACTGTCAAACGTGGAAGAGGTGGTTGATGATCGTCAAGCACGCTTGAAATTGAACGCTCAACACCGCACCTCCCGGCCGCGAACGAGCCCTTCACGACCGCCGTCTCGGAACTACAAGCTTGCAATATCGGGGTCCGTACGCTCTGCGCCTTCACAGCCGCCGGATGGTGACTCTTCGTTGTTCTCCGAATTTAAATTGTCGATGACACCGGAAAATATTAAGCCTCTGCTCGACAATGCTAAGGAGGTGCATCTGCGCTTAAACGAATGTATCAGGGAAGTACGCGCGCTGCTGGACGCTTCTACGAACTCGCCATCATCGTAGTTCATTCATCGCACTTCAATTGGGACTTCATCATCATCGCAACGCACCGCATGCATGGTTATGTCTGTACATATTATATCTTGTGTGTTGTTCTTTTCTTTTCTTTGATTGTTTTTTGTGCTTGAAACTTGATAATCGCCATCACGTTGATATTTATGACAACACGTACCCTCACAGCATCCACGAATTCACGAATATACTTACATTATACATGTGCAATACGACACAAATCGAACCTGATAACCCATGTCATTCAGCAAGGAACGACAGGACTATAGACTTCATACTGTTTGTCTAGTCATAGATAATGTATGGTCATTCATCTAAGTTGCGAAGATACTGTATGGCCCCCACAACATATATATAAGAGAAATAGCACTATTTGGATCCAGTTACAGTCCAAGAGCCTCCGAAACAGTCAACCAGTGGTGCCCCTCCCACAGTGAATTATCCCTGCTAGCCGATTCCGCGTCGTCCGATTCTGTCGCAGGGTTCCACCCGCAACTTCCTCCCCCGGCCCCAGCATGCTTCTGGAAGAATGTACGGAAGGGCGCGTTCACCACGCCTTCAGGGAGGGCTTCGCAGTGTACCACAGGTGCACGGCCCTTATATAAGGCCCCGATTTCCGAGAGCGTTGCCCGTTGGCCCTCGATTTGAATTTCAACATCAAGCAGACGAGATGGAGGTTGAGTAGTAAGGATATGAGCCACGTATCCTGCAACATCAGATACTGCAGTAAAGGACCCTGGTGTTTCTCCTTTGTTCACGATATAGAACTTGCCGGTATCAGCCAACGCAGTGAGCCAGGGGACGAATTCGTAAAACAACCCGTTCTGTAGTCGTTTCATTGCATTCAACGCTTATTAGAATGATATCCTATGAATGACTACTCACGAAGACGCGAAGAGTTGGCAGTCCGATTGATTTTGCATAAACTGTGAAACGGAGGATGAGTCGACGCCACGATACGCTATCATGATCACTCGCCCGCGAAGTCAGTCTTTTGAAAAGCCAAGCCGCCTTTAGCTAATTGCGGTTTGATACCGAACTCGCTGGGCACGAAGAGCTTCACACCTGCCTCCTTAGCAGCGTCGGCCAGAACATTCTGGCCAACTACACCGCCGAAAACAAGTGTAACAGTCGAGATGAGGACATCTACTTTGTGCTCGCGAAGAACTGTGGAGATTTCGGATGCAGATGTATAGTCTGCGCGAACAACCTTGAGGTTAGGATCATCGGCAGGAAGCGCAGCGACATTCGTGGAGGCTGGTCGTGCGATGACCAGAATTGGGGTGTCAATGGCAAGGAAAGCCTAGTAGCTAGTTAAGGATGACAACTGCAAGAATATAATTACGAACGTCACCTTCACGATATGAATTCCAGTGTTAGGGCCTGCGCCGATGATAGCAAATGACTTGAAGGGTTGTTCAGACATATTGTATTGGCAAGAGGGTTGGTTTGTGTAGTTTTAGACTGCCTTTGTTGATGACATACCCAACTTTTATACTCTACCTCCTGTACTGTCGCATAGATGATGGTAATTATCATCAATGCCGCCATCTTGATGTATAGTGAAGGCGGTACTCTGATATTTGAAGGATGCCTGGGAGACCAGGAGAGAGCCCTAAGAGGATGGCACGGGTATACCGCGCCTGGCAGTTCATGATGCGGTATGTTCCATGTTCCTAACATTAGAAAACACGAGACAAAAACCCATCAGCAAAGCTTGACGAGGCATTTCATGATTCAGACGACCGCATTACTCTAGCAGATCAAAATCATCAAATCGCACTTCATGTGCAAAATTTTGATCAACTTCACTCGATAGTATTGTAGGGGACTCACTTACTATCCTGGCAGTACTTGCAAGCTATCATGATAGCTAATTTTAACTTGTCAGTTCTGGAGTAAGAAACTTATGTAAATCAGCAACGCATACATTTCGAAATTTCAACCCCGGGTCACACCTGGGCCTGATGGATGCAGTACTCTGTGCCAGTGAGCCTGATGTATGCGCCTCCATCAGCTTCCCTTACTCCCGGTGCGTAGAAACCAAGTTTAACATCTGTCATTTCCAGGGTCTGGTCGAGGTGTGATATCAAAGGCGAGGCTCCGTTACAGTGAACCATCGACTCACTGTCAATACAATTCGAAGGCAGTGACAAGTGGATTTACGGTGACAGGATCGTGTAATTTGTATTGCTATTCGTCACCGCCCGTGTCCCAGTTCTGCTCCAGTGACAGTAGATTGATGGTAGTTCAAAACTCACCAAATACATACAAACACATCGCCACAAGGACCGGGGTGATCCGACTCCGATACTCCAGTCTCTGTAACCTCGAAATAATCGCTACCACTAGTACATAGGTCACACCAATCACATACTCAGTCTGGCGCCAGGCGCACACCACCACATTTTGAATTCGACCGCATCTACTATATTGCTCGATGTACCCGGTCCTCCAGGCTTATTTCGAATGGCGAATCTCTCCTCCGTCTCGTTTGAAACATCCAGGAGTTATTTAACTTTAACATCTTGAGTTCAATAGATGCAGACTACTTCAGCCTCAATTGCCACTCGTACTCCGAGCATTCTCAAGGGCCCTGAACAACTCGACGTGCTATGGATTGTGATAGCTCCTGTAGTCAACACGGCGATGCTTTGCCCAAGGCTCTCATCCGATCTGACATCTGGTTTACGGATGGTAATATCGTCCTTATCGCCGACTCTGCAGCGTTCAAGGTCCACCACGGTCAACTCGAAAGGCACTCGGAGGTCTTTCGTGACTTATTTTCCGTTCCACAGCCCGTCAACCAGAGCCTTGTCGACGGTTGTCCTTCGGTCGAGCTGTACGACCGTCCGACCGATTTATACCACCTGCTCATTGCTTTGTATGATGGAATGTGAGTATCTAGCGTTGTCTAGGATTCTGAATCAATGCTTATAGCGTTACGCATAGCTACTTCCAGAAACACACTGCAGCAGATTTTGTTGCTATCTCTGCCGTACTTCGTCTCTCCACGAAATACTTCATCGAGCACCTACGCGAACGCTGCATCGCCCGTCTTGCAATAGACTGGCCCACATCACTCTCTGATTGGGATCGCAGGGAGAACGACGGGACAGATAGTGCGGGCCGCTACAACCCCCGCGAGATTTTCCCCCACCCTATCCTAATGCTTAATCTCGCTTACGAGCTCAACCTTGACACTTTCCTCCCCAGTGCGCTCTATGACCTCTCGCGTTACGGCCCCAGCAAGATTCTCAACGGCACCCGTGGTCCACCCCCGATCTTCTTCACTGAGGGCGAGCCCGAAGGTCAGCTCGCCCGCCTCTCAGACGATCACCTGTGCACTACGTTCCTGGGTCGCGAGGCTGCGCAGTTGTACATACATACCTTCCTCGAATCTGCACTTCGCGACCGTCCGTCTACCAACTGCGCAAATGTTGGCAAGTTGAGTGCCGTGCACTGCGTCGAGTCTTTCTACTTCATACACCTCAACGTTCTGCGTTCTGTTGGTGGGATTGCATGCGGACGTGACGCAGATCCGCTGTACACACTTCTACAAGCCGCGGAAATGTTGGAAAGGACCGATTTTTCAGATGGCGTAAAGACGTGTGGGTTGAGAATGTGCTCGGTATGTAAGACTGAATTTATGGATGTCATTAAAAAGGCAAGGCTGGAGGTATGGGAGTTGATTCCGGAGTGGTTTGGACTCAGGGAGCCAAGATCTGTGGAGGATGTCAACTAGATTTTTTACAACATTTATTATCATGGTATTACTGCGACAGAATGCGCAGTTATCTTACTGTACACAAAAAGCACGAAAGGCGATGAATTGCCATAGATACAAAACCAGATTAACATGCAGGATGAGTGTTATACAATGTTTATTCCTCGCCAATTTTTGGTGCAAGGTAGTACTTGATCTCGCCTTGCCCGAACTTGTAAGATACCTAACCACAGCACCATTTGTTAAGAATAGTCGACCAACATTAAGAACTAAACGTACAAGAAGTGGCACGTCGTTGCTCATCATGAGCTGCACCGTGTTTGATAATGCTGAGCTCTTGGAGAAGTTGACCAGGTATTTCAAGCTAAACGTCAATGATACGTGTTGGTTCATTTCAATAAGGACTCCTCCATCTGTAGGAGTCTCGTCCGATTTTTTCACTTTCTTGGCGGGCTTGGCGTTAGACTAGAGCACTGATCAAAGAGTGGAATGACAATTAAAACGATGACAACCCACCTTTGCGGGTGCTTTCTTGCGCTTCTTGCCACTCTTCTTACTGTCATCCTCATCTTCATCCTGCTCTTCCTCACCTTCATCGTCTGACTTGGCCTTGAACTCTTCCTGTTCTTCATCCTCGTCCTCACCATCCATCTCAACGTCAGCGTCCTCTTTCTTCATATTCTTTTCTTTCTTGATCTTCTTTTTGCTGCTGCTTCCTTCTTCGTCGTTTTCGTCATCATCCTCTTCCTTAGGTTCTTCGTCCTCCTTGCCATAGTTGGCGTACTTCTCTCGGGCAGCCTCAGTTTGCTTCAACAATACGTTACCGTTTGCAGCTTCGCCTTCACTTGCAAAGCGCACACCTTCCTTTGAAACTTCGATCCGTACAGACTCGCCAAGTTGCGACAGGTCTCGGACAATTCTCGTGAATTCCGACGCGGTCATAGTAACTCGTGCATCGTACTCTGTATCTGGGATACCAAGGGTCTCGGCATCGATATCCATGAGTTTCATGTCATACTCCGCGATTCGGTCAGAACCTTGGCGTAGGCTTGTTCATGAACATGGTCGTTAGGGAATATAACAAAAAGGGCTTACTCCTTGCTTCGTAGACAAGGTTCAAAACGTCAGCATCATCGGACGCCTTGATGATACAGATGTCATCATCCTTGGCACACTTGAGTACTTTTGTGAGGGAGTTGAGATTGACACCCAGAGGCATTGGGCGATCACAGCGATACTTTTTGAAACCTGTTGCTTCAAGCTTGACAGCAACGAGGGCTACATGAGAGTTATCCATCGCTTGAAGGTTCTAGAAGCCGCATCATCATAATGAAATGACTGCTGGCGGAACAAAACCTACGATTCCTTCCTCATTGCACTCAAAATTGGCGTCTGTCACCAATTCTTTAATGGCTACGAAATTTTGACGAGTGAGTCCTACCACGAGTATTGGCCAGAATAAAGCTTACAGTCCAGCAGACGCTTGAGAAGGGCTGCTTCTTGGAGTCTTGCTTCTAGCATGATGAGTGCAAGAGAAAGAGAACGAAGAGAAAGGGAAAGAAACTAGACGCGTCTAGGTCGCGTTGACTGCACCATTTCAAGCGGAGACGGACGAGTCCATGGACCGCGTCTTTACGCGTCATGTCACATTTGTCACGTAGTCAGGACCTGTCACGGTATGCCGTTCGGCATGAAAAAGCAAGTCGAGCGCTGTCACCAACTTTCACCACGCTCTTGAGATCTGAGCTTTGGCCTAGGCAATTGGATGTTCTAGAAGTTGCTTGTGTTAACTACATTTGTATCCCTAAATTCGAATTCAAACTGCATACTACTTGTGGTTCACTAAAACAAACATATGCTGTGGTAGCGTGGATGAACTTTTGCTTTTTTTGTCCTGACAAAAGCGTCGGCGATATATAACGGCTGGATTACCGCTTTGCCACCTCAGAAAACCCTGTCTTACCCATTTCTTGAGCTTATTATTATGACCACTTCACAAACCAATCTTACGGACCGTAGCAAACTTCGCATGGAGCGGCTCAGGCTCGAAGAGCTCGAGCAGCAACGCTGGGAACAAGAGGCACTCGTAATGCCTGAAGTGCGTAGCTACGTATTCTATTCAGCACTCCACAGGGCTTACTATCTACAAAGGCGCTCAATCAAGCTCTCCTCATGTCATTTGCATCAGTAAAGACTGAATTCAGTGACCTTGATGGTCTCTCGTGGTCACGCTACCCTGTTCCTTTGGTTCCTAACCCATGGGTACGCTGCAGTCCTTCTCTACTTCCCTCCATTCTACATTAATTTTCTCTCAGGCAATAGACGAACCATCCCCCACTCCAACACCGGATTATCCCGAGCCCAGCGGATTCCCTGACGAGCTAGAATACTCTCAACGGTCACAAACCCCCTCACCTTACACTGTTTCATCGTTCACTGGGCTAACCTCTTTCTCACCTGGAGAAACCATTCGAGTACCTCGAGCACCAAATAAATTGTCTCGGTCTCCCTTGTTACCTACAAACCAGTTCACTCCGGATTCGAACAATTCAAGATGCTCTGATCACACAAGGTCTTCACCGCCTACAAACTACCACATGTCACCAAACGATGCTCGCTATGAACTCCGCCACCTACCTTCATTTGACACATCTATGCAACCCCGGATATCCATTCCTTCAAAACACCGCAAATTTAATCCACAACTTACATAGCATCGCATTCATGATTACATCCCCTCTTTTTTAACGTTAACGGAAATGCTTTGTATCAATACTACTGTAGCTGTAAGCTTAGAGATTCAATCGACTGCCTTGGATATTATATTACATCGTTTTGCGGGATCGTCGAAATGCTGAATGGAGAAGGGAATTCGAAGTTCTGATCGACGTTATACGTCTGGACAGGTTAATGTATCATGCTTCAAGTTTAAGGCCTTACGCATCATGATATCTCGAGTCAGCGCTCAAAGGCTCTCGGGCCCGGAAATTTGAAGTATAAGTCAGCGTCTACCTCGAAACACTGGGGTGTCTTGTGATATTTTATGGTGCTTCAATATGAATTTCAACGCGCCCAAGTCTTGATTCCTGCAAATACCACGTTCACCCATAGAATACAGTCAGGAGTTTTAGTCTGCAAATCCCAATTGAATGTTATTACGACACATTCGGTATTGGGTATTCAGGAATGTGGTAGCTGGTCGAGAACAAGGAGACCATTCAAGGTGATTATATGTGAAGCATCTGCAAGTAGTTTATATATCTGCGATGTGTCCCAACTCACAATTTATATAATCAATCAATGATCGAGTCCAGACGCATCAGCAAGCCACGGCACTTATGCAACGATGCATGAATCGTTGGCCTTGATGTCAATCTTGTCCATCAACAAGCGAGTCCTCGTCCTCAGATCCTCAACTTCCTCTTGCAGAGCCCTCGATTTCTCCCTTTCCTCCTTCCGGAGTTGAATAAGGACAGGCAAGATATCCCTAACGTAATTCCAAGGATGGAAACGGTTTGATATTTCCATCCGTAAGTCATCATCGAGCATACGACACGAACGGACGCCAAACGATATCCAGGTTACGCCAACTTCGAGTTTGCATTTGGGTGGACACAGGTGGCTCAAGAACGCAGCGACGGCTTCCGGGTCGTGTGCTCGCGACGTTCCTACAGACAAGAAACAAAGGGCTGCAAATGGCTTCAATTCTAGCGTGGGAGGGGTCTTTGTAGGGTTGGCATCAATGAAAAGACCTAGTCGGCGCAGCTTTGGGCAGTGGCGGGCAAAGGGGACGAGAGCTCGTAAGTCAAGCGTAAATTCGTGCATGATAAGTGGTTCCTCATTCAGAGTTAGACTCTCGAGGGACGGCCACCGACATGCAAGTTCCTCGATCTCCTCCAGAGTAATGTTTACCGGGTATTTGTGCATAACCTGGAATGTAACGAGATTCGAGAACGAAAGTAGTGGTGTAAGTGTGTTGAATGTGATTTGGTTTGCGGGGACTAGCTCCGATTCTCCAGTAACGTGGTGCGCTAATAGGATGTATAATTCGGAGAGACCGTGGCATCTCTCTGAGAGCATAACGAGCAACGTGTGTAATTCTTCGGGTTTATGTTCAACATAGGTGTTGATGAATAGGGATGTGATATTGATGGGCGCAAAGTCCGCATTCATGAATCGCATGACATGTTCAATGCGGGCAGTAATGGCTAGGTCCCCCAGTGCGGGAAATGCTCCTTCCTCGAGGACAGGCGCGAAGGTCTCCACATCCCTTTCTTCACCGAACCCTTGCTCGTGCCCAAACTCAAATTGTACGATGTTGATGTGTTTCATCCGCGAAAGCTCAGATACGATACTTGACGTGAGGAAAAATTCGGGAAAATTAACTTTTTTCAGATCCGGAAGACCTCGAAGAAGTCCCAGGATGGCAGTCTCGATATGTTGCACGCGGTAAGGAACATGGAGATCAAGTGAGTGGAGGTGCGGCGCTCGGACACAGATGTCGAGAAAAAATGAAAGCCTATCTTTGTGGCGGAGAGGAGGCGCAGATATGATGAGGTGCCTCAGACGCTGATGCATGAATAGTGTGGCTCGTTCCATGCAGTCAACATCTTCGTAGATCCATTTCAGAGTGTGCAGGTTCGGGAGCATATCGAGCGTTGTCCTTGTTCTGGCCATATCATCGAGCAGACTAGAATAGTCTACGTCCCTATCCTGCTGAAATCGCAGAATGCGCACGCGGTTGGCATACTTCTGGAATCTCGCCCAGTCCCTTGAGTCTGGCAGTCCATCAAATAACTAGAATATAATGAACAGGGGAACGGTAAGGGAGACAGGATGACACACATTGTACCGTCCCTTTATCTTGTATGGCCTCAAGAGAGCAAGAAGCCTGGAAAGATCGTCTACCTCCCTCCAAATGATGTCCAGAGCAATCTCTGACCATTGCTTGCAAACGCACGCGTTGTTCACATGGTCATCTTCGTCTACAAAGCTGAGGATGATGCCCAGCAACTCCGGAATAAATAACACCCTGTGAGGCTGCGTGGCAGACATGAAGGACACTACTGTTATTTAGCACAAGCGGAGACAAGGTTCAGTGTCAATATCGGCAAGTCCCGCAGAAAGTCCCCTGCTTCTGATCTTGACTCATCCGGACTACTCCTACACAGATGTCAGATGAAGTTCCTGCTGTCTCTACTTTCTCAGCGTCAGGAGAGGATGCGATTTCTCGTACCATAGAGTTGAATATAGACTCATCTAATACGCGAAACATAACTCCGTCCGACTTCCTCGAACTTTACGAGATCGAACGAACAGTAGCTGCAATCGTAGAAGGGAACTTCAAACGAGTGAGTGAGATCTGTCTTACTTTGCTCAATCTAACCATAGCTCATACTAGCATAGGTAGCTCTCCAATTTCCTGATGAACTTTTGTGTCATTCTGTTCCAATCTACCGCCTACTCAAAAGTAAAACAGGCGAGGGTCATGATATCTACGTCTTAGCCGACACTTCCTACGGAAGGTTAGTTACTACTCGGTGTAGAAGGCATCTTTTGACACACTTCGAAATACAGCTGCTGTGTTGACGAGGTTGCGGCACAACATGTCGATGCAGACCTAATCGTGCATTACGGCCACGCTTGTTTAAGCCAGTGCGTGCCCGAGACCCACCCCCGATTGAATGCAACGTGACGTTTCTACTATAGACCTTCTAGGCTGCCTGTAGTCTATGTCTTTGGAAAGAAGCCTATTGATGTTGATGATTGTATCAACCAAATCGGTCAATGTTTAACGACACAATTACAACAAGTTACAACTAGTAACACCAATAATCGACCGACCGTTTTACTTCGCTATGATGTTGGATATTCCTGCCATGCAGGTGCTTCAAGTCTCTTCTTTGGATGCTATCATTCAACGTAAACTTACCAGCAACGCAGATGTAATTACCCATAGGCTGGAGAGTGAATTGCAGCCCCTGAATACTAGGGTGTTGCACGACCCACTTCCAACTAGGCTTGATCCTAAGACCATCGTGCAAAGTCCCAAGCCTTTCGAGCAGGCTGGTGCAGAATCCGATGAAGGTAGTTTCACGAATGTCATTATCGCATATATTGGTGGCGAAAGCCTCAACCTTACAAATTTATTGATGACGCACTCTCATTGCGAGGTAAATTACCTTGATTGTTATCTGATATTGGCATCTAATGATGTTTTTAGGTGTATTCATACGACCCCTCTACGAGATCCACTCACTTGCAATCCCATAAGACCAATAGGTTGTTGATGCGGCGCTTCGCCATGGTCCAGAGGGCACGAGATGCAGATATTTTTGGTATCCTCATAGGCACTCTTGGAGTTAGTCAGTGATTCTATTTCTTGTCGTCTTTGTGATCACTAACACACATCATTAGCATCATATCTACCCCTCATTGCCCACGTCAGGAAGCTTCTAGCTCGTGCACAGAAGAAAAGCTATACGATCAGTGTTGGCAAGCTGAATCCTGCGAAACTCGCGAATTTCATGGAGATCGAATGTTTCATTTTAATCGCATGTCCTGAAAATAGTGTGATAGATTCCAAGGTTGGTCTGCTTCGTTGAAGTCAACGAATTGCTCACTCCCTGTGACGCACAGGAATTTTTAAGACCGATCGTCACCCCTTTTGAACTCGAGGTTGCACTTCAAGCTGAAGGCACTTGGAGTGGACGATACGTGCTAGATTTTGAGAAAATACTCGCCGCAGACTCTGCAAGTAACCTTGGTACGCTTCCAAAAGTGCTGCAGTTCGATTCCTTATGTATGTCATCTAGATACCGCTGCTGAAGACAATGGAGGCGATCCAGATCAACCGACTTTCTCTTTGGTTACAGGAAAATACCGACAAGCAAAACGTTATGGAAGTAAGCACAATTGCGACGTACTTAACTTTATCTTACATCCCAAAGTTGAAGACTATAAGACGTCGGCCGAGGGAACTTCAGATGCTCTTACTCTTCGAAACCAAGATGGTTCTCTCTCGAAATTAGCTGATAGTGCGGCAGGTGAGTAGTCTGCTGCCATATGATGTTCCTCGTATGAATTGTGGCACAGCATTGTTTCTTCACTCCCGCTCATATCAAGGGCTGGAAACTAAAATTGGAGAAGATTCTCCATCTGTCCTGGAGCAAGGCCGCAGTGGTATCGCTCGTGGTTATTCTGACGATCACTCATAAATATATCATGCATTTTAATCTCGAGGAACGCTGTAGTACCCCTCGAACTGTTTCGGGAGTAACAATGTACAGCACCTTGTCATCAGACAGAGTTCCGATATGAAGCACACCAGTCGTATCATCTTAAATTGTGATCTGACAAGAGATTCAATTGCTCAGTTATTGGACAAGTAGGTTCATCATCACAGCTCTAGTTGAGCGCGATTAACTTACAGTTAGATTTTTCTATGCCATGCGTTAGTGGTCATTTGTGAATATTGATGTTTAACTTTGGGAAGATGTTCTAAAGCTCGAGCGCAGTGATCAGGATTATCTTAATCTTAGATTCAGATTCAACAGGTGGCTGATGCGGATTGCTTGAACGTTGGCAGCAATATATATCAGCCGCCCGTTGGGATCCTTGATATCATGACCAGAGAATGAGTTCGCGAGCCTGGATGGCTCACAAAAAACCATCCGAGTCATGACAGCACGAACCCCGTCTCATGCTTAGAAGACATTTCACCTTCAAGTTGCAACTCGTATAATTACAGCTTCAACCGGCGCACATTGAGTGACACAGTGGTTCCGATATTGGTGATTCATTTCGAACAGGTTCTTCCTTTTTCTCTAGTGGTGATCAATCTCATCCACAGACACAACCTCAGGAGGTTCTTCATTCGCCTGAGCTCTGCTTCTGGAATCCTTGGATCGGATTTAACCAAACGCAGCCGGTGTGTTTTCTCGTTTTCATGAACACCATGCCATTCAATGGTAATGTAGGATCCAGGGTGAGCTAAAAGGTCCATAGAATTAGGTTCATGAGGCGATGCATATGATTTTCTCTTTCGCTTAGTTCAACCAACCAGCGTGGAGTTGCTTGATCCTCTCTTTTACTGATCAGTCACAGAAGTGGACGCAGTCCCATGTGAGGGTGAGACCCTGATCACTGCAAAACATATCACAAGCAGCAATCGTGCGAGGACGGTCAGTAAGCACCCAGACAGATCCATCCCGCTCTGGTAAGAAATGACCTAATCAGCGACAGACACCACGAGCGTTAGAGAAGATGTATCAAATGCGAAACGTTTCCTGTGATGCGGTAGGAAGTGTCCTCGAAGCCTCCAAGTCGTCGAAGGAGAAGGTGGGAGAGCAAAGTCGTCCTCCGATTGAGGATGGGCAATTACTCCTATTATATTAACGCAAGTCACAGTAGCGACAATGAGCTGCGCGTTGTCAGGTCAGCATGATAAATTGAAGAGAAGAGCGCACAGAACTTTTGGAGAGAACCCATCCAGCATCGATGTTATAAACAACATTAACGACGAAGACCTTGACGATAATACACAAAAAAGAGGACATGGCAGCCTTTTCGGTGTGGGCGAAGAAAACTCGTGCGGCTAAGTAATGTAAGTAGGTTAGCGTGGAAACAGGTCATTGAGGTCAAGCCTCAGATCACCGAGAAGGCGGACGCTAAGCGAACCCGAACACACATTTCCCCGCGTAGTTCCCCCGCGTAGTTATGAGACAATAGTTTGAGTTGGCGATCGAATGGCGTATTCAGTGAAGTTCCGTGGTTTGTCGAGGCCATACTATCTCGAGAAGGCATGGTACTGTCTCAGGTAGTTCCTGGTCATATATGAATTCGAGTGTCCCATGTACCTATGAATTGCTTGTAGTGCCTGTTATGTACAAGCTCATCGCCCGGATGTTTTGTTAAATTGCGCCAAACTTTCAAGTCAGTAGAAGAAACGAGTGGAGTGAGCGTGGTATTGGAAATGGTGTGCGTTATAAGATAAAGAGAAAGATGTGTTAAGCATTAAAAACCGATAACTTGAGCAATCTAATTAGTCCTTGATGACCTGCGGGATTCCATCGACCCCTTTCTCCCACGTGTCCGATTTCCGTAGAACAATATAGGGCGAACGAGAAGAGGAGGTGAAAGTAAACATCCACTTTTACATTAAGTCATCGACCTTGCGATTTGTGCCAATTGCTCCGCCATTTCGGGGTAGTTGCGCGTAAACTCCAACTGTGCCGTACTTGCCTGTAAACCGCCTCGTTAGATCAGGATCAGCCAATACCCTCGTATCGACTCACATATTGATACGTAAGGGCATTTATCAACTCTGGTTCACTGCGCGCCAGTTCCGCCTGCCTCTTGAACATCTCAACGGCGCGGTCAATCTTGCCCTGCTGCAAAGACAGTTGGGCAAGCGTGGCGACTGCAGGTTCGCACTCAGAATCAATTCTCAAGGCTTCATCGCAGCATTGTTCTGCAGCAGCGATGTCTTGTTTCCATTGGTAGATGGCAAGGCCCTTGTTAACAAGAGGGAGAACGTTCATCGGAGGAGGTCTGGTTGAGTTAAAGTGAGTCGATGCCTTAAAGAGGAAAAGAAAAATTATACTTGGCACGCTCGAGCTCCACAGCGCGATCAAACTTATCAACAGCATCCGCGAAACGCCGTTGATCCAACAATAGCTCGCCACTGACGAGTCATTAGACGAAAGCTATCATCAAATCCAGCTACTCACTAGTAGTTCTGAGGCTCGCTCCGTTGAGGGAAATTGGTCATCGTCCGTCGGAAGGTGGCCATGCTCCGCGCAAGTTCATCCATCTTGTACAGGGCGACGGCAAGTTGGATATGCGAGAATACAAATGTATCATCGAGTTCGCTGGACTTGGTGTAGTTGTCTGCGGCCTCCTTGAATTCATTGGTGATGAAGAGAACTGCAAATCCATGAGTGACGGTTGGCCATACAGGAAACAAATCGCTCACCTTGTCCACGGTGGTAATAGATGTCGGGGTCCTGGGGGTTGTGCTTGATCGCTTCCTCAAAGCACTCGAAGGCCTTTGTACCCTCGCCTTGCTCCATGTGCACGCTCGCAATCTTCACCCAGCTTTGTGTTAAGGAAGGAAGGATCTTGACGGATTCATACAGGTCTTCCTTAGCGCCAGACACGTCACCCATAAGGAACCTATACAAAATTTAATCGGCGCATTTCAAAGTAAGGAATGGCTAACTTGAAAGTGCCGCGAAGGTTAAGAGCTTCGGCTTTGCCTATTTCCCATGAAATACCCTGTTCCATTGCCTCGTTCACGAGCGAGACAGTGTGTGCATAGTCGGCAGCTTCTAAAGCTTGCAATGCGAGTATCAGAGTATTATCACCAGTTGACGGGTTCTCCGGGAGTGCAGGCAGGGGTCCTTGTGCAAAATCAGGTTTCAGAGATTAAAATGATGGAAGTGAATGTACATACGGACACGGAATGCCGCAAAGTAAGCTGAAACAAATGTGAATGAGGGAAGTCGAGGTTCGCGCGTCTAACTTCAATGAGCAACGTGTCAGTGATTCTCGTAATTGTTATACTCACGCTAAGGATGATGGCGGCTTTTTCTGTAGCAATCTTCTTCAGGACGCGTTCCACAGCTTGTGCAGCCGACTCGTTTTGGAATTTATCCAAGATAGTGGCAGCAGTGAAATCACGCAGAGCCTCCTGGTTTCTGGACAAAGCTTCAAGAGCATTGGCACGCCTGTTCAGCGCTTTTACGTAGCTGGGATCGGCACGCAGCGCCTCATCACAGTCCTGGACCGCCAACTCGTACTTAGGGGGTGTCATATTCATGTAACCTGATGAGTGAGTGAGACATGCGTCACGTTGATATTGACGGGAGGAACGCACATGCCGCACGGTTGCTGTAGTACACAGGTTCTGATTTGGTTGCCACCTGGATTGCACGCGTATACATGTCTACTGCCTGTTGGAACTTTCGGTTCTGGTAGAGCGTGTTGCCCCGTGTCTTGAGTGTGCCTGCCAATTTTGTGCGCTCCTGTGGGTCTCTTATGTTGAAGTGAACGAATAAATCACGTATCAAAAGTACTGACCTCCACTGACATCCCGGCGATCTCTTCCGCTGATAGTGCATCCTCTATTCGGTGGTGAGCGCGAGCTTCCAAAATGCAGTAATACTAACCCTCTTCAGTAACTTTGGGCTTTATCTCCTCAAGTAGGGGACCGTCAGGATCATTGACGGTCTTCCTCTTCTTTGAAGACTTCTTTTTGTCTCTCATCTTGCCCTTCTCCAAGTCACCGCCTGGACCGCGCGAAGTGGAAGCATAGTAAATGACACCTCCAACAGCGAGCGCGGCAGCAGCTGTTCCTATAACGACTGCCTTTTTATTTTCGGCCACGAAGTCTTGTATTCTTTCGAAGTAGGAGGTTGACGAGGTGGTGGCCATGATGGAAGAATGGACAGATGGCGGTGACGCGAATGTTCGGCTTGAACAGCTGAGTACAGTCAAAATTTCCAAAACATCGACGTGGGAATATTTACGTCATAAGACTATCCTGTCGAACCGCATATTTTTTACATAGGGATCATCTGCACTGAGCCGACCTCTGTATATCCAGTGATAATGGTGTTTGCATGCATGTCATTTATGAATGTTGCACTGAGTCTGATCCGGTCACCACTGGCAGGTATGTTCAAGTCGTAATCACAACGTGGCCTGCCTAGTACTATATGGGCCCGGGAGGGCCCGGGAGACTAACTCAACTCCGAGTCGCAGTCTAGCGTTTGGTTCCCTCCGGCCTCAATATTCAATCTTGAACCTGTCTCCTACTTATAATTAGCAGGGAGCAATCTGATTCAGGTCATGCGTACCATTTCTCACTGATTCTCACATGTGACTTTCAGCCTGACGCTCAACGTGAACTCTCACTCCCATTCTTCCGAGTCAACATTGATCAACTGTCGTCGGACATTAGGTCGACTCTGAGTTACTTTATTTATTATCATCGGTGCAGGCCATGTCTTCATCCCTACCAGTGCCCCTCTCGGCTGCAGGAGCTTCTCAAGCAGAAGAGAATCTACCACCCAAACCTCCAGTCATGAATTTCCCAATTTCCCCAATTCCGAAAAATCCACTCGGAGAGGGACGGTACATTAAGACTGCTGCTGCTCTCATCATCGGGTATGTCCCATCTTCTGTAGTAAAGTACACAGCTAAAATCATGGCGACACTATAGGGATGAAATTCTGAATGGAAATACCTTGGACCGTAACTCGAATTACTTTGCGCGCTTCTGTTTTGAGAATGGTATTGAGCTGTAAGATTTTATTCAGCAATTCTTTCTATCCCTGCTGATTTTCTGTTCGACAATACAGCCAGAAAATTGAGGTAATTGCAGACGACGAGCTCGAGATGTAAGCAAGTTCGCCCTTGTCATCATCAGGAGTAATAACAGGGATCTCTAGAATTGAAGCTAGCCGAAGGATGGTCATGAAATATGATCTCGTTATCACCTCTGGTGGTATAGGGCCCACTCACGATGGTATAGTGCATCAACCCCTGTTGTAACAGTTGGAGGTCTGAATGCATCCATTTCTAGATATCACATACGCATCTCTTGCAAAGTCTTTCGGACAAGAGCTCAAATATCACGATGAAACTATCACACGTATGGAAGAATCTAGCCGACATCGCACATGGATGACGCAGCAGAGCGAGGAGCAACGCACCGCTCGTAAACGTATGGCACTGTTTCCGGAAGCTGGCGAGGTTCTTTTTGTCGCTAGCCACATCTGGGTTGTGCGTATTCCTTACCCCTTCGCGTGGTATCGTGCATTAAGATGCATTGGCAGCCTGTTGTTCGACTGGAAGGCAAGCTATGCATATTGCCAGGAATCCCCTCACTTTTCCAGAAGCTATTGGATAACTTGAAGCCTTTCTTGCCTCTACCCACAGAAGATGCCCGTCCCTTCAGGCTTCAAGTCTTTACTCCGTAAGTTATTGTCATTATTTCTCCACCGCCAGTGGATCAAGCTCCTGATGATGTTGAAGACTCCCGGAATCGTCCATTGCGCCATTCCTCGCAGCTCTACAGAAACGCGTTAAGCCTGAGAATATCCGGATAGGCTCTTACCCGCTCCATCACCCAGGCGCACACATCGCATTAATTGGATTAGACCGTGAACGTGTGACAGAACTAGGGTTGGAGGTGGAGAAAGAGCTGCAAGGCCGTATACTGAGTGCAGAGGAGACCGAGGCAATGAGCAAGGCAAAAAGGCAGTGATGTAGGTCTCAGATATTGCCCAGAGATGATGGCCGGGAGGGTATCTGAGGTAGATTATCTCACGTATCAACCACATATGAGGCCTAGGTAAGTATGCGTGCAACATGTATGTGAGGCTGCAATAAAGTTAAGACACCGGGTGACAATAGCACCTGATACTACTAGTGTGGCGTGAAATGCTTAAAACTTGGTGGCCTCAGGCTCCGAACCCCCTGAGTCAGGCCGGTACTGCTGCTCCAGTTTGACATCTCCTGCAAGAACGTCCCTCAGCAGCACCAAGGCTGCCTTCGTAAAAGCCATCATATTCTTCTCTCTGTCTGCGACACCTGTGTTCACGACACGAGTCACAGCACCTTCACGAGACACGACGGCAATACATGTTTGCCCTGCTCTGTAAATTGCAAGAGTTAATATCGTGTCATCAGCGACATGGAGAATAATGAAGCCCACATCATATGAACAAGTGGTGGACCCGGGACAGTAGGACCTGCAGCACCCCACTCCCCAATGCAGTATGTGACATCCATCTGCTCCCTGACGTTCGCTGCGAGCTCCATGACGAGTTTCGGTGTGGGTCCACTAAACAGGATAGTCCATTAGCAGCTGATCGACAGTAATAAGCTACTGTGATAAACAGACTTGTAGTTCACCACGTCCTGATCGGTCCAACCTGCCCAAGCCCTCCGTGATTTTGTGGCATACACTGTCGCTCCACCCGCGAAAAACTTGCTTGCTCCAGAAACAGAGAGCAGGGAAGCTGACACGAGACCACCTGATGTAGTTTCTGCCACTGCAAGCGTCGACGAGGTCGACCTCAGAAGCCCAGAAATCTCAGTCAAAAGAGGCTTTAAAGAAACGGGAGGAAAAGCATAATCGTCTGTGGGTTCCATTAGAGATTCTCAGCTGAGATGTTGGCGTGGGTCCTCATTTTGTCCTCATTCTATGGAAAGCCGGAGCACCGTGCTCGTTTGAGAAAAATCGGTCATGGGGGCTCGCGAGTCGCCAAAGGCGAGCCGAGGAAATTGGAAGGGGTCGGCCTTCGGAAGTCGCCGGAGTCGGAAGACCTTCTACTAGTAGTCACTAGTGTAACGCTCGTCAAGTACATCATGGCATTACCTTTCTACTGACTCATCTTGTCCTTTCCTCGCATTCTTAGGTGAAACCAACCCTCCGGTCCGGCGCAAAGTACGGCGCTACGGCGGATATATCCGCAGTCCAAGAAAAATGCGAGCGTCCCGGGAGACTCCTGTTGACAACGGTACGTACTAGTTTGTGCAAACACAGCGACAGTGTACAGTGTGTTGACCTTTGTTATCGATGCGAATCACAGGTACAAACCTTACGCTGCATACTCCTGCATAACAGAGCTCCAGTACGTCTTAGCTTGGGGTAATCCACACACTGTACAGCGCTTTACAGTCCTATCCGTAAGTACATTCCATCATTCAAAGGTGTCATCTATCTCAGGACGATATTCCCCAAGTACATTCCTTAAGGGAAACTTGATAATTTCCTGGATTCATATGCTGTGAACCAGTAATTGTGTATCTGGCCCGAGTAGCATAGCTTCAACTCCAGTGTACAACTCATCATCCGGAGCCTTATATCATTCCGACTTTCATAGAAATTCCGAGGCAAACACATTTCAGTTGTGGGTGCGGTCAGTCGTATGTCCCCATATCTCATACTTGGATGCTCACTCGCGCGAGCGTCAGGGGGCCGTCACCCGGGCCTACTTGCGGTTACGCCGCGCCTCTCCCTTCCAAAGAATTTTTGTTGCCAAGGGTTCGTGCTGCGGCTGGGAAGAACTTTTCTACGCTTGCAGAACCGGCAGAACCTGACATGTGCGACGGGAGTTCTGCAGGAAAGGTTCTGCCCACAATACTAGCAATATGGTAACGTGCTGGCATTAATCGTAGATATGTGTCCATTTGAAGGCACAGCGACGCAACAGTAATTCCGGAGAACAATATAAAAGCCAGCCGTCTTCCTACTATCGCCTTCAAAACTACCTGATCCCATACACATGAGTCGCAAAAAATGCATTTCTCCTCTGCAATTGTCCTCGCCGTCATTGCTGCTTTAGTATCATCATGCTCTGCCATGTCCACTATTGATGACGACATTTGTCCCGCAACTTGCCAAATGCACAAAGACTGCGAGGTTGCAAAATGCGTTCAGAAAATATGCGTGAGTATCAGCATTTTTCTGGACCTAATAACATGACTCACCTGCATGCCAGCACCTTCCAGAGCTGGCCTGCAGAGTGAGTCATATTCTTGCTTTCACATCGGTGGAGTATGGCCGTTGACACTGACGCGCGAGTTACTAGTGATTTGTAGAGTTGAATGACGCAACGTGCATGTAGAATTCGAAGCGTATCACCGCACTTTGGGGCAGTTTTGGTCAGGGGGGCATGTGGGGGAAACGTCAAATAATGGGCGAGAATTCACATCATAACCTTGATATGAACGAGCATCAATGATCTTACTTAACATTCAGAACTGGACTGCGGCAGTATAGATAGTATCACAACTGAGACGAAGCCAACAAAGTGCTATTGGCAGATGGGCCAATACATATCCTGAGAAAATTTGTTTCTTTATTGTGCAGATCGCGGCGGACAATTCTATAATGAAACTATGAGCGTGCTGCATAGAGATCAATTGTATGAACTAAATTCAAACCAACCCTCCGGCTTTCCATATCGTTTGGTGTTTTGATTAACTTGAACGTTTGAACCATTGTGATGGTCAACTGCACCTACAGTTTTCCTTAAGTGCTCCATCCAGATGTTCAAAGTTGATCTAAACTTTTCTGCTCACAGTGGACAGTAACGGCGCAAGTGCCAGCAGAAGCTCCATAATACCAACACGGAGCATTAGTTGCGCAGCGTCAATCCTCGTAGTGAATTTCCGAAATAAATGAGGTACATCATGATAGTGTCTTGAGTAGGTATGTATGCAATATTCATCCACAGTAAACAGCTGCAATAGAGTAGCTAAGAGAGCAGGTAGCAATAGGGATATATATGCCTGATGTGATTGAAATATTATGATTATCTTGAGGGAATAGAGATAAAATTGCCATAAGCCCAAATAACCGCGACGAAGGATCCACCAAAAAGAATCAGTATGATGAAAGAGGAGGTAAGTTACCGCTCGCCCCTTCGCTCTTCAACAACAACTTCTACCCATCTAAGCAGGGCATCCTGGAGCATTGTTTCCCACCCCTCGTCCTTGCGCGCAACGAGGCGAGGATCGAAAATGATCAGGGGTTCTGTGGAAGGGAACCGTATCTTTGACGGAGAGTTCTCTGGCGTGCTATGTGAAGGCTTGAGTTGGTGATCTGTCCGGCCGGGAGTGGAGGGTACGATCATTGGCAAGAGGTATCGAATTTTTAGTGCGCTAGATGGGTGACGGGCTGACATCAGGAGACGCAACCTGAAGAAGAAAACAACGTACGCGGCCCACAATCGAAGGTTATCTGTTCGTCTAAACGTCCAGCCAGTCTTGCTTTTTTCTTTCTCGTCTTCCGCAGCCTCCAGTGCCACGATATCATGAATGGAATCGGGCGAAATAAACCCCCATGGTTTACGTGACCACCGGACGCCAGTGTTGTATGCTATGCATAGAAACTGGCCAGATGAAAGCGCGAGAAGGAATGCGTTTCTATCTGTCGCGGGCGGTAGCAACGAACAGAGGTGGTCCGGAAGCAGAGCGTGGATGAGCGCATGTGCCCGGCCTGCCGGAACTCGATTAGGTTTGGGAGAATCAAGAAATTGAAGGACCAACCCAATGGGTGTTCAGCAAAGGATCCACGCATCGCCCATTCGGGCAAATCCTCTTCATCCACGCTTTCCTCCTCAGAAAGGGCAGTCATTTCCTCATTCTCTTCCATCATTGTAAGTCTTTGCATCGAATCTAGCAAACCAGACGATACCACCCGCCTAGAGGATGGAGGCGAGGACGGAGACCGAAAAGGATCTGCGTCACCCGCACTAACGCGCCTGTTCTTCGACCGGCCTTCTCTCTCCTTCTTTGCAAATCTCTCGTGTTCTCGTTCCCAGCCTCTTTTACCCTCCTTGACTTCTCCGAATAGAACATCATCTACCACGTCCACATACCGCCGCACGACTTCCTTCTCTTTCGCTAAGTCGGCCAACGTCATGTCCTGCTTGTACAGCCAACCCCCACCCAGCACTAAACGATCGTCCCAGTGATGTCTCTTTTCTCCTTCCTCTTCATTCATGATCGAGTCATAGTAGTCATCCTCCCACACTGGCACGGATTCGTGTCGACCTTGTACGTGCACGAAAGAAATCGACATGTCTGGATCGATAGAAAGGTCATGGTCGTGATCGTGAGACGTGTCTGAAAGCGCAGCGGGTGATGCCACACGCGATGGTGATGTACCACCATGATCAGGAATGGAACCGTGATCGCTTTGCACGTCATAAGCCTCGTCAGATAGAGGTACGCGTGAGCGCTCTTCGAGTTCGCGAAGAACAGCCAAAACTTCTAACGCAGACTTGCGGATAAGTGACAGGGGATCTGCCTGGGTCTTCTGGTGCGGCGCGTTTCTTTTCGGATGGGGTGAACTTGCCGTGACCTTGTTGCGGTACTGGCTGCGGAGAGTTCCAGCGGAATCGTCTGGTAATGTGATCACGTAGTTCCGCACTGAACGAATAGCACGGGTCGTGATCTTGAGCAAGTTGAGAATATCCAGGCGATCTTGGGGAGTATTGGACGTATGCGGGCTAAGGAGATGAAAATCGCGTCTCGGACTGTCGCTGTTACTAATTGACAACCCCCACGCATCTGAAACAACCATGAGGTCTTGTATGACACCTGGAAGGAACACTTCAGGGTCCGTTTCGTACGTCTTCACGAACGGAGGGAAAGCTGGCTGCTGGATCTGCGGAATAGTAGGTGATGGGGGTAACTCGAATTCCAACAGACTGCCTAATGATGCTTTAGCGGATTTTGCCGCAGAAATTCCACCGAGGGCTGGGACGAGTTGACCACTGAACTTCTTCGATGGGCTTGACCTAATATGAGCAGAAAGTCCATGAGAAAGAAAGAAATACGCACTTGGGCTTGGCAACGATGCCTGTTTTTGTGAAATAGTGCTGAAGATGTTCTATGCTGCCAAGTGTCATGACGCTCTGACGTTTTGCTGCACTTCTGCTGAATGGCTTTACTGGCTTGTTGGCAGAGTTCATGTTAGGGTAGAAAGCGGTCGAACGACGCGCTTTCAGGTTCTTGACTGCTGCTTCTGCGTGACTTTGAGAGTCTGTGGAAGCTGAGCCAGTGTCATCCGGCGTCAGGGCTGGTGGTGTCGATGATGGAGAAGAAGAAGCCATGTCTACATACAAATAACCAAGACGACGAACGACTGACCAAGGATACAAGCAACGCCCATACTACCATGAAAGGAAGGTATTTAAAATTGGGGGGTTGACTTTTTTGGGGGGTCGAATTGTAAGCATCATAAGGACTGCATCCTACGATGATGAGCATACATGGCCCATGCAAAAGACAAGTACTACTGGGCTCAACTAAGAGCTACTCTCACTGCAGGTCAATGGTCGTCTCTTTCACCAGGAACAGCTCAAAATGGCTCTCCGTTGTCTTGGTTTCATATGATACGCAAGTTCAAGAAACACTGTAAAGGTTTCCAAGACGTGGCAGAGGTCGCATCACAAACCCAAGCTATATTTTTACTGCTCGGAGCAGACACAGAGAATGTGGACCAGCTAGGCCTAGAAAATGATGACGAGCTCGTTCTCGGCGACGAGTGTCTCTTACCACCGGAGCGGATAGAGGAAGCTAGAGGGGGGTATGAGATATTAAAGAGTCTGGACAGCAAGAATTTCGATGTAATTCACTTTCCATCCCTATTTCGTGCGATACTGAAGATGGTCACATAGTCTCTTCATCTTGCACTTGCGCTCTACGCATATGCCCTCGGCCAATTCTCGGAATGCCTTTCCTATTTGTCCCAAGTACCAAAGCTGCTCGAGGCGCAGACTCATATACCCCCATCTTTCACCACTCGTTCAGATAATTCTGCGCTTCAAGTATCTGGATCGGTTACCGAAACCTCATCTTCATGGACCGGTAGTTTTGTTTCCGCCGACTCTCCTGGTTCGACAGCTGACGTCAAGGATGGGAGAGCTTGGGCAATCATTGAATCCATAAGGAGCACATGCTTACAAGGTATGCCTTTCCACCATCTACTTCACCACATTGAAATTCACTCTAATAGGCATGTGCTTCGAAAAATTGTTACAACCCAAGAAAGCAATCCAAGCCTACTCATCTGCCCTCCCACTTCTGAGTAACATAACGTCAGAGATACCACGGACACTCACTGCCACATATTCATCTCCCGCTTCATTCGACAACTACCGCGAGCTCTGGCGTTGGACAGAACGTCTCATGTTCAGGACCATATCTCTTCTTTCGCGGTTTTGCTGTCTGGATGAGAACGATGGCCTTATTTGGATTATGTTCACCCATTATCAAGCTTGCAGCGCACATTGGCCGGCGACATTTCGCACTGGTCACCGCTCCACAGTTGCAGTCCTTCACCTCCGAGCGCTAATCATCCAACATCAGACGTCATCAACTCCAGCCACTCCTGATCCGTCGTTTCATTCAGCGAAACCACCCCAATGGATAAGTACTGCTCGCTCGGTCATCCATGAATATCGCACAATTCTAGGAGCTTGCACTACTTTCCCCAAGGCTGGTGAACGTAACGTCAAAGTGGAGGATTTTGTAGATTTGTGTGTGGCAGTGTGGGAGGCTGATGGGGCTTTGTCTGACCCTGTCCGTTGGGTTCTTGATGTAAGATTGCGCTGGCTGGACTTCTATCAGGTCACTGACCCTATATAGATGCTCTGGTGGGCTACCCGTTTGACCTTCAACTCATACCGTATCTATCGACACATGACAAGACTGCTTTTTATTTCCGGCGATTCGGAGTTGGCTAAACGTACCCTGAGGTTATACGTTCAGGTCGTTTCAAAAGCACGGGAAGCAGGGGTGGATAATGACTTTGACACGGATCGTCATTGGGTTGAGACGCTTATCAATGGTGCCCGGATGCTCTGTCGTCTTTCCATTTCACGCCAGGATGGTATCGACGATGCCAAGGAGGCCGGTGATATGATCGAAAAGGCGAAAACGAGACTGGATGAGGACGATAAGGAGATGGTGGCGAGAGTCGCACTGGCCGAAGGCGTATATTATACGACACTGGCAATAATAGGTGGGTGTCCATCCTGATATTTATATATTCCATGACTAAAATGTTATGCTATATCAGAACAGGACCCCTACACGCGGCAGGCTCGTCTAAGTCGCGCCCTCGCTGCCTACTTGAAGTCTGTCGCAATACACCCTACACCTGTCGCACATCATCAGCTCGCAATCGCACTTTCTTTACCTGGAAGTTCGCAAAATTTGGACGAGGCGATCGTATCCGCTCGCGCAGCTGTTGAAGACGATGCTAATGAGATTCGACATTGGCATCTTCTCGGTCTGTTACTGAGTGCTAACGGCGAGTGGGAGAAGGCGGCCGGTGTTTTAGAAGTGGGTGCAGATCTAGATGAGGGGAAGCAGGACATGGAAAGTCCAGCTAGACTCGACGCGGAAAATACTACCAATGACATTGCGGTGAAAGCACCTATGGCTGATGGTATCCAGGCCAAAGACTTTGAATCAGACCATCAATATGCCCAAGGAAAAGGTCATTCAAAGCTTCCAGCTGCACGTCTACCGCTGAATGATGCCGACGGTCCGACATCTGAGCACAAGAGGCTTCTTGATCCAGATGCAACCACTATACCACCATCTGCCACTCTCCTCCAACCTTTACCTGACCATCCGTTGCCTTCTCCTCGTGACGCATTTGATTACGCCCTCCAGCTCAGAATGACACAGATGGCACTCGCCGAACATATAGAAGGTCCTGAGGGTGCAGAGGGGCGGTGGGTTGACGTATTTGGCTGGGTTGCGGAACGCAAAGGGTCGCCCTCTACTTCGGGGTCTATGACCGAGACGCAGCGTGAGTCCAGGAAGCAAGCTTCCCCTATTCCTCATCCTACCTCGGGCTGTATGGAGCTGATCTTATCTGGTTGTGGTTTGTGTGGATCAGCGAGGTCGTCAATGGATACTGGTACCGGCGCCAGGACTACACGAACGTCATTAGTAATGCACCAGCCATCACAGGAACCACTGAATGAAAAAGGTCCTGATGTAGACCAACATGGATCTCTGGGTCTCTCTCTTGGTCAGCAAGACCTCTCGTCATCGGAACTTCCGCCAATCACTGTGACACCTGCGACGCCTGCAGAGCCGCATCGCCATTTTCCACTCAGCATGGATGAGAAGGACTCGCTGAAGGGTACACGTTCCTCTTCAGCAGATGGCACTGGTAGGAAAGTGCAGCAGATGCTGAAAGCCCGCGTCCATAAAGGGCAGGCAAAGATTAGTACTATTTCCAGGAAACTCGGAAATGGCGTTGTACGCAACGGAAATTTAAAAAGGATGAACTCTGCACCAGGTAAACTATTTTTTGTTTTGTTTCCCCACCACATCTTTCTTCACGATTATTCTAGACTTCCATGCTGTGCTACAGAACCATAACTACCAAGCGTCATCAATACACTCCCGCCGCCGGCTGCGTTCTCTAATTCGTCATAATGCAGCTGCCGCACTCATCGAGTCACCACCTGCTCCGCCTCCCCCGCTTCCTCCGGTGCAGGAGGACACACCTACACTCCACGCGACGAGAGACGACAAGCTTATAAGTGACCTTTGGACCATGTCTGCTGCCACTTTTCGACGACTTGGTAAAATAGAGCAAGCCAAAGCTGCAGTCCAAGAAGCAGAAGTCAAAGACTCTGAAAATCCTGCTGTTTGGGTGCAGGTGCGCATATCATATGTTCTTCTACCAGTGCGTCCACTAATCATGACACAGCTTGGGCTATACTACATGGCGCTGGATCGTAATACAGAGGCTCTAGAAGCTTTTCAAAAAGCCCTGTTCATCTCGCCTGACGATATCGCTGCATCTGTGCACTTGTGTCGCATCCACCTTTCCACAAAGTCTTCGACCGACACAGTTGACTCGGATAAGGTTGATCTAGTCGCTGGGATTCTCGGACACGTCACCCGAGGACCTGGATGGGACGTTCCTGAGGCCTGGTACTACTTGGCTAAAGCATACGGGCTACAGGGCCTCAAAGACAAGGAGCGGGAAAGTCTGGCGACGGCTTTGTCGTTGAGTGATCGCAGGAGTATTAGGGATATTGGGCGGGCTGTGGGTTGGTGTTTGTGATTCGTGCATGTGGTTAAGGTTCGACTCTGTACGACAATCATATAGATGATGGTCTTTTGCATTGCTCTTCAATGCCAGGTTGTATCGACAATTTATTGCTTGGCTTTCGGTTATGGATCAGAAGGTTATTTTTCGTGTGCGTTCCTCCTCGAGCGCTCGAGTCGATAAAAAAATTCTATCCGGGAGCAGACCGACGCGTGTTCCAGGGTCTGAGATCTCTGATGTGCCTGTATCTGAGCAAACCGTTGACGCTCGACTGGAAAACGGTTCGCACAGTCCTTGCATGTACGGTGAAAGCATGTTATAAATTCGAAGTTCTAAAGGTGTTACTTATTGAATCTCTTCAACAGGTTACTAGTAAGGATTGTGGTTTCACTGTTTCAGTAGAATTGATGATGATCAAAATTAGTCATAGGAGTCAAAGCGAGTACTAATCTCTCCCGCAAGATTCACCACCATATTCGTGATGGCTACATCTTGCAATCCTACGCCCACGCTCTTGAATATAGTGATTTCACCAGCCTGTCTTACCTCGTCACACAACGCGTGAACCTTCTTGTAGTCAGCATCTGGTGAGTCGTTGTCAAAATGGACCAGCGTTCCAATTTCAACCACGTCCTCTTCATTAAACCTGGCCTTTATGAGCTCTCCGGCCTCAGACATGCATGCTTCTCTGGAGTCCACGACTACTTTTCCAGCCTGGTGTAGCAACTCTGAAGAGACTTCTGCCATTTCAGGCGTGTAGCTCCCAACGAGATTGAGATGTGTCCCCGGAGAAACCCATTTCGCCTCGAAAAGTGGCTCCGTTGAAGATGTGGCCGTGCATATGATGTTGGCTGCACGGGTAACTTGTTCCAGTCCAGCGATGTCATCCTTCAAAATGAGAAACTGAAATGTGACTGTTGGATGAGCTGACTTCAGGCGGATGATAAGGTCAGCGAGTCTTTGATTGTTTGACTTGTTGACTATCGTGCAAGTTTTGATAGTCGAATAGGCACGAAGGTGGAGATCCACGTGAGCCTCGATTTGCTTGCCTGCTCCGAAAGCAAGGAGCGTGGTTGGGTCTCGAACAGACAAGAGAAGACGTGTAGCAAGCAGAGAACCTGCTCATGTGTATATGATTGATTTATGTGCTTGTTCATCAGATTGGATTGAAAGCGCACCAGCAGCTGTACGAAGAGCTGTTAGTTGCCTTGCGTTAACGATTGCACGTATGCCGCCTGTGTTTTCGTCCAGAACCAGGCTGGACGCAGGAAGCCCGCCTTGATCAGCAGGATGACGCGGAATTGAGACCACCTTGATGCTGGTCCCTAATCCCTGCACTCGTGCGGGCATGAAAAGTACATTGTGTTGGGCCATAGTAATTGCTTCACGCAGCGGGGCATCGAAGCCAGAACCTGAGGATAGAGTATGAAATACGAAAGCCATCAGATTCTCAAGCCTGGAGTGATGAATTGATGATACAATTCTGGATACATCTGCAGCAGTAATGATGAGGAAAGACATCAACTTGAAGATGCTCCGAGTTGCGGAGTCATGACGAAGACTAGGCAGCGTGGACTATCATTATGTAATCGAGTTCTAGAGTTTGCGGCAATAGCTTACTAGTAATACTACCCAGATTTTCAACCCTCGTGTCGCTTCTTGAGTAAATGCAGTTGACTCGTCGGGTCTTTATTCAATAGGTCTACAATGGGTGCAGTATTACCAGTAACGAAATAGCATAAGAGATTGACGAGGAGTTTGATTCGGGAGGGTCTGGGAATTAAACACAAGAGTGTTCATATCGATGCTCTGCTTTTTAAGGAGATTTCTGCATGAAAATTATAGGATGAAAACTCTGAAATGGACTTGCGGACTGCATCACGGAGTTAGGTAGTGGTCCTGTTAGCCCTGCTGGGCCAAAGAATGCTTCTAATAAGATTTTGGACGTCCTGAAGAGATTGATTGTAAAGCGCTCCTTTATTGTATCTCTCAAGATCACGCCTGGATAATGCAGTGATACATGCATGCCCTGCAGTAGACTCCGGATTGATATCAAGTTTTTTGAGAGTATCCAGATTCCTCGGCCACCAATCTTGCAAAGGACCTTCGTATTGATCCAAATGGGTAACGACCACTACGACCGGCACTCTATTGCCCACCATTGACTTGAACTTATTGAAGTTGCGCGCATGCGATTTCTTAAGCCCCCGGCTTCCCGGTATACAGTATACCAGAAGGTGCCAGGATTTTTGCGAATCCTTCAGGTACGTTTTGAGCTTCTTCTGCGCTTTCTTGTCTGGAAGGAAGCCCCATCGCCCTTCTTCGAGACCAATTGTATCGTGTACCTGACAAGATTTTCCTCTCCCAAGAACACATGTGTACTCTTGCTCCTCCTGTGTACAACCAGTTGCGTCGTTCGAGATACGAGCATCGGCCCCGGGACAGAGCATGTTAATGAGGGAACTTTTCCCCGCCCCAGATTGGCCAATGATGACCACGTTCTTCGACATATGAATCTGAAAGGTGTCATTATCATGAAGACCCCCAACTAGTGGAAATGCGAACTTTACAGGTGTAAACACTGGCCGCTCCAAAGTTGTGCAAAGAGCCGAAACCCAGTGGAAGGTATTTGGCGAAGACGAAGGGTATCTATGGTTTTCCCTTTTGGATGACGAGACGACGTTGGTATTAATACTACATGCATTTGAGGCTCTGGAGGAATCACGCAGCCACAGTGTGGCGAAGTACTGGCCAGTCACGGCCACGAGGCTGTACTTCGGCTATCATGCATATCATGACCGGCCGCTAATTAACCTAGCCTGTGACTCAACCTGGACCGGAGTCAAGTCTAGACCTGACCTATGTCTGCAGCAAAATTCACGTTGTTCCCCGTACAAAGTAGTTGAACGTTTGAGTTGAATCGGAATCATTGTGTGAAACTGAAGATCCATCAATTGATGATCAGAGTTGATGCAGGTCAGGTCTCGAGATGGCTATGGCTATATGCGTATATTAACTACTTCGCGATCAAGAAATCGTGCATTCAAATCTTCAGACAATAAATACAGATTTTTTTTAGAAAGAAATATAGGATCAACCGATGAGGCTAATACTGCGCATGTGTCATGCATGCGCTGGGATTCCTAGTGGATATGTTGGATATTGTGTAACCCACACATTGGACAATGAGGGAAACCAGTACAGTACTAGTGGTTGGTTAAGAAGGCCTTCTATTGTACATGATTTGAGTGCAGTACCCAGGCACATGAGATTTATACCAGTCGTTTCTGAGGCAGATCTATCCGTACAAACAGCAATCGGCATCTTACACAAAGCTCGAGATATCACTGGTAGATGCACTGACCCTGTTGGTTCTATCCGCCGCGCATCATAGTGACAGCCGTAAGTTGAGCACATTATCTAGCAACTGGGACCCCCGCAGTCCTGTGCAGCCGAGTTATACCCCACATTGGTTGTTCCCAGCATGCCGTCCTCACTCCACTTCTACCAGCTTCCGATGCTACAGGTACCGTGCTGCCATCATCTGGATGTTTTGTGGCAGGGCGAAGTCGTCGGACTTGAGGCCTGTGGAAGGATGTAGGCAGGGAAGGGCGGCAAGTACCAGTCTCGGGATAACTTGGGGGTTCCAGTATCACTTTCGAGCAACAATCAGGGCTGCCTCTTGATCGTCTTGCTAGAAACTTGTCAGAGACCCTGAATCTGGACCTGAGGAAGGAGCAGGAGATGGAGAGATGAAGGAGAGCGAGGAAGAGGGGGAGGATTGGGGCGAGAACAAGAGAAATTAGGGAGACTGCCCATGAGCGAGAGAAACAGAGAGGAGAACCAGGAATACCAGGGGGAAAGAAGAAAGAGGTCGTCTGGGCAAGGGGTTGCGTGTCGTCAAAGACGCGATGAAGTTCAGACACCGGCTCAGCACGAGACCCAGCTTTGTGGGCGTTCATCTAGAGTCCCCAGGATAGCACAGAGTGTCACAAAGACAAAGGACAGCAGGAAACACACTGTCCTTCGCTCGCTACAACTAGCACCATCGAGGTCGAAGGATTGCGCGAGTCTCACAAGAAGGAAACGACATTGATGATGTGCTGAAAGGTACAATGAAAGGGATATAGGTGCAGGATCACTTAGTAGTAGTTGTGCACATGCTGCGATGCTAGCTATGTTAATTGCTATAGGCGTGTGATGGAGATGCACAGCAGAGAAACAGCACGATCTGGGTCCACCATTGGATTACTAGTGACTGTGCGGCTGCTGTACCTGCTGGAGCAGAAGGTATCGCAGATATTGAGGCAGCAGCAGGTTGGGTGCACGGTGACGATGCCTGAGCTTGGCTGTGCAACTGGGTTTGTTTCTCATATGCTCGTTTTGCTTTCTGGAAGTGTGGCCCCTGAGCAACAATCAAAGTCTGAACAGAAATCATTAAATCATAGGGATAGTGAAGGCAATCGGAGAGACATACCTGCCTGTCCCGCACTGCAGCCACTTCGACAACACGAACACGGCTTGAGTATTGGGGGAGTTCTATGGCTTCATCGGTGCGGGGTCGGGAGCAGGAGAATGAGGACAGCTGGCTGATGGGTGCATCTGGACGTGGGCTTACAGACATCGTGGGATGTGATTCGGCTTCTTCGTTGGTGCCGAGTCGAGGTCGAGGCAAAAATGAGGAAAGGCGAGCTAGGAGCACGTGCGGATCTAACAATGAAGGCGTAGAGGATTGCTGAAGTTCATCGGATACATCGTTTTCAGGTGAAGAGCGGTGAATGAACGACGACAGGCGAGTGATGAGCGAGTGTGAATGGGACGCCGAAAGCCTTGAGGGTTGCGGAAGTTCTGTCGCTTCACCATTTTTGGGTCGAGAGCGGTGGAGCGAGGAAAGGCGAGCGAGGAGTTCATTTGCAGAGGACTGAGAGCACAGTTGTCTAGATAAGAACTGAACAATGAAAATACTGATTACACACATCATTGACGACATCGGCTGGCATGTCGTCAAAAAACCCTGACGAGAGCTCATCGACATCGTCGAACTGGTGAGGACCATGCGTAGCATCAGCCTGGAATGCTACTGTTATAATGAATGAGAAGGCCTGCAAACACGGCACGTACGTCTAAAGATGGATTGACACTGTTGGACCTATCACCGATGGGCCTGTCACTGATGGGCCTGTCACCGATGGCCCTGTCACTGCTGGGCCAAATAATGTTTCTGATAAGAGTTTTGACAGCCTGACAGGAATCATCGTGAAGTTGTCCTCCGTTCTTAAGTTCATCCTTGGGTAGTGCAGTGATGCATGCATGTTCAGTAGTCGCCGGAATACCGAGCCTTTCGAGTATATCCAGATTCTCCCACCACCAATTCTCCATAGGACCTTTGAAATCCTCCAGATTGGTAACCACCACCACGACCGGCACCGCTAGTTTGTCCGCCACTGACTTGAACTTCTTATAGTTGCGTGCATGCGGTTTACTCAGGCCTCGGCTTCCCGGCATGCAGTATACCAGAAGGTGCCACGGTTCTCTCGATCTCTTCAAGTACGTTTTGAGCCGCTTCTCGGCTCTTCTGGCTGGAAGGAAGCCCCATCGCCCTCCTTCGAGGCCAATTGTATCGTGCACTTGACAAGATTTTCCCCCAAGAAGAAGACATGTGTACACCCCCTCTGACTGTGTGCAGCCGATTGTGTCGCCCGAGGTACGAGCATTGGCCTCGGAAGAAAGCATGTTAATGAGGGAGCTTTTTCCCGCCCCAGATGGACCGATGATGATCACGTTCTTCGAATGCATACGCATATGACTCTGAAAAGGTATCAATATCATGAAGACCTCCGACGTGTGGAAATGCGACCTCTGCAGGCATGAGCACTGGCGGCTGTACAAAGAACCGAAACTTTGGTGAAGACGAAGGGTATCTGTGGTCTGTCCTTTTGGGTGACGAAACGATGATGGTATTAATACATGAATCTGAGGCTCTGAAGCAATCACACCGCCGCGGTGTGGCGAAGAAGGACTGAGAGTCTGAGACGGCATGAGGCTGTCCTTCGGCTACCAGCCGCTAACATAGCCTACTCAGCCTGACCCTCTCCCTGATGTAGACCTAGCTTATGTCTGCAGCGAGACTCGCCCCGTCCAAAGTAGTAGTTTAACGTTTGGTTGAATTGGAATTGGATTCTTGGAATGATTACGCGGTCGGTCGTTTGCACAAAGATTTTCGAAACCGCGCAACACGTATTTGTATATATTTGTCACCATACGAAACTCTAACCTCACTGATAATCTTCACCGCTGGTCCACCCATCGGTGCTACGTCAGTACAGTCCGTCTCGTAAACGTGCTTTAAGTTTCCCTACTCCCAGCCACGAGTTTTCCCACAAAGGCACAAACGAGGCAATAAGGTTTCTCGACATCCACAGCTTGCCTCGTGTCGGTGCTTCTTACTTGGCCAAAACATTGCACTAATAAGTTTTTACAGCTGTGGGGCTGACCGCCTTGAGCCTAGTAGGTGTGCTGCACTGCAAAAGTTCTATGGAGCCTTTCTATGTCAACGGATCTTGCATTTCGACGAATTATAAAAGGTCACCTGCATCGTTTTTATATATAGCTCCTCTCTCATTTAAGGTGGACTGAAGGTTGGCATCAAGAATGGAATGGATGTATGTGCGTTCTCCTTGGTCAAGTGTTCGTGGACGTTGAATCCTCGTACGAAATGGGTTGTTCGCTTGGCCAAAGTCACGATACAGACGGAGGATGTTATAGACAATTCGTTCCATACATCCGACAATCTCAGCAATATCTGCTGCTGTTCGTAGCGCAAGACCACAACACGCATTCTGATCTCTTGAGACAGCCATGGCACAGAGGAGGTGTGACACGTCACAGCAACATGTCGTATCAGCTACTTCAAGTTCGCTTTCAAAAACCGCGTATTCTTGATGTATCCAGATCTTCACCGATATATGATCAGCCGATGGCTAATACTGCGCACATATCGTATGCACTAGCGTCACGGTGTGATCTGGTGGTTGCTGCATGCTCCACGTGGACAATATTAATGAGCCTGCCTAGGACGTAGTGTTTGACTCTGATCGCAACAGTATTCGTTAGAACCACATACAATTATTTGAATGCCTAATCCACACCATTCCGCACCTTCAATTTCTAGTCGGCTTATGACCCCTATACGGTAATGGTGAATGCAATAAGGATTGATTCCTCCAGACGTGTCTATAGTACATGATTTGAGTGCAGTACGTAGGCACATACGAGGTATATCGATCGTGTCCAAGGCAGATCTATCCGCACAAATAGCCATCAGCATCGTATACAAAACTCGACAATATCACTGATGGGCGCACCGACCCCCGTGGGTTTTATCCACCGCGTGCGAAGCAGCATCAGTGACAGCCGATCAAGCACAGAATCTAACATCCACAAACCCCGTCGTCCTGTGCAGCTGTGTCACGCCCCACATCGATCGTTCCCGGCATGCCGTCCTCCTCACCCCGCTTCCCAAAACTTACACCAGTTTCCGGTGCCACAGGTGCCCACAGTTCTGGGGTCTCAAGGATCCGTGCCACCAGCTCCTCGAATACCTCGCGTACCCCTATAGCTGTCTTTGCAGAGGCCTCGACGAAGAGGGCATTCTGGCGAGAGGCAAAAGTGGAACCTTCGTTGGTGGATACTTGTCGAGAGTTTTCCTGGAAATGTATTAGCAGTTGGCAGAAAACAAGCAACAAGATGTGGAGTGTAAATGACACTAGGTAGACAAAATGCCGACGATAGCAATCCAAATGTAGTGCGGGGCAGGTCGATGAAAAGGACTGAGGTCCGAGGATAACAGGAATACGTGAAGGGAAAAAGCAAGTACCTTATCAACCTTATTTCCAACAATAATCTTCGGCACTGTGATTGAGACATAGGTGTCGATCTCTGAAAACCATTTTGGAAGCGCTTCGAATGTCTCGCGGTTTGCTACATCATACACTGTTTCACAGCAGTATCAGACCTCCAAAACTTTCCTATCGTAAAAGTGAGCGAGAACGCACCAAGTATGATCCCTTGAGCACCACGATAGTACGAGGATGTGATTGTACGGAATCGTTCTTGGCCGGCTGTATCCTGCAAAACAGTCATCATTATCACGTAGTTACAGGAAAGAAAGAACTAACGTACCCATATACTGAGTTTCACCTTCCGTCCGTTAACCTCCATCTTGTGCACCTATACCAACTAGGGTCAGCACACGACTTGCATTCTCCAGTGAAAGAAGGCACGAAATGACAAACGAACACGGAAATCGACACCTATTGTTGCGCTCGCTTCATCCTCCGGGAGCCATTGTTCGTCCGAGAAGCGTAGCAGCAAACTACTTTTCCCTACTGAGGCGTTTCCGATAAGCAGAAGTTTGACATTTACGGGTGAGTTAATAGTGGTAGAAGTAGATGATTTCTTCATGAGGTCCGTTGCAGGCATGATATGTGATTAGGCCGTTGAAGAGTTCGTGTCAGCAGATGGCTGGTAGAACAATACAAGTGTCTCGAGTGGTGATGAATTATGCGTGGACAGACCAGGAGGCAACAAGCCTCGTTTGTGCACCATGCGTCCACCCAAAGCAAGACCTCTCGGCTAACTCCTCGGCGCCTCGAGTTTCATTAACATGTCGACTACTACGAAAGTAGTTCATCACATTACACTACAAAAACATGGGCAACAAGGGTTTCAAAAGCTACAACAGTAATAGAGGGATAAATGATTCATTCGTGAATTATGTACCTAAGCCAGGCTCATGGCCTGCAAAAATCAGCTCCGTTGGAAGGAACATAATGCATCTCTCGGAGATGTATGGTACTGCGGTAGTAACCAGACCAACTTTTTCGTTCGAAGTCTACTGGTAAATGAAGTTGTATCTGCAAGGAGTATTCATAAGCCTGGAATTCGTCTAGTGCAGCTTAGATGAGCACTTACCTTGACAGTAGGTGCGGGATCGCGGAGAGCTGGGGACCATATCTGGGGTTATACGACGTTAACAATATGAAACATGCGCCCTCAAGCTTATTGAGACTATCAATACGAACCGTGCAGCGTTATCATACAGCTCAAACAGGGGGATGGCGAGGAGCTTCATGTTTTTGGGGACGGCAAGGACCTCTAATGAAGATACAAGTTGAATGAAAAGTATGACAGAACTGTCTGACGTACTCCGCTCAGGCATCTGGACTAGGTAAAGTTTCTTGCACTCCTTTGGCTTCGTGATGTGCGCTGGCACGAATGGGTACTACGAGCATGTGTCAGCATCGCTCATTCGCTACAAGAAAGACGAACGCACCATAAACGTCTCGAAATTGGGACGCCACCATTGCGCAAGACAGTCACCGATCTCCCACTCGTTGTCAACGCCATGGGACGCGTTGAACTGCTTGGACTCTACTGGTGGTGCGAGGCGCTCGTCGAGGCGTCGTTTAAGTCCGTCAATATCATCCTCTCCCGGTTTGAGGTAGTCCCCGGGGCTAGCCATACGATTAACCAATTATAACGAAAGCGCCATCGAATACAGAAACGCACAGCTTGAAGAACGCGTTCGCAATTTGGAGCATTAGGATATGCGGATGTCCGTGGTCATGCACAACAAGAATTCCCTCGACGGTGCGGCGCATACCGAAGTCCTCATAGTTGTTCTGGAGACGCTGCAGGCGCGCGGACACGGAAGGATCCTCTTCAGGCTGTGCCTCTTTTGTGCTGGTGTTCACAACTTAGAATTGACAGTCGCGAATTTACATCACAACTCACCTAAAGGTAAAGTTCGATAGCGGGTATCTGTATTAAGTTTCATTAGATGACTGCCACATTTTGCAGAGAAAAAACACATGCAAGGCGATGGTGTTGGACATGGTTATCGAACGTTTGAGCTTCACCGGCACTAGTAGCACTGTCTAGCAGTCGTACATTTGCATTCTGACTAGGCGTGACTAGATCACAACTCTTTATGTTGTCACAGTCACGTTCCTCCTTGTCCTGCCTCCTCTACCATATGGCGCAACAGTATTTTGGATGCTGCTCGAATTCCTGTCAAACTCGTCAGGGCTAGGGTTCAAGACGTTCACCCCGCATGTTAGAGTTAGGTTCATTTAGTTATAATACTAGTGGTTCATTGTGCCAAAGTAAATTACATCACCACAGTTTCTAGGCATTGTCTCATGCTATCTTCAGTCTTTATGGTGACCACTTTGTCCGTCATTAACTTTTGCCAACTTGTTTGTGTATCATCCGTTCCAAAGAGGAGGCAAAAATGGGTACGGCCTCTTTCTATGACTCCCTTCTCGTCATCACTTGTCCACCCGTAATCGACAACTCCGAGGGCCAACTTGGACGGACGCCAAGGCATGTTGTTGCTGAAAACAACGGACACATGATTTATCGTTATATCTGAGGGCAGGCCCTTGGGCAAGAGTGCACATGCGTGGTAACCATCCTGCAAGAAAGGTATTTCGTCCCCGAATGTTGCCTCATGTAACTCGACCATCAGGAATTTCATTTTTAACCGTCCGTCAATGACGCTCATGTCCTGGTCTCCTCGCAATCTATAGTGGTCGTGACTGGGGTTGTAGGATTCGTCCAGATATTGAGCGCTATATCCCTGCGCCGACGGTGGCAAGAACACATATTTTGTGGATGCTATGCCAGCCCAGGCAAGTATGTCGCACTCCTGGCTTCTTGGCAGGAGCACTTCCATCAATCTACCAAATGCTTCGTCTCCTATTCCATACACCACGTTCATATGCACGTCGAAAAGTGCTAGCAGTGAGTAGGCGCCATCCTCTACTTGTCGTGAAGTCCGGCGAGATGCCCACATCAGCTTCTCACGTACTCTCTCCGTCCCCGCCCAATAACATTGGATGTCTCGTACCGGAATTCCGGTGCCAGTGGAAAGCGCAGCCAACAACCTCTGGTCAGCTTTATCATTTTCGGCTCGTGTATTATAGATAGGTTTCCACGTTCGCCCATAAAATTTGACTCTGACGGGGGCGAGGAGTTCTTGCAAAGTCCAACTTTGTAAAAACCAAGAGTCGTGCAAGAATTCGTCCAATGTGAGTGACTCTGCAAGGTGTACAATGCAGACATGCGCATTGCGGTACCACCTGAACATCCGAAACATGGATTTATTGAGCTCTTCTGGAGAAGGATCGGACCTATCGATACAGCATGTGTCTGCCCAGGCAAAATCACATCCGTACTCCGCTGCCTTCTGACAGAAGTTTTCTAATTTGTGATGACTCGAGGGCTTCCCGAGCTTTGTACCACCTGATGTCATCTCCTGCAGCGTCACCTCTCCTTCGCGGCACCATCTGTGAGACATAACGGCATATCTGACTATGCCTTTCACGATGTTTCTGATCACTTCGTCCCTTCTCTGATTCGGGTAGAATGTGTGTTGCTCTATATCTCTCTCCGTCACGGCCTTGATAGACGGCATGTATAACTCCTCCACCCATTGCTGCTCTACGATTTCCATTTTTGATATCGCGATTAGCCGATGTGGGATGTTTTCCCGCAGATAGTCTTGGAATATGCGGCAGACCTCTTCAATAGCCATTCACGTAACTTATCGAGACCAACAGATTATTGAGATTGTATGCTGTCAATGGTTTAACAAGCTTATCGAACGAATGTGTGCCAGTGGAATACATCAGAAGGAAGGATCAGATATAGGTATACTCAAACCGTTGGGCTCACCTCTTCGTTCATGCGTGAATTCTGAAGATTGTAAAAAAAAAAAAGTCCAGTGTAAAGATATGTATGAAAAGAGGCCCATCAGCCGCCATCCGCAGTAAAAGCCTATTTAAGAACGACTCATGTCACCAGGGTCCTGTACAAGATAGAGATATGTTACAATGTGAGCGAGCAGGCAGAAGCTAAAGCCACACTGTCGTGACTTGTTGGTACACCTCCCTCTTGATGCGAATTGTCACTATCTTTTGCGTCTCAACCTTTTGCCATCCCCCATACGAACTATGGATACTAGATCCGAGTATGAAGCACAGGTAGTCATTTGCGGGTTTGAGTTGTCCGATACCACCACGCTTTCCAGATTCATCAGCTTGATAGTTCACGATAGCGACCGCCCACTGCGAAAATGGTAGGAAGGTGATATCGCACTGGGCTATGACGTCAAAAAAGTTCGCAGAGTCGGAGATAAGGCGGATAGTTTGGGTTTTTTTCTGTGTTCCTCCTGACCGTCGTGGTGCGGGTTGCTGTAGCATCATTTCTACCAGGATGACTTCAAGCTCCAAACCTCTCTTCGTCATCATAAAAAAAGGGTCGCCAAGTTTTCTGGGACGATCCATCATATAGCGATTTGGTAAGAGGATACCGGCGGATGCTTCGTCAAAAGCACAGTACGCCAGAGGAGAACGGGGAATGCTGGCTTGAAATGGTGAATGGGGACCGGCCCACGCCAGGATCTTCCATTCACGACAGGCCTGGATGATCACCTCCATCAGGCGGCGGAATGCTCGCTCTCCTTCTCCATAGGCCACACTAAGGCTGATATCAAGAATTCCGATCAAGGAATAAGCGATATCTTCCATTCTTGTTGTCCTCCGCTTGGACGCCCATATCATTTTCTCACGAACATCGACTAACCCTGGACTGAAATATAGCAGATTTTGGCGAGATATTCCTGTCACCTGTGAAAGAGCGTCTAACATAGAATGGTCTTCCTTGTCGTTGCGCGAACTGCTGAGCTCTTCCCAATGCATGCCGTAGAACTTGATTCGGGGAGGGGCAAGAAGCTCCTGGAGTGTCCAACCGCGTTTGAACCATACTTCCTCCGGAAAGTCCGAGATGGACAAAGAGTCTGCAAGAAAAACTATACATATCTCCGCGTTGCGGTACCACTTGAACATGGCTCTGATGGCCTCATCGAGCTCCGCACTACTTCTTTTATCGATGCAGCAGGTATCTGACCAAGCGAGACGACAGCCGTATTCCCTTGCTTTCCGGCAAAAGTTATGGAGTTTGATAAACCCAGGCCTTGTCATGGTAGACTGATGGTTCCTTTCCACGGACATCGCCTGAAACGTTGGCTCCCCGACGCCGAGCCACCTGTGAGAAAGGGCTGCATATCTCAACTTCTGCCTGATCATGTCAGGAACTCTGTCTTTGGAAACAAGGTCCTTGCAGACATTGATCAATTCTTGACGGAACAGTTCCACCAGAGTCTCACGATCGATAACGGTCGTTGTCTCATAGTCGTCAGAGATGTATATAAGATGACTCGGCATCTCATTGAACACGAGCTCCGCTGTGATAGTCATTATGTCTGCCTCGGTCGGAGCCTCGTTCTAAAACAAACAAAACGCAGGATCTTGAGCGACATGCTCGTGATTTCAGTTTCGTTTTCTCGGTAACTCACCTGATGAACCTCCTCGCATAAACTTTCATCCTCGCCATCAGACTCCACGTTGGGCCTAGTCAGTGACATTTTTGCCAATCCAGCTCCGTATCCACGGGGTGGCACCATGAAACACGACATATTGTATAAGGTAATGGTAGAATGGAGCCTGAATGTCTTGTCCGTTCTGTCGGCTGACTTCTGCTCGAGCTGTCCAGAACGGAATTGTCTCTGTCGGACCCCACTGTCCGACGAATCATGACACACTGGCGTTTGAGTGTGCAAGATTTGTTTCGAAATGTCAGTGATTCTTATGGTAAAAATAAAAATGGATGGTTTGCCAAATTCTAGGCGAAATTCTCCATTTTATGAACCATTTTGACACTATTTAACCAACAGCAATATCGAACAACGCAGAGCTCCACTCCAGAGCTAACAACTCTACATGTATTTAATTCGGAACAGCTTAAGCCTACCAAATCAAAATCGACACTGTCACAAGGGGCCTTACCGAGATGAGACACAATTGTGCAAGTGTACCCAAGATCGACCCAGATGCCATCAACCTCTGATACTATTGGAGGTGCCACCCGTGACATAGTATGACGAAATTGTGCATTTGAGTTTTCCATACCTTGATCAACTTCCGTTGCTGCCACTGCATCACGCTCGCAACAAAATAAACAAAGATCTTATTGAGCCTAACGCGCATATTAGACCTAAGGTACTTATACTCATGTGTTGTTGTTGTTGTGATGTTATTCAGCAATAAGTGCAAATTGTGCATTTCCCGTCAAATTGATAGTAAAAAAATGTTCGAACATTTATTTCGATTCGGAAAAATAAATTCAGACTCGGACATTTCCAATTTTCCAATGCAAAAACTGATTAGCTAAGCGGGACCATTTCAAACATATGGAGTTATGGACCTCGTTACTCAAAGCCTGGATCTTGTGCGCCGAGTCAGTGAAGAATTCTGATTGAGACTCGGATCTTGCAGGCTTCTGAGCTTCTGTTGAATGAATCTAGCAGCTGCACGAGGGCGTACGCGCGTAATATTGAAGGCGAGACTGACTCACAAATTACAATGGTCTCCGAGTCCCCATTAAAAGAGATGATGATGATGATCAGTGGCGTGTCATCTTGGCTAGATCGCTTCCCCGGCACTGCCCGTTGTACAACCTTAAAGGTGACATCTGTGTATGGTATTGCAGTACCGTAGCGGTGATGAGCCGTACAACCGACCTGTCAGGTGCTCTCCTTTATACATAATGTGTCAATGATTTCCGAGTCATGACTCATGAGGTGCTGGTTACCACCTAGGTCATCTCGCAAGTACCCATGAGGTACCCAATGTCAACAATGGATTCCAGTCATGAGCTTGGAGCTTGCTAGGTCATCGCGCGGGTACCCCCCTATGACGGAACATTCCGGTTTATCCCACTATGGTGGGAGCGGTCGGTTGGCCATGTTAATTAAATTAATTATGTAAATCTGGACTCAGACTGCTACGCTGTAGTAAGTAATGATAAAATATTTACAAAACATTCCATAATCCATTCAGAGTCGCTTCATCCTGACAACAGACCCAGACCTCGAATCCATCATCTGCGGTCTAACATCCGTGTGTTTATGTCCTTTATGACCGGAAATCCCGGTAGCGACGTATCAGCTTCTTCTTCGCGAAGCCTTGGAGGACCTGAGCATGCGAATGACGCGACAAAGCACGAAATTATACACACAGTTTCACCACCGCAAGATGATTCCCCTTTGCACAGAGCCGGGTAAGTCAATAACAACATAATACGTTATAATGTAGTCGAAATGTGGTCACCTGCCCATCATGCTTCTATACGCATTCAATCTCCTAACTTGTCAAAATTCAATTGCAGACTACTTCAACCTAGGAGCTACGTTTCCTTCATGTCTATTACACCCCACTCTCAAAACGACATCCGCGCAAGCACCCTCGAGCTCTCCAATATGATGTTCTCTCCTTCCAGGGGCTCACCCTCTCCTGTGATGCCCCCCGTGATGCAGAACCTGTCTCCGACCGCACACATTGCACGTTCGCCTTCTCCCTCGACCCACGGTCGAAAGGAAGCCCAACGGCTACCTTTCCCGTCTGAGCTTACGGAAGAGAACACGCCTTCACGCGAATCATTCATATTTCCATCTGGTCATAACCTGCTCACGCACGTTGCACCAGGGTCTCTCCCAAATATTCCGTTATCCACATCGTTTGCGCCCTCCTCACAATATACAAAAGGGAGCTCACACTCCTCAGTTCAGGGCTCTGATCTCTCAGCTTCAGCTTCCACTATAGACTCCTCCCAAACTGCCCACCGCGATCTGCTGTCTGGCATGGCAACTCCTCGCAGGAGAGACATGTCTTATTCTACTGTTGCACCTCAGGCTTCAGCACTCTCGGTTTTGCTCTCCAGACATGCTGATGGGGCGACCTCGGGCTCGCCAAGTCCAACTCTGACGCACAAGACTGACAGGCCGCAATACTTCAATTCGTTCAATTCATTAGCAGACCCAGAGCAGGCTGTTTCCACGGTTAACCATACTTCTGCAGATCGCACCCTTCTGGCAACCACCAACGTTCGCCCTGAAGTTTTACGTTTTGTTTCTTCTCCGGCCACAGAAACTACCCCACTGCTTCCTCCTCCACATGGTCTTTTACCTGGCATTAATGGTCATGCCTCAGCGCCCTGGAAGCGCTCAATGACCTCAAAACGTTTCTCAAGCATCATGCATAGGTTTATAGGCGAGACACATAATATTGACCCCCAAGAACTCGTGCGTGCCGTGTTGAAAAGCTTGCCTGCTGTACTCTTGGGCACGTTACTCAACGTCCTTGATGGAGTTTCATGTAAGCCGTTCTGATGACTATCCTCTTTCGCGCTTTATTTCTTGCGATCTGATGGTACCTTCGAAACCCTTGGCGCCTATCGCATGACCTCCTAATACATAATATGAACTATATTTGTGCTGCTGATACTTCTTGATCTCCGATCATCATGGATCCGCTGCTAACCATGTCACTGCAGATGGAATGATAATTTTTCCTGCATTTGGTGTCTTTGCTGGATTAGGTGGGATGGGGGTGTCGATGTTTTTTGTTTCGTACGTCGTCTCTATCGTTGAAAACCATTGCTCCTGATCAGGATTTCCTATATGTGACATTTGTCGGCAAACAGCACAGTAGTTGCACAACTCGTGTATTGCTTTGGAGGGAGCAGCTTTGCGGGTGCTAATGGCAGTATGATGATTGAGGTTGTGGTACGTGCGTTTCATTTGCATTTGATTGGATTCCGTCTATTTCCCTTGCATTCGCACGTGTCGACCTTGCTTGTACCTGCTTGTTTACTTCTTTGATCGCTTCTGCCACCCCGGATTTGCACACTCTCGAACTTTCTCTGATAGTTTCCTTTTCGATGGTAGCCCTTCTTCCACATTCTTGCGTCCACTATAGCACATGATATCGGAGACGAGTATCCGAAAGAGATCATTGCCACGACAATAACGGCGTTTGCCCTTTCGTCCGTACTCACTGGTAGGTCGCATTTAGGTTTAGTTGTCAGGTGATCATCAACGCGTGCGATTTGCGTAGGGCTGGCCTTTTTTCTCCTTGGCTATTTGCGTTTGGGCGGACTCATTGGGTTCTTTCCGCGGCATATTCTTGTTGGGTGAGCCATTTACTGACTTGGTGAGCTTCGGCACTGACGTCCCGCACAGATGTATTGGAGGGGTTGGCGTTTTCCTGATTCTTACAGGGTGTGTTCCAATTCAGTTATCGCGGTGAACTATATCGAACGAATTTCAATGTAAAACAGCCTCACAGTAAGCACGCGCCTCCCGTCCGATGCACTCGATCCGCCAACGCTGGAGACCCTCCGGTACTTCATTCTCAATACACACGCCCTTTCGCAATGGGTTCCTCCCCTTGTCCTGGCAGTGCTTCTAAGGTTTATCACAATGCGATGGAAACATCAGCTTGTGTTCCCTATCTGTACGTCCCAGTTTACTGACCTGAGCATTGTTCGCTCACTTCATGCATGAACGTCTCAGATTTCATGATCATACCGATTGTATTTTATATAGTCGTTGCAGCTGCGCGGCTTGATCTTGGTGCACTGAGGAGGGACGGCTGGCTTTTTGATATGGCTGAGGGAACTGGTGGGGGAGAGGACAGGTGGTATGGATTTTATTCGTATCTCGGTGGGAAAATTTCCGTTGGTTAGATGAAACCAGGACTCATTCCTTGTGAACGCGAGCAGATCTTGGATTGATTCAATTTACGCCCCTATGGACAACACTGCCGATACAATTTGCATTGCACGTATTCCATCATTTGTGTTGTTGGCCTCGCTAATGTTTTATTTTAGGCTGTTTTTTAATATATTGCACCCACCTTTGAACGTTCCTGCGTTATGTACGTCCTGTTTTAATCTGGATGTTTGATGAATAGAGCGTCAACATATTTGCAGCGGTGTCCCTTGATGAAGACATTGATACTAACAAAGAGCTTTTGGGACATGGGTATTCGAATTTACTTGCTGGGGTTTTAGGCACGGTGTAAGCGGGTTTCTCTAACATTCGCCAATAATTGTTCACACATTGCAGGCCAAATTATCTTGTATACGTGAACACCTTACTGTAAGCAAACTTCCATTCGCTGTAGTGTAAGATAGCTCACATGCCGATTCGTCAGATTTTACCGAGTGGGCGGCGGGACCCGTATTGCCGGCTTCTTGCTTGCGGTCGCTACGTTTATCCTACTAATTATAGGTACAGGACCCATAGCGTATATTCGTATGTGGCATCATGTCCAAAGCCTCACTTTTCTGATAATTTGAATAGCCATCATGGTTGTCAGCGCCCTAATCTTTGTGCTCGGCATCGACCTCGTCAAGGAGGCATTGTGGGATACACGACACCGTGTTAGCAGGTCAGCTTTTGCACATTGGTGTGATATCCAGCTCATAAACGCACATTAGGATGGAGTATATCACGATAGTCAGCATCATGGTTACGATGACGGCTTGGGACTTTGTCATTGGTGTTTTGTTTGGCATTGTCGTCAGCTGTGAGTATGTCACATTTTCAGAGTAGACTTGTGCTCATGGTTTTGGATAGGTTTCTTCTTCGTGGTACAGAATTCGCAGAGAAGGAGCATACGCGCATGCTATGCTGGAGAGTCGGCAATTTCCACAGTAAGACGGCCTGCTGCACATAGGGCGTACATTCGAGAGGTGTCAAAGCAGACAAGGGTGCTTCGTCTTCAAGGCACGTGAAATCTTTTTCGTGTTGTAGCATTATTAATTGTCGGCATCCAGGATTCCTTTTCTTTGGTACTATCGCCTATGTCGAAGAGACTTTGAAAAACATTGTTGAGGACGCTACCTGGGAACAAAATCCCGTCCGCTTCGTCGTCGTCGACTTGTCCCTTGTAGTAGGAGTGGACATGTCTGCCGCAGAAGCTTTTGTGCGTGTGCAGCGCTTACTCGATGCAAAGGGCGTGGTGTTGGTGTTTTGTGGCGTTACTGCCGACAGTCCCTGCGGTAAGGCGCTGAGCTGTGTCGGAATCCTCCAAGAGCCATCAGTCGAGGTCTTTGAGACGTTGAATGATGCGATGGAATGTGAGTTTTACATCTTTATGTTGCAAATTTGATTGCTGAAGTTGTTTGCAGGGACCGAAAATGCGTATCTGCGGGCATGGTTCAGAGCTCAGAAGTCATGGACAACTCCAATAACGCTTCCTGGTCGCCGAGATACCAGCCTTTCCTTTGACGATGGTTTGACGGGATCTCCGAGGCAAATGCAACTTCGTGATGTTGGAGAGCGCACGATTGCTGGCGGTCAGTTTCACGTCTTGCCTAACAGAACTAATTCTCATCGTTTCAGCAGAATTTCTCGATAAGGATTCGGAGAATTCTTCTGAGCCATATAACACCCTTCTCAATGCGTTCTCGTCGTATCACGACGTAGACCAGAACACGTTCAAAGAGATCGCTCCGTACTTTGAACGATTCACATTCCCAGACGGTTTTGTCCTATGGGAGAATAATGATATCCCCGATGGCCTGTATATCATCGAGTCAGGCATCTTGCGGGCATCATACAAGTTTGCAGAGCACAGCCCCGTCATTGAGGAGTCAATGGTGTCGGGTACTCTTGCGGGCGAGCTTTCTGCTTTGTCGGGCATGCCGCGGAATGCACGCGTAGTTGTAGAAAAGCAGGCGGTATTGTGGAAGCTCTCTCTCGAAAACATGCGTCGATTGGAGGCAGAGTGTCCTCATCTTGCACAGATTTTCGTGCAACTTGTACTCAAATGTAAGTAGTGGCTTAAATCCTCATCCAGGGCATAAGCTTACTCTGCTTATTTCAGCTGCAAAAGTCGACACCGACATCCTTCTTGCTGCCTTAGCAACAAGATAAAACTGTATATATACCGGAAGTAAAACGTACATATATTACAACTCACAGATATGCAGAGCAAATACACGAATGCAAATATGACCAAAAGTGTTATCGAAGAAGTGCCACTTCTCGTCCTTGTATTTCTCGCAAGACCTCGTGGAACCGCAGCGACCACCACCCGCGTTCTTCCCTTTCCTGTTGCTCAGCATCCCCTGCTTGTCCTAATTCGACACCATATAACTGCATGGAAGGACTTTTAGGAAATGGCAACCCTGATGCTAGAATGGACAAGACTGATTGACTGATCTCGGATTCTTTCGACGCATGAGCCAGGTGGCTCTTCGTGGATGGCGAAGACAATGACCTCAGGGCGTGCTGACAACATTGTCTCAGTGGTACCAACCATTCCTTCAGAACAGCGCATTGCATAGACGCCTCCGATACAGAAGATCGAGAAGTGCCATGCGACAACGACACGGTTAAGACTCGTCCTTTTGAATTTGCATGTCCTCTCTCGAGCTCCTCAGCAGTCAGTGGGATTAAATCTAGTGAGATGGATGATCTTCTATCTGATTAGATCACGTAAGTGTCAGCTCTGTAAGTGACTGTTTTTCGAGGTCCTTACCTGTCTCGTCTGTCACAGAAAGGATTCTTGAGAGACCAAAGTTGTCGAGTATGCACAAATTTGCAGAACTACGCTTGGACTCATCGTCATGAATAGTGGCGGAGGCCATCATGATCAAGTCCGTGAAAACGAATAACTGAACGTCAACAGCCGGAGACTCGACGCGAAGCAACGGGCTATTTATGGGCCCCGCTTGTGGCTCAGATCGAAAGTCGAATGATGATGGAGCAGTACGAAAGGATTGTAGCGACACTGCCGTCGAGGCTGTAGACTGCACTGACCCACTACGCCCACGCCAACCTTTCAGCGCATTCGAGAGTCTTTCGTTACGCGAATCCGAAGATGGGCTTTTCAGTGGCTCTGGAAAACCATGCACGTTGGTGGAAGGGCGCATAATCGGTAAATCGTCGTCGTTTTCTACCCTAGCACATGCAACAGGACCGTGCATCAACAGACGCCTGTTACGGCAAGGAAGTTGGGAGGGAACGTTCGTTATACGTGAGAACATGTCTTTCACAAACTCGTATTCGTCCTCCCGATCTTTGACTTCGCTGAGAACACGGATCGTAAGTTTAGCAGAGTGAAGAACAGATAGTGTTGATAGATAGTCGGGATGAGACTTTGGGGTTGCGTGCCAGAGCCGCTAGATGATCTGGTTTCAGTCATGAGAAGTCGACAGGCACACCGACTCACATGAAAAAAGTCAGGGTATTGGGAGAGCCTCTGAACAGGTTCGACCAAATATTTCTCCAATGACCATCCCTGGCAGGAGGAAGAGCGCTCTTGTAGCTTGATAAAATCCCCGATATCACTTTTTTCCTGAGCGACAAGATGTTCGATTCTGGTTGCGACAAACTCTAGCTTTACCAGATAAGGCTGATATATCTCAAGCTTTGCCATGAAAGATCGAAGGATTTCCCCGACGCACTGCAGGTCGGCGTTGTGCACATCCCGAAGACCGATGAGACTGGCGGATAGTTTTGTATGGAGGTGTACAATGTCTTCTAACCAGTCAAACAGCCTCGAGACATCGTCTGGAACGCCAGATACCCAGACTTTCGTATTTCGGACGCGTAGGGGAAGGATGAAGAGCTGCACCATGTTCTGCAGGTTGATTACGAAAGTTTCCTCTGACTCCGCTAGTTTCCAGACAATCTCTTGTCGTCGTACCTCTACCTCACCGAATTGTTCCAAAACATACCGACGAAAGTCTTCCCAAGACGAAAAGATATCTGCAGAAGAACGACATCGATGATCCCGGGGCGCGTTCGTCCGATCCGAATGCAAGAATTCGTGAGCGACCGATGACATCGATGCGGCAGAGACTGATGATTCAGATGATGTATAGGACAAGTCACTTTGTGTGAGTTGAGCGTTCATGGAGCATTCGAACTCCTGCGTCGCCAATCTATTGAGGAGCGAACCAGTATGTACGCCATCATCTTCACACTCGAATTGCCATGTATTTCCGGCGATGGACGACATGTCACTGTCGGCATGCGTGAGGCAGGGTTCATCAGAAGCAGAGCCAGAAAATGACGTAGAAAGTCCAAACGCCTGGCGTTCGCGCACTGCAGCCTCGTCTGAAGTGACCATCATGCGCGTAAACTCTGAGGAGTATCGTTGACCGCCAATGTTGATGTTAGGCGTATTCTGCGGTGATGGATGCGATGTTTGTGAGTTTAAGTAGCTTGAATGAACAGAACGGCGTGGAGAGAGTAGGGGGTGCCCTGAGGATGGCCGTTCAACTGATAATCCTGAGTTCTTCACTGATACAGTCATTCTGTTAGCCTCAAAGCTCGTTGCTATGGTTAGAATCACCTGCCGTTTCGCTCATCAAAACGCCATCGGTTGCTTGGTTGGTTGTCTTTGGAGGCCCTGTCTACCTTAGAGTGAGGATGAGAACGACCATCTCTAGGGGTAGACGATCGGAGGCCTTCGTCATTTTCGTCGTTAAAAGAATACTCCGAGCCAGAATCACTCTCCCTCTTGCTCGATTCATCCCAGGAAGATGAGTTCGGGATATGGATGGAATCGCTAGAGCCACCAATTGCGAGCCCTTCCTCGCCAAAGTACTCGCTCTCTTCGCTTCGAGTTGGATGATCTTGAGAACTGGGCTTCAGTCCATCGACTAGCCCAAGAAGCTCTCTTTTGCGTCGATCACAGGATTCGTCACAATCAGCCATCGTTTCAGAAGCCGCGTAACTTGATCCCGCACTACTCAGGGAATATCGATCTGAAATTGTGGAGTCGCCTCGCTCCCTGCCTTGATCCGCATGGTCAGAGAAAATACTCTCGTTGTCCTGGATATTGCCATCGTCATTTCCAGCGCTCTCGCCTTCGCTGGTGGTTGAAAGTATGGAACGAGCTGAATTGTCGACAAACATGCCTCGAAGTTTTGCTCCATAGTCTGCGAATCCAAAACCGAGGCCAAAACGTTCTTTTTTCTTCTCAGGCGCCTTAGAAGCCAAGAGGCGTCCCTTTGCGAACATGACAGGGGTCCCATCGCTCTCTGAACTGGAAGATGGAAAGACAAAATCATTGCCGGCTAGTTTCTGACCTCGGAGACTTGAGCTAGTTCGTGGTTCCGCGTCAGTCAGGCTGTCTTGGGAGCTCTCTCGTGGAGCGTGTCGTAGCAGTGGTGGTGCGACACGTCGAGGAATATTTGATCGATATTTTTTTGGTTGAGGAGTAGCCAATGAGCTAGGTAAAGGCGCCAGGGTTATGGGATGCACCAGGGTCTGTGCGAGCGCGAGCTCTTTCCGTTCTTCTACCAGGGCCGATGTTAGTCGTAATTGAAGGCTGACGAAATGGTTGATTTTTCTGTTTGTAGGGCAAAGGCGGCCTCGGCGAGATGCCCCCCATGGGAGGAGGCCAGTCCGGTTTTCCGCTGCGCACCAAGCCGACGGGTCGAGGTACCTCAGAAGTTCTATCGGAAGGTCGATCAGATGGAATCATTGTAGGAGCGTGGGGCTGAGCTTTTAAAATAGGCTTCGGTTTCTGTCTCAAAGCACTGCGCGAGGGACGTGGAGGACCTTCCGACTGTGCTACCGGAAGTTTGTGAGTCGTATCTCTCGAATATTCGGACAAAGTGGAGGTAGGTTGAGGAGTCCTTGCGAGCTTGGGCGGGGGATTTGAATGATACTGACCAATGTTAGATCGATGATCCAATTGTGGGTTCTCATTGGGCAATGGAGACGGCATTCCGAGCTGTGATGATGGCCTTGTCATGCGATCGATCGTGTCCTTTAGAGAAGGTAGCAGGTGCGCTTCCATAAGCCCCAGATCTCCTACTTGACTTCTGCGTTTAGACCTAAAATTGGTAGAGTAATCGACATGAAGAGAGTGCGAATCGGAAGCAGAAGCAAGAGAGGATCGAGAGGGTAGCGGCGGAGTGCTCGAGGTATATGGTTGAGGAGGGCGCGATTCGTGAGCACGGCTTCGGGTTGCGTTGTAAGGAACGCCCGCTGCAGCTGCATAGTGGGACGGTGGAAGAAAGCGATGCGCAGGGGAAGTTGGTGTAATGCTTGGAGCAGGAGAACGAGAGGCATGGCGCTTCGGCCAGGGGTGCGACATTGCATGAATGTTGTCGTTGAAACTGGAAGTGGTGAATGCAGAATACGCGTCTTGCTAGTCACGTGAAATTGACATATCCAAACAATTGCCATCACGTATGTACCATCATACAAGTTCGACGCAGGACTTCTGATTCAAAATTGGAAATAGAGGCTAGTTAATTCTAGCTTTCATCCATTTCACAACATCTTCTCCCCATTCTTCTCCTTGACCAGAACACAAAGCCCAGTTAGGACTGATGTGATTGTGTCCTTTGCCAATGATCATCTGGGGCGCCTCTCCACGCCGCTTCTCGATGTCCGGTAGTATCTCCTCCCACGATAGCAACAGCCAGTCAGGCTCTCGCTCCGCCCTGACAAGGAGAATATCAGGGTGGTCCTTGATCTGTTCATCGGATAGAGCATTCCACAGAGCCCTAGGCTCCCTCTCTCTCTGTTGCTCCTGAGAACCAAGATATTGCGCTGCGGGAACTTCGATCCTAAATCTTTTCTTCTCGTCAACGATGAACCAACTACCACCAGACCAAATGACGCCTTTAAGACGAGGATGTACGGTACTCGATACCGGTGGATAAAGGCTCAACACTTTCGTATGCACGTCACCCGCTGAGTGGCCCATGATAAATATAGCATCTACATCAGGCGCAGGTATCGAGGGTGCGCCGATGACGTCGACATTGGCGCAAACCCAATTGACCGCATCACGAATGTCCTCGGATGAAGCCGGGAACTTGACCTCCGGGACAAGTCTGTAGTCCGGAATGATGGTGATGAAGCCGTGTTGTGCAAAGAAAGATCCAAGCGCGCGGTATCCCATAGAAAATGGTTCAGGAAATTGCTTTGAGCCACTGTTGTATCCACCGCCATAGACGAAAAATAGGATCGGTGTCTTCCCACTCTTAGTCAGAGTCGAGTTTAGTGGGTAATAGACGTCAAGCTTGCATAGCGTGGGGTCAGGAGCATGGTATCAGATTCGATCTGCGACAAACCTCATTTCTGGAGCTGCGCTTGTCATCATATACAAATGACTTGCGCTCAATCTTCTCTATATCTGCCTTTCTTTCATCTAAGATAGGTACGAACGCTGCTAGAGCTGAAAAGCAAGTCGGCTGTGAAGGAAGCTATGATATACTAAGAAGTGGAAGACGCACTTCTCAAGTTAATGGCCGCAACACCAGTTTCCACAAACTTTGAGATTACCTCCATGGTGAGGTCGACAACGAGGGAGTGTGAAGATATTTTAACTAGGGTAAGTTATATTTGGTCATCCACACTAGTAACAGATCAGCGCTCAGCTGCGCTCAGGCATTGACGAGGTCTGGATCGGACACGTTTCACCATGGCAAACTAGTAGAATCAAGAAAGCTGGACTAATAAAATTTCAAGTTCAGTATGGCTCCACGTAATTGAAATGACAGGTAAGACTAAGCATGAAACCATATCATGTGACCTACGCTAGCGCTCCACCTCATACTCACTTTCCAAAAGGTTCCCATGATGCATTTTATCTCACCGCATACCGAGCGCTGCGGAGATCTTTCATTCAGGCTTCGAAAGACGATTACCGGCACCGCAGTAGTGGAGTGAAGCTGCCGCAGTGTATAGCCTAGTCACGGTGCAGTGCAGGAGGTCGAGGGAATCCGAGGCCGAGCAGTGACACCATGGCCGAACGGTAGAAGTTTACTCGACACTTCGAAATTCGGAGCGGCGCACCAACTGGGCAAATCCGACATCCGTCTCGAAGGCGGGGTTCTTGGAGTCCGAGGCTTATCGAGTTTACGATCATATGAAGACACCTTCCTCGATCTAACCAAACTGTTAAAGCAGGCTCTTCATCGGACCACACTCTAGTCGTACGTTCATTGATGGCAACGTAAGATCTCATGATTCTCGTATGTGCCTTATTTTGAACGCCCCTAGTATCGTTAAATTGGAACCTGTTCGCGTTCGCGTTCGCCATCTTAGAGTATGTTCTACACAACCTACTAGCGTTATATAGATATCAGACTCGTCTTAAAGTCGTTCTTGTGGATTGGCCTAAATCCCAAGTATGATGTCGACGGGCAAGGTACGGTGACAATGAGAAATCCTGGATAACAAAGTTTCTGCGTGCCCATCGGAGCCTTATCTTGCTTGTCACTTAGGCTCCACCTATTAAGACCTTCCCAAGCTGCAACACATCCCCATCGCCTGCTCGGTGACTCCTCGGACGCTTCTATCGCGGTTATACATGCTTCCGAGAGTAACGATTCCCAAAATCTCCAAGTGAGAGGTGCATGGCGATGACGACACAGCAATCAATAAGGAGGACGGTTGATATGCCCCGCAGAGTTGTACACAAAAATAGGTCACTCGAAGACAGGTTCTAATAACTTACAAGTTAAGATCAGTGAACGAGCTAGGCTGATGGTTATTAGAGCGGAGCACTTCGAACACGGTTACGGTTCCGAAATTGCTTCTGATGGAAGTGGGGAAAAGGGGAAAGTTCATGGAGATTTGGCGGATGGTAAACTCACAATAAGCAAGGCTCCATGGAGCACATGGACATGCGGACATGAATTCTACACTGTACCAGTGCCTTCAGAACATCCGTTCCACAGATGCTGATGAAGTTGATCACAACGGGTGGTCTATAACAAGATCTGTGGATGATCCGCTGGATTGCATGAATGGTACAAACCTGAAGGACCAGCACATAATAGGCGTAGCTCAAATAGATAGAAGGTGCACTTACGAAGAGCAACGACATGATGTTATGTCACGCGAGAATGTCACGCGAGATCTGAGCGTGCAATCTGATCAGCAAAGATCAAGATGGTTAGTAGACACGAGTCGCGTCCATAGGTATGTTTTCCATCGTAAAATGTGACGGTTTGCGGCTTGCTGAATCATGACTAAAAGTCTTGGTGAGGCGAAAACAACCTTCAGTATGTTACGATATACTATTCCGTAATCTTTGTCTCTCGAGAGCTTTTGGATGTAGTAAGTCAGGGCCATAAGGCGCTGTGCGTTGTGTAATGGGGTAGCTCAGAGAATTACCCAAAACCGGATGCGAGCAGGGACATACAAGTAATGCATCGAGGCTTCGAATACACAGATCGCCGTATAAAAAAGCTGAGGAACCTCATTGGTAACTCTGGAACGTGGCCGGGGGTCAGGATGAAAGTAATTGTAGTACCGTCATTGGGCGAGTGCGTTTGGAGAGGGGTTATCGACAATCGCCACAGATGAGTGGGAGATGTATCATGATAGTGTGAATGCGCCGGTCTGCCACCATTCGGCCCCGATTCAAGGATGTCATCTCAGGGTTTGAGTTCAGAGGCATGAAGTAGTGCATGCGAGCGTGGAGTGAAGCCTTGAACATAAATGTAGAGATCTGGACGGCAACGAATCGAGCAAGTGAAAAACTACATAATTGAGGTTATGAGTCACAGAGACGCTTAAGGCCTCGTGTAGTCAGTAGTAACAGATAGTAATAAGGCTTGACTCAACCGCCAACGCGGTTTGTAGTGGTAATAACAGTGCGAAAAGGTAGCCATGAACGTCTTGATGGGAGTCGCCAATGATTGTCATGATCGAGATATAATTTATTCGTGGCACGTAGCTGAAAGCCAAGTTCCGGGGTTAATTGATGGTAATTTGTCAAGGTCTGAATCTGCTGAGTAGTTGAAGTGACTGCGGTGTCGAAGTGTATGGGTCGCGGAGAAGGGATAAACGAACTCGAGCTCGAGGAGCGGGTGGATATGACCGAGACAGGGCTGGTCGGCACCAATTGAGGCCGTCCGGCGGGTGGTGGCCGAGATTCTGATTGATCGGATTAAAAAGGAAAGTGGTTATGTAATCATGGTGAACGGATGATCCGCATTTGACTCAACGTGATTTCAAGTTAAATAGGCTTGTCCGATAGTCACCCGATAGTACCCTCTCTTCCTCGCCCAACTCGCACAATCCTTACACCACATCACTACTTCACCGGTTTATCATCATAATATCTCTTTCACCAGTTGTAGGCCGCCCTCATCTGTAGTATACACAAATCCCAACTTCTATCTTACCGTTCGTAGCCATGGCCACTACCTCCCAACCTATTGCTTTCCAGTCTCCTAATCATCCTGATTTCCACATGGCATCTGGTTCATTCACTGGTAACAACAGTACTAGTGCCAAGTCTTACTTTATAGGCTCACCAATATCGTGGCGTGCTGGCTCATTTGGAAGCCGTTTCTATCCCGGTTGTTCCCCTGGTCAACTTCTGGGTCCATTGGAGTCAGTTGATACTTCATTTACCATGTCAAGGTGCTAACTTTCATTATGTAGTCCTAACGAATTCAAGTGTGCCAAGTTGTCGTCTTCTATCGATAGCGACCGTGGTTCAATTCTGAACGCTCTCGGTGCCTTCGACAAGGAGGACGAATTGGTGAGTTTTGGTGTTTAAGAGTAGTTTGTGCCAGTCTCATGGTAACACCCTTGTAGTGTCGCAACTACACATGCTGTGGCTTACAGTTAGATGATCTACATGCTCTGCTACAGCACTTCGAGGAGATACATGTTGTCGTGCTTGACCCATTTGGTCACCCTCAGTTCCCAGTCGTCCCTTCTCTACCCCAACCTGTTCATAACGTGAATGCGTCCTACTTCTCAGACCTTCAACAACACCATCAATCCTACAACCAAGGCGGTTTTGATCCTGATGACATGGAACTTGATGTTGATCAGGGCAGTATATCAAACGCGCCAACGCCCCCTGACACTCCCCTCAGCACTCCGCTATCGTCGCACCCTACCCATTCGTTCAACCACTTTGGACAGTCGAAACCTGCCTCACCGCATCTTCCCGTGTCTGCTTTTGATACGACAACCGTGGTTCCTTCCCGCTCTGTGCACGGCTCGGCGTTCCCACCGTCTCGAAATGGTCTTCCGAATGTGTCAAATGCCCCTGATGCGTTCAATGTCTACGCTGGTTACTCCGACTACTCATCCTCGATGCCTGGCACCGTTCCTTCTCCAACCGGTAGCGATGATGTTCACGCACCTGTCACACCTGTCAGTGAGCCGGGTAGTCCCTACGGTTGTCTTCCTCCAGCTGTGGTATTCTCCACGTGCAATACCCCTGTCACCACCCCTTCAGCCTCTCGCGTGCCATCTCCAGCAAGCGCCTCGCGTCGTCCCGCGCCTCCCGCGGCTGCACCTCATTCCTCGGCATCCTCGGATTCCCCTGCTTCTCCCAAAGTTTTCACATCACAGCAAGCCAATCAGCGTGCCAGTACCACGCTCTCCCGCCCTGCGTCATCATTACTATTATCGAAGCCCTTCCGGTGTCCGAAGCCAAATTGCAATAAGAGCTACAAACAAGCTAATGGGCTCAAATATCACATGACTCACGGCAGCTGTAACTTTGCGCCGCCCAAAGACCTCGAGCAAGTACAAGCACTACTGGCCAGCAAGCGGTCCGCCCGTGAGGCTGCTGGGGATGGTCAGGGCATTACAGAAGGTGACATGCGCGAAGTCGAACGGGAGGCAGAGCGCAGACTTCGGCCCTTTGCTTGTGGCGTCAGTGACTGCCAGCGCCGATACAAGAACATGAACGGTTTGCGGTATCACTACCAGCATTCGGGTGACCATGGTACAGTCGGCTTGGCTCTCCTTGCCAGTGGACAGCACGAATGTCTACAACATGCCCATGGACGGAGTAGCAATGCAAGCTCACGGCATTCGACACCTGTAACGAGCGGAACCTCTACACCGGCACCGGTAAGCGGACACATGACCTCGACGTATGCTCAGCAATATCAGCAACAAATGTTTTACTCGTCCGCACAACAGCAGTACTTGCGCCAGCAGCAGGCTCTACAAGCACAAGTACAGATCAGCTATCCTGCTGTCTCGGCTGAACCTGTCCCTATCATGGTCGCGCAACAATGAAACACCCTCGTTCAAAAATGATTCGAACGTAGGTTGCACGTGATTTATCGAATATTTCTATTGGCTGTTGGATACCCCTCGCTGTCTGGCGACCCTATCTGGATACATGGCAGAAAAAGTAAAAAAAAATATGCTTATTGGTCGACTATTGTTTATATCCCCAATTTCATTTCCCTCTTGTATGAGCTTCTGACTCATAACACAGTCGACGCCTATTATTTTTCAGAATCATTTATTATTTTGCTTTCCTTTGCGTCTGGTACGACATGCTGCTTTCCCTTCCTCCTTTGGCTCCTTCCCTGCGCGCCCCCCCTCCCCCTAGAGTATAGCAGCTATCGTATTTTCTCCAAAAGCCGGAATTGTATACTATTATGCAGATTGGCATCTCCTTAATCTTGATCTCTGTCCATCTCTCATACACATATTGCGTATACTTAACACTAACTATCCACATAAACAGTGTTGACCGCTTATTTTACGTTTGTTCATTGGAACGTGAACTTCGGATGCAGGGATGTGGACACTGCAAAGTTTATGGCCCCGGGGGGCACGTTTATGTACATGTACAACTAAAAGTTTGTAAAGCTACGTCACGTGTATGCAGAACTAGCGGAGTTTGATCAAAACTGACTGTGACATGTGACCCTTGCCGATCTTCGCTGAAATCGATATACCACGCGTTGATCGGGTTGAAGGCGTGCGATAAGATCAATCTGATTGACTTCGTCTTCCCGTTCTTTGTATCATGTGCAGTCCGGAGCAAGCTCAACAGTGAACACGTGTAGAGCGCAGTCGCGGTGATGACACCCCCCACGTGGCTTAGGAATGTACATGATACATTGCACGAACTCGTGATGTCAGGAAAGCGATTTCGAATAGCAATGGTCGATTTCCCGTATAGGCGGACCCATCGAAAAAAAAAACAATTTCCAAAATTACACGATAACGACGAAAAACCCAAATAAGTAGGAAGAAGAATCTGTAAAAGCACAAGAATAGCACCGACCGGTACCTTTTCCCGTCGCATCCAAACTTTATTTTTGGGGGGTATTATTTCAAATATATGTTGAACGTGATTTGCTGTCTGTCGGACTAATTGATCGAGTTGAAACATGGAGGTGTGGTTTATTTTGAAATATGTAACATGAGGGATTCGTGGAGGTTTAGGAGCCGCTGGTCGTACTATCGGACGGCACTTGCAGGGACGACGGAGCCTGCGTATACCACGCCGTCGGTGTGAGTGGTCCTGGAAAGGCAATTAAAAGTGTCTGTAGGGGGCCCTGAAGGATTTAAAGTTTATTGGGGGGTGACACCCGACGCGCACCTTCATATATCTATAATTTATGTAAATGACCTGCTTGTCAGCAAGTTTCTACTTATTAATTGTGGTTTAACATGACACGTCAAGATGAATGAATGAATATGGTGCCCTGAGAATGAAACGGGACTTTTAATTATAATAGACAGTAGCACAGCCTCAACCTCACGTGACAGCTCGTATGTCAGAAAAAGGAAAGAAAAGTTCCATATTTTTGACAAAGATGAAACGGAGATGAGAACACGTTTTTGATGAAACAAAAGTCCTGTGGGAGTGCCGCAGCCTTGGGAAAGATAATCAGACAGTCTTCAAACGTACATTCTTGCTGGCGTAACGTAGGATTACTTCCGCGGAATCAAACGTTGCTCGTAGGTCCTATGCAAATGGTATACATGTCCGAAACAGCCCAAATGAAACAAATACATCAATGATACAACTACACGTTTATGCTACAAGTGGATACTATTGCATCCTGGAACATCTGCAAGCTCGACGAGTCGTCCTCCACTACTGTGGTGCTGACAGACTTGTAAGTCACGTAGCCCCAGTCAGCGTCGAGCACAACATATCCACTGTCGTCGTCCACCACAAGCTCTCTCAAGCTCGTGAGCTCAGCCATCCATCGTTGCCAGATGCTCGACCACAGCCTGGCATCAGTCGATGGGTTTGATACATAGCTTGCGCATGATTGCAGCTCCAGATGACGCAAGCGACTCTTTTGACGGATCACAAATTCTTCGAGGCCATCAGGAGAGGGTGTCTGATCAAATACAATGTTTTCGAGTACGAGCGATTCGAGCGACGGATAATGGAATGAAGAAAGCTTGGTTTCGAGGCTGTGGTATGGCCCCTGGGGGCTGCGCAGCTCAAGCGACTTGAGTGTGGCGTTGGAAAGGGGCAACAATGCGCCAAGCGATCCGTTGATCTCCTTTGATCCCGACCAGGCACTAATATCGGCGTTTGGCACGACAGAGAGCGAAAGATGGGACAGGGGTGAGTTTGTGAGGGTAGAGACAAAGTCATAGCATGAAGGGGGCATCATGACCACGTTGTTGAGAGAAAGGGAAGACATGCGAGATTTCTTCATGGCGTGATATATAGAATGAATAACTGTGAGCTGCCGGCTCGTAAACCAGAACGGGTTCTCGTGGATTTCCTTCCCAGACTGGGAGACAAATGTCGGCCAGAAACTGGCGACGACGCGTTCAAGTCTGGGGAATGAATCGAGGGCGCAGAAAGCCTCGGTCAAGGCTTCTTCAAGCTCAGCGACTTCAAACATATCCTCGATTTCTGCAGGAACGTGCCACAATCAGCTCCTACACGTAAACAAGAGGAAACGGAACTCACCAATGTTTTCCGGGGGGAATTGAAAACATTCATTGTCACGAGAGTCATAAACGACTTCCCGAACATGAGGAGCAAGGTTGGCGGCAGCGATGATCTGCTGTAAATTTTGTGCACTCTGGATGCTGTTTTTCACGTGAAGTTTGGTGAATGCGATGGGGGTGACGAGCTCTCGATACGCCTTGTTTAAAGAGCGTAACTGAAGAAGATCAGTCAAGGAAGAGACATTCTCGACGACAGCATTGATGATTTCGATGGGGAGGTCTCGCATGGTGAAAGGGATAGGACAGAGATTGACCTTAATGAAAAGGGATAGCGGGTGTTGTTCCATTTTATATGACCCATTTGTGCTTTCAATCTGCACAGGATAGTGAGCGAACCGAAAGAATCTACATTGGGGCACTAGTCCCACAGGAGTCCTATTGGGTTGAAATGGAATGGGTTTCTCGAAAGGGAATTTACAACAAGCTCGTGGGAATATTAAAGCTGCCAAATCTGGCTTCGGTTTGACCCGATCAGTAGAACGTGCTTCCGGTACAGTCGGCGCCGTCACACAAATGTCCATGTCACGTAGGCGGATATGCATGAGACTCGTAGGACCTCATCATGAAAATATCTAGCACTGGTGAGCGCAGTATCGAAACTTTGTTACGGCAAGCGAACTTTCAGTATCAGAGTTTGAACAATGCCTCTTACTACGAATGTGTATCCCTATGGAGCTAGAAATTGTGGGAGACCCGAACGCACGCAAAACAAGGGGCTCGCCCGCTCGGGCACGCCGGAAAAATACATCATCTCACTGAGTTTCTGTAAACGCCCGTACGTTGTCCTTCGATGCGGCATTATATCTGCTTGATACTAGCGGCTTTGTCACATCAAATTTGTCAACACATACAGGCTTGTCAGGGTGAACACCTGTCGCTGACCCGGTTCGTACGCGAAAGACACCTGCCAAAACGTTCAAATAGCAGTGTCTCCAACATGTTTCAAGTCGAACAAAGTCGCTTCTGGCGTGACGGCGGCGCCCTCCCATCATAACTTGGAGATGCGGCGGCTGCCCCATCTTTCATAAGAAGGCTTCTTCTAGTCAGATACAACGTAACGTATTCAATTTTAGTCATAGCTCACCCCCATCCCAGCCGCTCCATCGGACTCTCACTCCTGCTGCGGCTCATTAATTCTTATGTTGCTTCTAGAGTCGGAATCATGTCCCGAACCCGAATTCTGGGGAGAAGTTCAAGTTGGAGAAACCGTGACTGCGGAAACGACTCCAAACTTCTCCGCAGGCCTCTGCACAAGTCGGCCCGATTATCAATTTGTCGATTATGCTCCGTGCCCGAGGGCTCGCTCCCCATTTTTCACTTGACGATGATCTAGAAGGTTGTTTAGAATCACGAGTCGTAAGATCATCAATCATCACTCACGCTCATGAAGATGAAGCGCTGACAACGACGGCAAAGAGAGAATGTCTATTTATATGCACTAAACAACCCGCGCAGTTTGCGCGCACTGACTCTGTCCTGTGTAAAAGCGTGACCAGTCCTCAAGCCCTCAGGCTGTGAGCTATGGCATATCATGTCATGTCATGTGTAGCACATCAGCTGGCCAGTACTTAGCTAGGTCCCAGACTTGCCAAGCTTAAGCTTGAATATATACTACCAAGTGGTATAAGTGCATCAGCCGAATAGCTGAACTTCAGCCTTCAGGTCCCCGTTCATGGTACCCCTGGTCTGGAGCGAGTTACATACATGTTTGCGCCCTCGAAACATGGGTATATTATTACGTCTACTGCCGCATCTTTCCTCGTCTCTACTTCCCTGCAGCCTCTCACGTGGAACAGCCTCAGCTCGCCTTACTGAACTAATACCAAGCATGATGCATTATATCTTATCAATTATCACTATCATACAAAACTATGCGCAACCGCGGCAAAAACCAAAATATCTCAAGCCAAAATAAAAAATAACGCATGATTACCTGGGAGCAGGATACGGATATATATTCTATCCAGAGTCTGGATATCACCATCATCTAGCCGTGCGTCTCCAATCGTGTATATGGATACCAATCATGATACTTGAGACATCGAAAGCTTCTCGCCCACGCTCACAGCTTCCACCAACACCCAAATACACCGCAGTCATCCTCTGGGTCATCGGGGATTGGCTCAGGCGAGGGTTCAGGTGCATCATCGCTTTGACATGCAACGGGGACTTTGTAACCCTACAAAGTGACCGTGCGTCAGCACGCATCCCACCAAAAAGGCAACTCAGCGAAATAAACTTACATCCTCCCTAACGCCTCCACCCCACGGTGTACGCCCCTTAACGGTAGCGTCAATACCCAACCCGCGCTCGGCAAAGCCTGTCCAGATATCACAGAAGTTCTCCCCACCCGTAAGTACCTGATCAGCCTGCACGATCGCATCACGTGCATCAAAGAAAGACGGGCTACATGGCTGAAGCTTCATCCCGTTCAACACGAGCTGTACCCATAGCGAGTTACCATGCTTCGGGACGAAAGGCTTATCGGCGCGGTAGAAAGCAGCGTAGTCGGCAAAGTCAGCATCATGTGGAGGAGGGAACAGGTCATCTATGAACCCGTGCTTGGCGATCAGCCTTTGCTCGACGACCCATAGGATCTGCGCCCAGACCTCCCCGATTGCGTGCACGCCCCAGTATCCTGGCTTGTCGAGGGTCTTGTACGTGCTTGGGTTCACTGTCTTGTCAAGACTGTACGGGTAGTTCCGGATACCTCCTGGGCGGTTCGCAGCCCATGCGCCCATGGGGTAGTCCTCATAGATGGCAGTTCTGCGAATTGTCGTGGCGAGGAAGTCTGGAAACGGTGAGCTCGTTGATTGTCAGGAGTCCAATCAACACTGAAGAGACTTACCACCCCAGCCCTCTCCCATACCACCAGCCTCACCCCAGCCAAGACATCCACTGTTCTTGGGGCCACCAGTCAAGCGCGTGCTGAGACCATGAGAAAGCTCGTGGATCACGATGCCAGCTTCCATGTCACCATCGCGGTACGGATTAGCGGTATTCCAGAGGTACATTCGGCATTTGCTGGTTCACGAAATAAATATTGATCAGAGTAAGGAAGGAAAACAACCCACCCGTTCTGGCCATCGGGAGGCGTCATGAAATTGGCATTGTTAAACCCACTTCCGTCCTGTGCATTCGTAATCACAGCATCCGATTCCTCACCGCCGCGCCCAAAGTTGTACTGCTGGAAGTTCCCAGCCTCTTCGGTGAAGCCGTACCTGGGTCACAATTCGTCACATGGGAAAACAGCAAATGAGCGTGAGTAGAACGCACCGGTAGGTCAAGTCATGGTACATGTTGCTCGTGTAGAAAAGTTGCGCCACCGTTGCGTCAATGTGAGCGTGTGCATCGACCAAGTTCTCCTCTGCGGTGCTCTTCGGGCTCGGAGAGTATGTGTAGTTGTAGTGGACGGCTAAAATGCTCACGTCGTCTAACAGACAGGCGTCATAAAAACGAGGACAAGAACAAGCTGCGCAAGTACTCACTACCCACGGCCGTTCCCTCTGGACGGCGATTATATATCCACGAGTTACGTCCCTCCCAGTTCTCGTGTGCAAAGACGTTGTTGCCCCACGTAGTGTTTGTCGTGCGCCAGAACTCGCCTGCCGTTTCGTATGAGATTTAGAGCACGAAAAGGTCAGCTAGAGTGTGACGAACCTTGCGCACGAAGTGCAGCCTTCTCGTCCTCACTAGCGCTGGGGTCTACACCCCAAGGCAGGGCGTGCCACCCTGCCGGACTTGCGAGCTTGTCACCCAGCTCGGAAGAGTGAACGCGACCGTAAGAGGGGGGAAGGACATCTGTGGGTGCTGGGAGGCGCGAATTGAGATTTGGATCACAGGGGGAACGTATCGAAACTTACCATCCGCATCGCTGATCGCCTTCCTTTCGGCAGCCTCAACAGGGTCGTTTGTGCCCCACGGGAAGATGTTGTAATATGCTTTGGGGAAGTCAGGAATTGCAGGACCACTGGACCACTTGACACCCTCCTTGGCAGCCTTGCTCTTGCGGAGATCTGCCACAGCCTTGCCCTTCCTGAAGCGACCACCAACCTTTTTGGTGGAGCAGGAAGGGGCGCTTGAGCCTGCAGGGACGAATGAGGATAGGGGAGGGAGCTGAGCATCCTCGGAGTGAGATTCGGGGGAGTAAAGAGGCATGGGGCTGTCACTGGCCCAGTCCACGACGGACACAATACGGTGGGGAAGAGACGCAGAGACTGTGGCCTCATACCAGTTGTGTTCCATCTCGACTTCGAACTGTGTGATGGTCAATATTGGGTGAGAAAACTGGAGGATTAGTACTAACGCGGTGTACGAGCTCGAGATGTACGGTGCCGTCTTCAGAGGGTACCTGGACCCAGACGACAGAGGTCTTGACCTCGCCAATGGTTCCGGGAGCACCGTTGATGGTAAGTTGCTGAGCCTCGTGAGGAAGGAAGCCGGACATGTGAGCCATGGTCATGCTCGCCAAATGATCATCGAAATGAGTCTGGATGTCATGTGCGAGAGCGGGTGATGGGGCAGCTGCAAGAAGGAAAGTAAGAAGTGCACGAGGTGCGTCTTGTGGACTTGGGACGTGGTTATCAAAGGAGGGAGTTGGGATAGAGTGGATGTTAGGGAGGGCAGCACAGTTGGAGGAGTGTATGTGCTCTAGCTCTGGGTGTGCACCGTCCAGGGGTTTCTGACCTGACCAGGGGGAACGAGCGGAGTCGAGTTGTGCGCAGTATTCTGCGTGGGGGTGCGCACCACGGGTGTGTGATTCCGGAGCCGGGCCGGGATAAAACTGTGTGGAGTGAGCGCTTATTAAGTTGACCCGACACTGGCGTTAGGTATACGCACCGAATTGCCGTAACTCAAAACAACGCCGTCCTTGATGTTCAAATTGACATTACCGTCAGCTACCTGAACACCCTGGATGACTTGGCGCGCATAAACGTGAGCCACTCCAGTAGCACGATCCGTGTAGCTATCGCTGCGAATCACGTAGCTGACACCGCTGTCGAGGTCAACGATAGAGTCAAGGAATGTCTTGGCTACCTCAAATGGGTCTACCTGCACTCTGTCTTGAGCAGAGAAGAGTGCGGCGGACACAGGCTGGTGAGCACTACTATCGAAACGGGCATGAGGGAGAACAGGACCAAATGAAAGAGACTTGCGACGCTGCGGCTCTGGTATGGCAGCAGCGAGGCCGAGAAGGGCTAGGGTTACTGTTGTCAGTCCGCGCATTGCAAAGCTGACGGAGTCCTTAGTTTCACTAAGACTTCCGTTTTGTGCATCAGGTTTATATCAACACTGTCTACGTAAGCGCGGTGAATCCCGGTTGCGGTGGCTGTACACGTAATCTTCCAATTATGGGGAGTCAAGATAAGTCGCCTCGAGGAGACGGAAATGGAGTTGTTGGGCTTGCAAGGCTCAGATCAAAAACAGAGCTCGATCAAGTCTGTCCTCCTCATGTACATCAATGAGATCCGGCGTGAGAATTACAACCCCCGTGGCATAATAACCACTGGGCTAACTTCAAAGTACTTATCTCACTGCCTAGGAAACTATCTCATTCCCACACAAAGCCACGCGTCTATCGCTTTGCTCATCCTGCTCCAATGCTGCGTGCTTCCGGACGAGAGCAGACAGCCTTCTTATTGTCCTTCTCGTGAGCCCCCTTCTCGCTTACTACAGTAACGTGCATTTGCGGGCTCAACAAGATATCTATTCCATCTCATTCTCCTATCAACAGAGTCTCGAGTTCGTTCACAGAACCTGAACGCCCAAGCCCAAGTTCTCATCCGTCCAATTAGAGATAACGAATCAAACAATTCCATCAGAAATCACGACATCACACTCCAATTGGTTCCTGACACGGTATATTTATCGACCCACTCCTTCACTATCTCTTTTACATATCATATCGCATCCTTCCGCGCACCAACATCAGCTCATATTCAAGACCCGCCGAGGAAAAGGCGCTCACCTCTTGCTTTCACGTGCAGAATGCACCACCGGTCGTGGCTTGACAGCAAGTGGGGCAGGCACAGCCTGCAACGTACACGAACTGGTCGTCCGATGCACATTCATAAATGAACGCATTCCCGCCATTAACACCCGCGTCCTGTGAGCACCCATAACCACCTGCAAGCAACCGTAAGTACACCGTTAAATATCCCCACATCCCAGAAACATATCGTTATGTGGCAAGAGCACTTACCTGGGGTGTCGCAAGACTGGCCGATAGGGTTGTACGCGGTGGCTACGCCAGCCATTACCGCAACAGACACGATCATAGAAGTGAGTGAGATGAATTTCATGTTTGTAGTGAGGAGAATGCTAAGGCTCGATAATTTATCTTCTGTTGAGTTGAGTGGAAAGCTACGCTCTCCTCTCGCCTTTTATACTACAACCATAGCATGCCCCAGACAACGATCCATCCATCCATCTCATATCCGACGTGGGACAGGTTACCTTGCACGGCATCCCCATCAAATTTGTAATACTCCACCTGCAGATGGACGCAACGTTCGACGGCCTAGGTGCATACGGGGCTATAGTATTGATCTCAAAATTTTATGCATCCCCCCACATGACCTATCCGAGGCGATGGACGCGGAGGGATCATGTATCAAGGCAGTGGTCTTGTGTCACGATCACAATGTCATGATGATACCTGTTCTTTCGTTTGACGAATTGTTGACTATTTCAAACTCTAGATCGCGACGCTGAAAAGTCGTCTGATGAACGTCAAAAACATATCGGAGTGCTTGCCTCGAATTCGGAATATGAGAAATGTTTTTTTGACTCTCGACACTCCGTCGATACATAGGCTGACTGTTCCGTTATATCGAGCAGATTTTACTCTATCAAATTGACGTCTGCGATTCAGCCAAGTCGTCTGATATGATGAACCACCCGCCAAGCTGTGCCACAACGCGTCCTGTGGTGCTGCGACCGGATATCATGCTAAAAACCGTTCGGGAGACGGATGATATTACAGACGATCGGAAATTCTCAACAATTGAGTCTCACTTGGACGTACTGCGCAGACGTGGCACTGGGATCTTTGAAACTGATCGAGTGATCCGATCATCATGTGCCGAGGCTTATCCGTAGCACGGAGGGGCATGATATATTTTCATCCTAGTGAGGCGGTTCAGTAGCTTCAGCTATCTTGTGTTCGATTACTAACGACTATAGTATCATCATGATCGTGCTTTGGATTAGTTTTCGTTCTGCTATCAGAAATCTCCACCCCCATGACTGGGAATTAGTGTCGGCAGAAGTTTTTGCTAACTTCCAGTGTTCCATCTCTACTGATGCAGTGCTGACGATATATTACCAGGTCGCTTTCCAACAGACTGGAGCGTACGAACAGCCTTGAGTCGTAATCAAATATGTAGTACAAGTTGGTTGCTGATTGTAACCGTCCAGCAGCCGAGTTCCGATACAGGCCACCGTTCTAGGGCCAAAAGTTTTTCCTCTTCGATGTTTGTGGGGGATATCGTGCTCTACATAGTGTCCAATTAAGCTCATATCCAGCCCCACCATCGATTACACGAAGCGCGTCTTAAATTAAGCGTTTATGCCAACCACACAGTAGTATCATTTATGGACCATTGTGAGCTATCGCCGAGGCACTCATCTTGTTTTACGGAGAGGAGATCGCGTAGCCGGATGACACCAAAACACAAGCGAAAGCACGCTGGTGGAATGAGAGGACACTAAGCTTGGTAAGTTGGTATTTCAATTTCGCGACTAGTCACTCTCTGCACAGTGCGGAGTCTCCTGCGTAATACTCCAAGCAAAGTACTGGCACAGTCTCTGAGAAAGCGGAGCGAACTGTTGGCAAGGATGGACTTGAGCTCAGCAGAAAAGGTGCATTCACTTCATTGGTTCAACGTTTGCGGTTGGCTGTTGATGAGGCAGGTGGCGCTGAAAACAAGACGCAAACCGAAGCAAACAGCTATAAGCTATGCGCAACACTATATATACAGTATAGGACCGGCATTTGAGCCAGCACCGTCATTTGAGCCAAACAGCTACCACACAATCAATGTTCGTTTATCAACCTATCGGATAGTGCAGATGTATTGGTAATACATGTATCTTGTATACTGTCGAGTAGAAATGAAAAAAAAAAAACATAATGCATGCATGCTACAGGTCAGAAACATGCCCTCTCTCAGCACCAATCAATGCAGTGAGAAGGAATCATTCAATTATCAATGTCAAAAAGGCTGCCAAATGAAAGATTTATATCCGTAGTATAGTTTCGGTACAATAAAATATGTCTAACATACAACAATGTGCTGCCACTGGGATGCCGGACGAGGGTCTCAAAATCTGTTATCAAAGTGTTTATCGGAACAAGATAGCGAAACTAACCCAATTTGGAATTTTATTTCTGGACTCAAAAACACCATCCTGCAGTATCCAGGCTCGTATTTTTGCACATCTCAATCACGGTTGGACGTCCAAAGTCAGTCGCAAGGAAAAACCAACTTGCTAAGAGCTTGATGTCGACGAGAATGAGCGCGAGAATGCCAGTGATGAGGATGAAGAGGAGTAGCTGGCTAAGGATTGTTACGATAATCGCTTAGATGATAAACTCGCACTCTATAAATCCATATAAGGGCTGGCTCAAGTGGTGAAAAAATTAGATATCAAGACATTCTACTGATTCACGCACTGTGCACGCATCTCTCATTCGATTGCTCTGTAGCGTTGCATTAGCATGGTCGTCATACATCTAAACATGACTGCCAAATCAAAATTTTAATTTATGTACGAGTGTTCACTTGAGACAATCAACAAAATTTACTGGCTCAAATGCCGGTCCTATACTGTATAACTTCTTCATTGCGATTGACAATTCGTTTTCAGCCAAGGCCCACGGGTAGTACAATTGCTCATGATAGGATAGTCGAAATCGTTCTAAACCAGGAATCTGAGCAAAATGGGGGGATATGATTATACGAGGAATCGAGGATCATGAGTATTTCAATCTCGGCGGCTGGTAGTGTATGATATAGTCAGCGAGGTTTCTTTGCATGTAGTACGAGCTGTCAGTGACGTGCTGTCAAAATGTATTTGGGGCCTCCGAGCATTGAGCTGGAGGTTCCGGCTTGCCCTAAACTCCATCTATACGAGCGCCGGTCGCCAGTGCGAGTTGATTCAACTACAAACATACCTACTCTGCACGAGAAATCATGAATTCAACTAAATGCTGGAAAATATGGTTTCGGAGAAACTTGTTGAATACTGCTTCGTTGTTCTTTGGAATCATTGGACCTGTACGGTGTCTCATGTTGTTCGTGAATCACTTTTAAGCGACGCATGACAACTTTGAAGTTCCGTTCATGTGATTGCGTTGGACATATCTCGTCTGCCCTTGCCAGATAGCTAGTTTTTTTCTTGTAGCATGCCAAGGCATCCTCTATGAGCCATCCATCGAGCGGTCTGCCCCACCTCAGGAGCTTGCCATTTTCATATCGAAGACAGATCCAAGTGAGGACACAGATGAACGATTCAGCGTCATGATAGTACAGGTGCTCGACTTGACCTGTGATGGCGTTATGCGTGAAAAGTTTGAGCGACATGAAGGGTACCGTCCCTGTGCGCTCGAAGCCTCTGGGAGCTTCTTTAATCGGAGGCAAAAATTGTTTGATCGACGACAAGTCGAAATCGTTGATAACGCTCAAAAACTGACCATGTAAGCGGTATCCCATGAGATTGCTGGGGTTGATGTCGCCGTGACGTATGCCCTTCTCCAAGAGGGTAGGGTGGTCCGTAGTAGTGAATAGACGACATAGAGCATGAGAAGGCAGGAACACCTACACACCACAGCTTTCCACCACGCAACAAGGAACTCGTTCCCGGTCAGCGTCGTGATTGGGAGAAACTTGCTAGATGTGATGATCAAGACACATCTACGCCGTTCAGCTTCTGTAAGTCCTACTGCTCTTCTAATTTCCGTCGTAGATGTGCCTTTGAACTCGTGGATCCAGAAAATATTTCTACAGTGGCCCTCCACTTCTGTGCCCTTGTTGGGAAGGCACTTGGGCAGAGTGTTGATACATTTGCTGTGCGGGGCGGACTTGTCAATGAGCTCGGCAGAGAATGCAGAGTTACGGAGAGGGGTCTTTGGTGCATTGGTGCCAACATAATTGGCCATGAAGTTATATACGGAGCAAAAAATGAACCAACTTGAGCCGTCTCAGCACTGGCAAAATATGAGAACGTCTAGGAAATCGCCACTCTGGAACCAATCGATGTAAAAGCGAGAAAAATAAGGACTCCGAGATTCTACAGTAGGAGGTAAGCAAAATGAGCGCAGTTTCAATTATTCGGTTCTTTCCGTAGTGTAGTCCGAAACTACTCTTCCACCCTTATATCCAGACTAGCTTATTAGCCAAACCCTGATCCATCATTCAGCTTAGCTATCCACTGTGGTACTGATGGCTTATTTTTGAATGGATCGCTAGACAGTGGCATAGTGGATAGCTAAACTGAATGTCAATGGTTTTTGGCTATTTGGATACCAATATGACCCTGACAGTATGGGCTGCGCAAAGATACTATCTCTTGATTCTCTTCATCTCGGGGGTTGGAACCAATAGGCGCGCCTAGCGTCTCAGCGCACAAATCTCACAGTCAGTCCTACTCTCGCTCAGGCTGTCGAAGTCTATCTCACGATTAGCACAGCTGGCTGCATTAGATGAGGCTCGCCGGCTCTACCACCACTAGACAATCGGAACGCTGTCGACTCGTTTATTTGACAGAGAGAAATTAAGTAGAAATCCGGGCCTGCTGATTGGAAGTGGAGCATGCTAAAATTATAAGGCAGTATCATCGCTAACCAAATAGTCTACTAGTCATTGTATCAACGAGTTCCGCGTACTTAGACGAGGTATCCTTTTTATAGCCCGACTCAGTGGCTGAATGTGACAATGTTGACAATACAGGGATGATGACTTGGGGAAGACAGTTGTTTGTTCCGAACGCCCCAAAAGTAAACAACATTGGTGAGAGAACTCATGCGCCGGTCGTAAAGTCATAAGATCGTCCACATGTCAATCCAGCTTGACGTCGCGTGTTACCTACACTGTTGCTCTAGTAAGCTGGTGTGGGGTCAGACCAGTCAAGCTTTCAAGCTAAGGTCGAGGAGGTAATCTAGGAGCCAGGCAGTAAGCTTGGTCTCATGCCTAGCTGCTGTATCTCAACGTACCACTACCACTTATCGAAGGAAAATAATAAATGTGCTTCGAAGATAACACTGCATGTAGTCGTAGGAATACTACACAATGGGACCAAAGCGCGAAGCGCTCTCCCGCGCACAAATCGAAACACCGAACTACGTAAACATATCCTCCTCACTCACATCCCGCATCCCACACGCCGCCCACGTAACAGCAGCATTCAGATCTTCCACGCCATCATTCCTCGTGCCAACAACCCCATTCACCTCATATACCGACTTCGTGATACCAAGCGTCACTTTAATAGCCGGAGGCCCGGGCGCATACTCCTCGAGTTCCGAATCTAATTTGTCCCTAGCTGCAGTGCCAACTTTCTCATCTCGAGAGATGAGGCGTAAGATGTTCCGTGCGGCAACCTCCGCTTGATAATATGCTGTATGTCCAGCTTTGATCGCGTCGAACGCGTCTGCCGCATCGCCCACGACGAAGATGTACGGGTACAAAGTCTGTTGAGATGAGTAGGGCTCGACCAGGGTGGCCGTGGATGACACGGGTGACGTTGAAGGTATGTCAGCATATGCGATGGATGGCGACAATCGCCATAATTCTGACTGTTCTATCCCTTCTTCCGTATCAGGAGTTAAGTCCATCAACCAATGCAGTACATCATTTTCCCGAAACTTGTGGGGCTCAAAAGAAGGTGGTGGGACGTAAAGCTGCATAGTCCGCAGAACATGTGCCAGTCCAGTGTCTGGGGATACAGCACGGGGGTCCATATCACGAAGGAGCCCTGTATTCGGTGCTTGGCCAGTGCATAGGAGCTAATGACGTGCTCATTTAGCTTAGTGTCGCTCTTCAATCTGAAAAGACCTACCAGAAGGTCGGCGGATATCTCCCGCCCTGATACAGTCCGTACTACACGTGGCTCTGAAGAGCCTTGATCAGTGGATTTGTGTTGGAGTGACTCGAAATCCAGTCGCTCTCCAAGAATAACACATATGTTTAGCTCCTGCAAACCCTGAAGGGCTGAATCATCACTTAGTTGAAATCACTTAATAGAAGACACGCAAAACTAACCTTTTTCGTGCACTGCGTGGTCAAACTTTGGCAATAAACGATGACGGGACTGTAGAAGCGTGACGCGCTTTTGTGGGTATACAGCAGCGATGTCAGATGCGAACTCTATATATGACCATAAAATGCGTCTTCCACGGCATAACGACATGACTTACGAATACCAAGCGCGCCGCCACCTACGACCAACACGGACCTGGCAGCCTCGACACGTTTCTGGCGTTCTCGGAGGGATGAGATACCCTCCAACTTCGTTCCTCCGTACAGTGGAATTTCTAGTGGTTCCAAAGTCGATTTAACTCCACCTTTTTGGTGATTCCAAAGGTCTATTGGCTGGGGTAAGTGGGAGCCGAGAGCATAAATGGCATAGTCAAAGTCTAAGTAAGATTGTTGTGACCCTGGCAGATTCGGAGAGAGGATGATGCGATGATTATCTATGGAGGTGATAGTTGCCTGCACGCGAACATGAGATGAACATGAAGAAACATCTGAAAGAGAACAAGAAGGGAAGTTATTGTATGGAATGACTAATAGGAGGACCATTGGTATCAGAGTAGAGCAATGCGGACTGAGTGCACACTTACATGCTTTGTGTTCGTGACCGGCAAGAACAGCATATCTAGAAAAGTTGTAAACATCTAAAAACACAAAATGAATCTTCTTCCAAGCCCGGAAGCAGCAAAGTTCTCACGATTCCTATGTCTTGACAGGCATCAGAAGTTAATGGAATACATTCACTGAAGGCAACGCACGAATTTCTATCTACCAAAACAATTCTCCAGCCCTGCGGGATACCCTGTGCAAGAACTTGAGCAGCTCTTGAGCCTAGAGAGTGATCAGAGGGTCAGTAATTTCAACGCTACTCGTGTTGAACACACCTCCGTAGGAACCGCCCAGGATGACGACCGTCTTTGTAGGGAATGGCGTCGAAGACATATCGGACACCTCTGTTGCAACGGACATGATGCAGGGCTCGGAAGGAAAACAGCTCCAAGTTACCACTTGACAGGCCTTGTATATGTATTATATTGGGTGGGGATCCTTTTGAAAGCCCGGACTATATATTGCGAAGTCGGGACTCACACATCAACGAACCCGTGAACAGACTATAATGTCATATACGATCATTTCCATGTATCTGATGGGGGAGTTTACTTTGCCTTATGAAGGAAAGATGATTTTTAAGTCAACCAGCCACGCTGTCTTACCTTTAGGGAACTGTACGGGTAAAACCCCGGTACCGTGGGCCATACCTGCACGCACGCCCGCTTCAATGGGTACGGGGGTTTTGCTAGGTATGATGCGCTCGTACCCTTATCCGCGAGTATTACATACAGAGGTTATTAGATTAACCATTATAAAAATATAAGATATAGACCGTGAACGAAAACTCACCGAGATTCCAACATCAAGAGGTAAGTGACAGACGCGAGCATGGACGAATGCTCAGATGTGCAAATGGATGCAAATAAATAAGATGATTTATCATAAAAAGCAAGGAGACGGCAATCACACCTATGTGTGTGATCCGTGTGTAAGACTTCAAAACATCATATTATCATTGTCGTCAAGAATGTTCGACGTGCCAAACCACAACGCGATGATGCTGGGAAGTCATGTGGGAGAGGTAGTAGTTGGCTGTAGGGTTGCAGGCCAGCCTATCTGCAAGCCGAAGGAATGATAAACCGCTTCGTTCGAGAATGGCAAGCATTCTATAATCATCAATTAAATTGAATTTGATACTCCAGGCCGTCAAAGAAAACCACGTATGTCCTTGACACGTAAGAGCACTCCGAGTCATTCCTGGAATATCCAGCTGGTATCGACATTGTCAAGCTGTAGTGACCGAAACGTGAGATCTTCTTCTACACCATCGCCATCGACTTCGACATCCAATTGAATGCCCCTCCTTAACTCATACTTGTTCCAGTACATGCACGCATGTTGTAGTGGTGACGTGAGGCAGACAGGAATCGAGGAGAACAAGTCATGGATGTGCCCAGATCGCGGATTCGTGCGGTTCTGTTGTACTTCGAGGGAAATGTAGCAACTGTACTGGTCCATCATTCTGCTGACGTTATGTAGCAAGAGTAATTTGTAAAACTGTGCGCCGTTGGCACATTCGACCGAGTTATTATAGAAAGCACCAAAAATAGTAATTGAGCTTGCACTCACATGACGTCAGCGAGCTCAAATTTCTCAATCAAGTCGCACCGTCAGCAATCACTGGGGAAACGAGAAAATGACCAGAGCCTTAAGCTGTCTGCCTACCGTACTTACTAGTATGGTCTTACGTCGCAAATGTTGTTGTTTATTATTTGATTTCCTAATACGGCGAGTATCGTCTATGTGATTACGGCCCCCGTAAGCAAAGTGTGCCTCTCGTGTAAAACCATCAAGACCCACGAACACTCGGGTACTAATCTAGTATCACATTATTCACATCTAACACACTTCAAGTTGGTCTTGTACTAGCTATTTGTTTCCCGATGATGATGTCTAAACTACTGGAGTGGGCTCTAGTAGTACGTGCGCTGGACTCAACATACGACCCAGAGGCTCTACTAGTAGCAGCCACTGCTCCCCGAGACTCTAACTCTAACCCCAGTGCGGCTACTAAGTCCGCTCCAAACGCTGCCGAACCCTTCTGCCCCTGGCCTCATCCCTAGCGGTCCTCCACTCCACTATCAATACGGTTTTTTCACTAAAAGATCGAATCTGCAACTGGTTTTACCTTCAAAATTGGCAGATTCATTCGCAAAGCGAGTTTGCTTATGATCTGGCTTGGTTCCTCGCCCCAGAAGACCAGCTAAGGCTAGTAAGTCCAATTGAATATTTATTGGTCCTTGTAATCGTGGCATCGTCATCAGATGCTCAACCGGGCGTCACGCGTCGCGGGTCGCGGAGAAGACTACATTTACATAACGTTGGCAGCATGATTTTATACTCGTCAGTACGGCCTCTCCTTTCCCCACGCTGTTTGTTGTTTCTGATCACCTCTCTCCATACTGACAAAACAACGGCGCTATGTCCAACTCGGGGAAATCATCAACTATAGAGTCCTCGCAGGGCATCGACTCTCCATCTGCAAGCAAACATAGATCGTCTTACGTCGACCAGGAAATACCTAGTGAACAAGCCTTTCATCAAACGCATCTTAGTGAATCACCAGATGGAGGAATCAGCGCATGGCTTGCAGTTTTTGCGTAAGTACATATTTATTTGATCGAAATGGTCACCGACGTCTTTGGATTACAGCACCGCATTGATTACATTTTCTACGTAAGTTATTTTCAATTTATTAACCTACTAGTTTGACTCAAGAAATTGTACCAGGTTTGGTTTATTAAATTCATGGGGTGTAAGTCAGGTTTGTCACTACACACTTGCAGTTCCTACTAATTTCTGCCTTTAAGATCTTCCAAGCCTACTATGAGGAAAATCTACTGGTTCACACTCCACCTTCAACCATGTAAGTGCCAAGTTTCTTTGGTGCAATGTTAGGTAAACAACCTCTTGCACTCTCCAGAGCATGGATCGGTTCTACGCAGGCATGTCTAATTCTGGTTATAGAAAGCTTACCAAGCTCATTTGTGCTGCCAGTATGCACTCGTGTACCTTCCGTCTCTTGCAACGGGGAGACTATTTGACTTGGGATACTTCAAAATACCGTTTTTCGCCGCTAGTTGCGTCATCGTCACGTGCACTTTCCTAATTGCGGAATGCACTCAATTCTGGCAGCTCTTCTTGACACAGGGTGTCGGCCTGGGAGTAGGCTGCGGTTTCCTATTTAGTCCTGCAATCGTCATCGTGTCACAATGGTTCTCCAAGAGACGTGGCTTAGCTCTGTCACTCACTACCGTTGGGGCTGCGCTCGGCAGCATCCTGTTTCCTGTAGCGGCACAAAATTTGATTTCGTCAATTGGGTGAGTTCGCTCAATCGTTCGTGAGACAATTCATATACGCTTATACACTTTCAGATTTAGATGGACAGTTCGTGTATTTGGATTCATTCTGATGGTTACAATGGGGACAGCCAACATAGTATGTCGTCAGCACTAAGAACATCTTCGCGACTGACGCGTCTCCCCTAGTTTCTCAAACGGAGACTTCCGCCCATCAACGTTAGCGGGGGACTCTTCAATCTCAAAGCATTTCGCAACAGAGCATATTCCACATATTGTGTTTCAGGAATTGTGATACTTTTAGGTCTTTACACAGGTACGACAAATGAGCTTACTATTGTGGCTCCTGATATCTTGGTTCATCAGAGTTAACATATATCTCTGTGAGCGCTGTAACAATTGGCGTCTCCAAACATTTCTCGTTCTATATAATTGCGATTGCTAATGCGGCATCTATGTTTGGCCGCGTGTCATCTGGACTGTTGGCAGATAAAATTGGTAGGTCTCGACAACTTTGGACTATGCGAATATCAGTTGATATTTGACAGGCGCACTCAATACCATGGCAATTTACACAACTATTACGGGAATCACGACAATCGCTTGGACATTTGCTAAAGACGAAACTCAGCTCATTGCAATAGCCATCATTCATGGGTATGCATTGCATTTTTTCACTGCTAGCTGCGGTTAACTGACCCATCCAGGTTCTCCATCGGAGCATATATATCTCTGTACTCTGCACCTGTTGTGGCAATGGGGAAAATGGAAGACGCGGGGCGTCGAGTGGGGATGTTCATGTCCCTCATTGGTTTCGGAGGCATTGCAGGTCCTCCAATATCAGGTGCAATTTCTACCGCGACAGGAGGCTTTACTGGTGCGGGTTATTATGCAGGCAGGTTTACAACATAGACAATCTTTGAGTGAACACTGACATTTTCCAGGTGGCTGCATTATATTTGGTGTCGCATTGCTACTTGTGGCGCGGTACCTTCACCTCCGACGGCTATGGGGCAAGTTTTGAATGATTGTTTCGTGAGGCGAATCTGCACGTGCTCTTGAATGGCACAGAAGGAGTGGATGCGATATGATTCAAGCGTGGCATCAGTCACTTTCGTTATGAACTAGTGTAGCAATTTAGTTGGTACATAAAAGCTGAGCAAAGGACCTCGAGTTTTCATGTGTATGAGCGCTGGGGATTTGTGTCTGGTTTGTTCACTGGTGACACGCCAAAACGACATGAGACTAAAGAGATAATTTCTATATACCCCAACAGACAAATGAACTGTTAAGATGCGGTGCTGAGAGCTGTCCTAGGGAGTAATGTGCTCAAAGGGCTCACCCTTACAACTCGAATGCACGATGTGACGATCCAATGCGCTCCTGAAGTCATGCATGCAGGTATCGATACTATGTCCCCTGCCAAGTATGTAGGCGAAACCAAGAGAGGTGTGGGATTGCATATTTCAGGGAGCTGGCGTGACTTCAAACCACCTGGGCTTCCCAATAAGTAAGCCATAAGTAATTTACAAGAGGACGGCCGTAAGGTAAGGTCAAGTCAACATCGAGAGAAAATAGTAGACATATTACACCGCATGCGGTCGGTAAGAAGAAATAGTAGTATCATAACAGAATGGGACGCACAAACCAAAACATCAAACTACATGAACATATCCTCCTCGCTCACATCCCGCATTCCACACGATGCCCACATCACAGCAGCATTCAGATCTTCCACACCATTATTCCTCGTGCCCACAACCCCGTCCACCTCATATACCGACTTCGTGATACCAAGCGTCACTTTGATAGCCGGAGGCCCGGGCGCATACTCCTCGAGCTCCGAATCTAATTTGTCGCCAGCTGTAATCCCAACTTTCTCACTTCGAGAGATGAGGCGTAGAATATTCCGTGCGGCAACCTCTGCTTGATAATATGATGTATGTCCAGCTTTAATCGCATCGAACGCGTCTGCCGCATCGCCCACGACGAAGATATTTGGGTACAAAGTCTTTTCGCTTAGATAGGGTTCAACCAGGGTTTCCGTGGATGACGAGGGTGACGTCGTAGGAATGTCGACAGGCGTGATAGATGGCGACGATGGCGACGATTCAGAGTCTGACCCTTCTTCTGTATCAAGAATCAACTTCTTCAAACAGTGTAGTACATCATCTGCTTGAAATTTGTGAAGCTCAAGAGAAGGCGGTGGGACGCAAAGTTGCATAGTCCGCAGAACATGTGCCAATCCAGTGTCTGGGGATACAGCACGAGGGTCCATATCACGAAGGAGCGCCGTGTTCGGTGTTTGACCGGTGCATAGGAGCTGATGACGTGCTTATTTAGCTCGCTGTCGTTCATTAATCTGGAAAGACCTACCAAAAGGTCGGCAGATATCTCTCGCCCTGATACAGTCCGTACTAGACGTGGCTCTGAAGAGCCTTGATTAGTGGATTTGTGTTGGAGTGACTCAAAATCCAGTCGCTCTCCAAGAATAACCCGAACGTTCAGCTCTTGCAAACCCTGAAGGGCTATATCATGGCTGAGTTGAAGTCACTTAATAGAAGACACGCGGCAAAACTAACCTTCTTCATGCACTGCATGGTCAAACTTTGGCAATAAACGATGACGGGAATGCAGAAGCGTGACGCGCTTATGTGGGTATATGGCAGCGATGTCGGTTGCAAACTCTATATATAACAATCAAACGCGTCCTTCGTGGTGTAATGACGTCACTTACGAATACCGAGCGCGCCGCCACCTACAACCAACACGGACCTGGCAGCCTCGACGCGTTTCTGGCGTTCTTGAAGGGATGAGATACCCTCCGACTTCATTCCTCCATATGGTGGTTCCAAACTCGACTTCACATCACCTTCTTTTCGGTGACTCCAAAGGTCTATTGGCTGGGGTAAGTGGGAGCCGAGAGCATAAATGGCATAGTCAAAGTCTAAGTAAGATTGTTGCGATCCTGGCAGATTCGGAGAGAGGATGATGCGATTGTTCTCTATGGAGGTGATAGTTGCCTGCACGCGAACATGAGATGAACATGAAGAAACATCTGAAAGAGAACTAGAAGGGAAGTTATTATTGTATGGAATGACTGATAGTAGGAACATCGGTATCAGAGTAGAGCAATGCGGATTGAGTGCACACTCACATGCTTTATGTTCATGACCAGCAAGGACAGCATATCTAGAAAAGTTGTAAACGTCTAAAACAAGAAGTTAATCTTCTTTGGAACCAAGCTTGAAAGCAGCAAGGTTCTCACGATTCCTATGCCTAGGGACATCATTGGAGGTTAGAAACACACCTACGGAATCCGAAACTGGGACAACGCACGAATTTCTATCTATCAAAATAACCCTCCAAACCCTGTGGCATACTCTCCATAAGAACGTGAGCAGCTCTTGAGCCTGGAGAGTGGTTGGAGAAGAGTCAGTGAGAATCAATTTCAACGCCACTCATGTTGAACACACCTCCGTAGGAACCGCCTAGGACGACAACCGTCTTTGTAGGAAATGACGTCGAAGACATATCGGACACCTCTGTGGCAACGGACATGATGCAGGACTCAGAAGAGAAACAGCTTTAAGTTACTACTTGACAGGCGTTGTACTCAGGCTAGCTGAGTATACAGGTGGGTGTTTGATCTCTTTTGAGCCCTGAGCTTATATATTGTGAAATCGGATCCACAACCACCGGGAGTAGCAGTGCAGAATAACGTACAGTTGCAAAGTGGCCAGGAAACTGCAACCGCAGTGGGTGGGGCTCAGTAAGTACAATCCTCACGCGCACGTGGGGTTGCTGGAAACCAAGCATCATATCATGATATCGATATGGTCTTAATTACCGCCGCGCGTGCGTTGGGTCGAATTAGTTTTCCCGATATCATTTTAACAGTGCGTAGTACATCTATTTCGGATGCAAGCTCTATTGCATGTTCGGATGCTTGAGTATTAACCATATACCCAGTACATACCTCATCACCGCAGTTGGTCACTGCCCCTAGGATTAGATTTGTGGTGGAGGACTTCTCACATGTTGGTCGGGCGCTGATATGTTCTTTGTATGGGAATGTCTTTTTTCCATCTATCTGCTATGCATCAGTGGATCAACGAGTCCGGAAAGACCAACACAGATATTAGGAGAGATTTGAACGTTGCCAGTGAAAGTGACGCTGCATCAGACTATCACTGCTATGCTGAGGTGGAGACATGACCGTCGGCCCTATCCGATACCTGTACCAGTCTGTACCATGATTCTGAACATCCGATCATCTCGCATTCTCTCATTCTCGCATTTTGATAATAATCTTGACGCTTTTGCACGGCGTCTGATCAATACTCCTCCATGCCGTTGTGGAGTCATCGTGCCTTTTACGCAAGTATTAGAGTTTGTTTTCTTGTTGTCCGACTACAATTTCCATCTGGACCAGTGTCTGCTCCTAGTTTAGCATCTATCATCGATTTTTCAGTCGCAAATATGCTGAAAATTTCCCGTGCGCATAGGCTCATGACCAGCCTGGCTAAACTACACACCCCGTCGAGTTGCGAGGCTGTGAAGCACTTAAATAACATTTCAGAAACGTATCAAAGATTGGTTACGAGTCTACTGCGCGCATTCACTTCACGTTATTTTAGTTGATCGAAAATTTGAAGGCCACTTTTGGGATACTTATATTACGCGTGCATGACTGTACTGATGTGACTATGCACCACAGGTTCGTGTTATAATAGGTGACTTCCCGTAGCACTAGGCGGAATAATACTGACCATCATAGACCGGGTTTTGAAATGAGATACTCCAAAACCAAACCGTAGGTCGACGAAATATCATGGATAATATTTTATATCAGTATGAAGTGTTCTACCAGTCCTCGGAGTGAGCGATGCCCAAGGATCAGGCTGCCAGGCGTAAGATGGACGTGCAGCTGTCAGTGCAATCCCCTGTGCAATCCCGTGGTGTCGTTTCCATGTCCAACTTCGGTCGCGACCGTATGGCGCCGTCGTAGTGTATTTCATTTATGGGTATATATATAACTTCAATGAAGTGTAGTATCAAGGAGAGAAAAGACCCGAACTAACGAATGCTCACCATAGGTACTGCGCCGCCACTACTCCTTAATGTCTCTTTTTACATGCCAGGAGCCCGACGGCTGTCGGCCATCATCGTTTCGGGTCCTGACAAAGTCGTCCTACATATACAAAAGGTAGGATTGGAGAAACAAAAATATCTTGAGGGGACTTCCGTATTGATTGCCAGTTGTACCTTGATATTGCAAAGTCAGAAGGTACCGCAATTCCTTGACAAGCGCTAGTGAACTGCCCCGAGGGGACTTTTGCATTAGATGCCAGTTGTCCGCCGTTCATTGATACTGCAAAGCAAGAAGGTACCGCCTTGACAAGCACTGGTGAACATGTTCCGAGGGGACTTTGTATTGAACGGCAGTTGTGCGCCGTTCATTATATTGCAATTTTCAAATAAGGAGGCACCGCTGTCCCTTAGTAGTCGGAGCGCTAGCGTTAGGTCGACTCATCACAAAGCGTCCAAATCTATGCCTATAGACAAGGTGAGTATGCGAAAGTATACGAGGGATGCGTGAAGTGCAGGAGTTTGGCAGTATCGAACCCGTTGGCGCTGGACGATAGAACGCAGATACCGCGGTAAGATTATGTCAGCGGATATCGCTGGTGTCAGTGGTCCTAAAAAGGCAAAGATGCGTTATTTTTGTTTATGGGGTAATACGTTAAACGGGGCAAGCTACTAGTAGTTGACTGTACTAGTACATCTAGCCCATTATCAGTGAGAATGCAATACCTCAGTAGGCTGATGCATCACCAATAGGCAGGGACACATTGGTGGCTCATTTCTCAAACTCAGTTTAAGTAGCCTTGTGGTTTCATCAACATTATCATTTCTCAGATTTGATCGTTCAACAGATAGTCCTTGAATATAGCCTTGCCGAGCAAAACCCTGGGTCTACTAAGTCTGATTGTATGTATCACTGACCCACGAAGGTTACACTTCTTGTGCTTAGTATAATTATATATCTGTGGTTATGAGAACTTAGATAGATAGTTTATTATAAACTGATTCGAAGTTCAATGTAAATAAATGTACAATATATATACTATGATTCGCTAATACTATGTGTCCAATCCGAAAGTCTGCATTTCGGTCCTTCTTTGACTAATCGACACCGCTCGGTAAGTCGGTGTTCCTAGGCTCGGGACCATCTAGGTGTTCCCTACATTACTCATCTATGTTTAAATTACTAAGTCTTTTACTCCTGTGCTCGTACCGTCATCATGAATGTCTAAGTCCAACAATATCAATGTCCGTAATACATCCCTTGAGTATTTTATGTTCCATAACTCTCGGTATAAGCCCAGTGAAATGGTAGGGTAGGGGTCACAGGAATTGATTCGAAGCGGTGATCACACATATAAAAAGTAAACACAACGAACCACAGTATGATTTACATTTATTCACGCCTTGCTACTTTCAGGCACACACAAGCACCAGGAACATCATGATACGCATACAGAGTAAAGGTATATACAATAGCTCACACACCGCACTGTTTCATAAGCTGGGTTACACTGAAACCTCCTGTTGATCCTCACAGTAACTCCTCCTTCCCTTCCACTTCCTCATCTCCCACTTCGTCCTCCAAGCTGCAGGAGGCTGCCTCGTCTTGAGAGTTTTCCCGCTGGACCAGCAGTCTTCTCCATGCAAGCTGTAATGGCCTCCAAGCCAAAGTGCCCGGATCATCCTCGCCGTGTTGAAAGGGACAATACTGGAGATCGACTAGATTTGGGAACACCACAGCCAGTAAGAGGAGAAAATGCGATGCATCCGACACCCTCGAGCATCCGACATGCAGCCGGCGGAGGGCTGTCTGTGTGGTCCAAAGTTCCAGATTTCCATCCGGCGCATGGGGAAGTGTCGGAAAATGTATGGCATCGAATGTTAAATGCAGGGATCACAACGACTTGCACCTTGTCGCTAACGAAAGCATCGCAGTAAGGGTGATCTGACCCCTACAGACACAATAGATAAACGATTTTGGGGCAAATTTCAATGTATGAAGATCCGGCCAAGCAACAGCAACATCCTCGATGAACGCGTCGTCAAGGCAGTATTTTCAGATGTTGATGAACTGGACACTGGACAGGCTTCTAAACTGGAGTAAAGGGCGGAAAATGTAGGAATGGAGTTGATTTTCAGGCTCAAGGATGCGAAACATGCGAGACGAATGGCCGAGTCGGACCACACTGATTTCTTTCAGGAATGCAAATGTGTTGCAAGCCGTAGATATAGATTTGATGACTGCGGTGATTTCGGCTGGCGTAGCATCTTCGTAATATGAGATTTCGATGACCGACAATCGTGGCATGGCGATTTGATCAAGGAAAAATATGCAATCTTCCAAGTAGAAGCCAAAGAGATTGAGACGTTTGAGGGTACTCAATTTAAGTGGCATATCGCCTGACGGTTGGGTTTTCATATCTTCTGATCCATATATGCGTAGTGTGAGGGTTTGGAGACATAACAAATGCTGGATATTGGCAATATTTTGCCTCATCAGGTCCATGGGGATTGGGCCAATATCCAATCCATTTAACGTCTTCGGCAACTCAGGTACTATATACTGAGGGAAGTCGAGCTTATTTACCGCCAATTGTCGCAAGCCAGATGCGTCTGTAGAAAGACCACCAAGAAGTTGCTCTAGCTCGTTTCTCCGGACGCTTCGCGGTATGATAAATGTGAGGTTTTCCAATTCAGGCGAGAAGAATTGGCGAAGCAGAGATAAGGAGTCTGAACCAACGTCGAGCGAATCCGGAGACACCGCGTCGAAATGCAATGTGCGCAATTTAGGAAAGAGCGTCGCGGGCGGGAACAGTGCGAAAAGTTGCCGTAGGACCGGGCCACTTAGTGTCGGGGAGCCATAGGTGTACTGCGTGGCAATAAAGGTGCGTATCCTTGCCGCATTGATTTTAACGCGCTCCCATTCCGGGAGGAGCGGTTCGCGTGAAAAAACCTAAAAATTGGAGTACGGTGAGCGCTGTCCTGTCAAGACTCAAAATAGCAGACATCACTCACGATGGTACGATAACGACAGACATTCCAAGTGTCTCGCGGGAGACACTTCACGAGGGGTGTCAAATTGTCCTGTTGATGCCATAGCATGTCAAGAGCATGAGATGAGAACGTGGAGCAGGTCATTGCCATGTTTAGCAAGTCCGACTTGGACTTGACATGTTGCAATATCTCGTAAACGATATCGTTGACTTTAAGAGCGTGATGCATAATTGAGAACTGTTGGTAGCCCTCGACCATTTGGACGATCCTTTATATATGACCAATCCAATCGTATCCACAGACCTACAGGTCTTCAGGTCTTTTGCTGTGGTAGTGTCCAGTTGTGAAGTTCCATAGAGCCATTGAATCGATCGGCCGCTCCGTTGTAGCCAATAGGTGACACAAGAAATTTGTTCACTGGCACTGTGGATGCGGCTATTATTCATCATTGTACAATGGTATGTTTTTCGCTGAATGTGGAGTACTTACAGTACAGCGTTCCCTGCATAATCGCCGAAAGCAAGATAGTAGCCTAAGCGCATAGCTGCCCACGTCAAAGCCTTGGCACCACCCATGGAGAGTAGCTTTAGGACAGATGCTTGAGCACTTGCTTTGCTCACCGCCTTTGGTTATCCGAATCCTCTCAACAATAGCCGAAGAGGTCTACGCCAGCTACTAGAGGTCCAAGCATAGATTCAATGAATTTACAACGGACTCTCGATTCAAGCACTAGTCAAGGCGTCGAGGCTGGTAGAGAATATTTCTTGTAATAATAGCTGGTTAGACGCGTCAAAAACAATATGAATGAACATGCACACCCATCTTAGTCATCTAACGTTCGTCTATTACCTGTTAGGGGAGACTATTCAAATAATCGCACACTGGTATTACTGCCGAGTTGCGAACACATTAGTGACGTTACCAATGCAGCGCTGGACTACCAAACAATCTTGCAGACGGGCCTCATCACTGTTCACGCACATATCGGATGCTGAGTAGCAAGAATTATATCACTGAATCTGCGGGTGGGGATCACGTAGGATATGCAGCATTCTGTTCGCGAACTTGCTACAGAAAGATTCCGAGGGTGGGCGAACCACAAAAGACTCTTCAGCGCCAAAGACTCACTGTTTCCAAGGTAGGTGGAGCACAGTACCGACGTAAGACTTGGCAACTGTCAATGCCTTCAGGAGCGTCAGCAGATGGAATTATGACTTCCATATCTTGCTTTGCGAGGGCTGCAGCCGAATCTTGGGCCATAATAAGGAACAAGCGAACATATTTCGAACACAACACTGCATGCAATCGCTGCGAAGGAACACTATCGTAATGGGATGCTTGAACACACGAAGAGCTCTCCCACCCACAAAACGAAATACGGAACTACGCAAACATATCCTCCTCGCTCACATCCCGCATCCCATACGCCGCCCACATCGCAGCAGCATTCAAGTCTTCCACGCCATCATTCTTCGTACCCACAACCCCGTTCACTTCATATACCGACTTCGTCATACCAAGGGACACTTTGATGGCCGGGGGCCCAGGCGCATACTCCTCGAGCTCCAAATCCAGGTCGTCGCCAGCCGCAATCCCAACTTTCTCATCTCGAGAGATGAGGCGTAGAATATTCCGTGCGGCGACCTCTGCTTGATAATATGATGTATGTCCAGCTTTGATCGCATCGAACGCGTCCGCCGCATCGCCCACGACGAAAATATTTGGGTATAAAGTCTTTTGACATGGGTAGGGTTCTACCAGGGTTTCCGTGGATGACAATGGTGACGTCGAAGGTATGTCGGCATGTGCGATAGATCGCGAGAATGGTGACAATTCTGACTGTCCTATCCTTTCTTCTGTATTAAGAGTTAACTTCTTCAAACAATGCAGTACATCATCTGCGTGAAACTCGAGAGGCTCAAGAGAACGTGGGGGGACGCAAAGTTGCATAGTCCGCAGAACACGCGCCAGCCCAGTGTCTGGGGATACAGCACGATGGTCCATATCACGAAGCAGCTCCGTATTCGGTGCTTGACCAGTGCATAGGAGCTGATGACGTGCTCATTTAGTTCGCTGTCGTTCGTTAATCTGGAAAGACCTACAAGAAGGTCGGCAGATATCTCCAGCCCTGATACAGTCCGTACTACCCGTGGCTCTGAAGAGTCTTGCTTAGTGGATTTGTGTTGGAGTGACTCGAAATCCAGTCGCTCTCCAAGAATAACCCGAACGTTCAGCTCTTGCAAACCCTGAAGGGCTATATCATGGCTGAGTTGAAATCACTTGATTAAAGACACGCGGTAAAACTAACCTTCCTCGTGCATCGCGTCGTCAAACTTCGGCAATAAACGACAACGGGAATGCAGAAGCGTGACGCGCTTTTGTGGGTGTACGGCAGCGATGTCGGATGCAAACTCTATATATATAAGTATCAAACGCGTCTTTCGTGGTATAATGACTTGACTTACGAATACCAAGTGCGCCGCCACCTACGATCAACACAGACCTCGCAGCCTCAACGCGTTTCTGGCGTGTTCGGATGGATGAGATACCCTCCAACTTCGTTCCTCCATACGTTGGTATTTCTGGTGATTCCGAAATCGACGTCACTCCACTTTCTTTTCGGTGACTCCACAGGTCTATTGGGGAGGGCAAGTGGGAGCCGAGAGCATAAATGGCATAGTCAAATTCTAATTCGAAGAACGATTGTCGTGATCCTGGTGGATTTGGAGAGAGAGTGATGCAATGATTGTCTATGGAGGTGATGGTTGCTTGCACCCGAACATGAGACGAACATGAAGAAATGTCTGACAGAGAACTAGAAGGGAAGTTATTGTATGGAATAACTAAGAGCAGAAAAGTCAGTATCTGTGCAGAGTAGAGCATGCGGATTGAATACTGAGCGCACACTTACATGCTTTATGTTCATGACCGGCGAGAACAGCATATCTCGGAAAGTTGTAAACATCTAATACAAAAAATGAATCATCCTCCAAGCAGGAAAGTAACAAAGCTCTCACGATTCATATGTCTGAGGGACATCGGAGGTTAGCGGAAAATACACCCACTGGATCGGAAACTGGGACAACGCACGAGTTTCTGTCTACCAAAACAACTCTCCAACCATTTGGCATACCCTCTGCAAGAACTTGAGCAGCTCTTGAGCCTAAAGGGTAGGGTCAGTGAAAATTAATTTCAATGCCACTCGTGTTGAACACACCTCCGTAGGAACCGCCCAGGACGACGACCGTTCTTGTAGGAGACGTCGACGTCGAGGACGGATGGGATACCTTTTTGGCAACGGACATGATGCAGGATCCGGAAGAGAGGCAATGCCGAATTACTAAAGGTCTGTCAATACGTGAATATATGGTTCGAGCTTATCAGATAACGGAACACCACCGTGAGACAGTATTACTCAGTTTGCTGGTCGGGTTTTCGGCCTCAAGATGGACTATCCTATTGTCCTTTGCCATGTCGTGGAATAGCATGCATCCTCCTACATATGTCCTCCCCGCTGTGTGGCGGCCACGATTTCAAGTTAAGTTCAACTTCATTTCCGATCCGTCCTGCCGCGAACGAATACGCAACTACTAACTCTGCCAGCAAATTTTGACTGCGTGAAATGTAAATCCGATCCAAGTCTTGAGCATCTGGTGTCTTTATCTTGATGCAAAGTCTAAACTGATGGAGCTTAGATGACGTGGAATTGTGTTCTAGTGTCCATCGTATGATTCGTATCTCTCATCTGACGTGGACTATAACTACTGCTAGTATTCTGTGGTCGCTATTATTTCAAGTTGGGTGCACCTTCATCTCCGAGGCATCCCTCTATCAAAGAATCTAGGTGAATACGCAACAGTCTGCCAAATTCTGCGTAAATTCCTAGACCAGACTCAGATTCGGGCACCTGTAAGTGATTTATCATTAATATGTCATGGTTACTCTCATGAATCCACCCAGCTAAGCAGCCAATTGCTTCTGATGTCCCGCTTGTCAGGGAAAACTATGTTGGCATTTTCGGCCTTACTCAGGCTTTTCTTTTCACGACGTGTCTAATACACCGGTCATATAGTGGGGTTATATATCCCCATACGGGGTACGGGTTTCGCCTTCAGTCTTACTTCTATCCCACAGCCGTGTTTTCAAGCCGACTCTTCGCATGCTTATTGACAATTTTCACCCACAAATTACAATCGAAACTTGCAGTATATTGCGTGTGCACACTCTGAAGTTCCCACAGTCAAATGAAAGTTCGGGTGGTACGTATACTTTGGCTTCAAAGCAGTGCAGTGCCAGGCGAACAGACGATGTTGTCTTGCCAGAGCCTCTTTCTGGTTCTGTCATCGTGTCCACGCGGCAGGTTCACTCTAGGTTGGCCCCTGCAGAAGTAGCATAACCATTAATGCGAGATGCTGAGGCTCATTAAAGGGCTCGTCAAGATGCAAATGATTACGATGGAGCCTTTCCCTGTCTGTCTTCGTGTAAAGATAAATGAGACAATATCCGTGAGCAGCGGTCAGCGATACTGACAATGACATCCAGCACGGCGCTTGCGCAATGTGCTCGTTTTTGGGGCTTAAATTAACTGTCGACACGAAGACTATGACCGATGCTACCAATAGGGAAACTATCGGATGCCTATGTTCGCTTTCAGACAACTTAACTGTCTCGTAAATGTGCCAGTAAACGAACCAGATGGAAGAGAGTTCGACTTGAAGCTTCGCGAGGGCGGAGAACGTCGCAGACCACACAGTCTTCATAGCCAAGGAAAAGGAGCACGAAAAACTTGTAGTAAATGTGGATGAAACTCGGATGAGACTAGTACGACATGGTATGTAGATAAGCAGCCATGGAAAAAGAGTATGGGAGAATTAAGTCTAGTGCACGTTCGGGGCGTTATCATTCAGTCTAATTTGCTTAAGTCTAATACAAGCTTAATGGGTCGATACTTTCGATGGCGGCCTTACTATATTCCTTGCAAATTTGTTCGTGACACGCGCTCCGGGAACTCTTGGCATGATGCATATGCATATATGCTGGGCAATCTATGCCTCAAGGAGATTTTCTTTTTCTAATACGGGCAGGCAATTAGAGAGTTTTTACCTGTCCGGCGCATTAGGCATACCAGCATATCATTTGTCGTCATGACTGGCATATGGTATCCCCATCCCACGATTTCTTCTCGAGTTCTACCTACTGTGGTCTGTTGTAATCCTGACAGCCTGCGCCTCTACCACGAGGCAAAGAACAGATGTGGAGCTTAAGGACTCATCTCCAGGAGTGAGTGCCATTCTCGCACCTGCTCACTATTTTCAACGTGTCAAGGGCTTGCTTCCATGGACGTTAGAGCCTTTTAAAAGCACGCACTGTCTCAAAACGTGGATGCATCCCACTCATACAGTAGTAATATGATATATGCGATGCATCGATGTGTCATTGTAGGCTGTGTTAACCTAACATCAATCGACCACGCAGTAAGGGCACGCCTTTGCCATAAGCTTTCCATTCAGATCGCTGAGACAGATTGAAAGAGGAATGGCAGCGCCGCAGCTGCAAAATCAAGAACGATGCCAATTGGCGATGGACGCTGAGAGAAGCTGCCAGGAAAGGCAATATCTACTTGCAACGAAGACATTGCGACAGTTATTACTAGGCAGGCAAAGGTCGAAGGACTGACGGGTACGAAAAAAGGCACCGGGCGGGCGAGGCGAGGGGCGGACAAGGAGATGAACGGACAAGGTTGATAGGCAGCCAGAGTTGAGGCAGAGCATAAAGATGCAGCATTGTAATAATATTGGTGGGATGTCGGGTAGCATGCGGCGCGTTGTCGGGATCGATTGGTTCATATAACTAGACTACATGAATATCAGAGCTACAGCCTGCACAGATTTGGCCCGGACTAGGTATTTCAGAGACGCCCTGGTGAGTCATGACTTCAAACATGCGAGTAACAGTTTTGCACACATACTGCTTGCGCACGAAGGAACGCAGCGCGTTGGCGCGGACGGTCTTTCCAATGACTTGCATGTCATTGCGAGTTGTAGAGGAAGGGCAAAGGTATATCGCAGTGTACCAGTCTCAAGGGGTTTTTAAACCCAACTTCTATATGGTCTAGGGGAGACTAAGTCAGGGGTTCATTTCATAAGATGTCACACGAGATCCATAAGCACCTTGAAAGAAAGCACAAGACTGGGCGTCCAACTGAGCCCAGTCCTAGTGTCGAAAAGACAGTGACCGATTCTTTTAAGCGGCTCTTTGTGCCGTATGATATTGATTTTATCACCATTAGGCACATTCCTCACGCATCCCAATAGTATTTGCAGCGTAAACTGATCATCATACGTAGATGTGAACTTTTGAACAACAACCCTGCAAACGCACCCGGGCCGAAATTTGCGATGGACAGCGGGTGCAGGCTTTCGTATGTCGCATAGATGAGCCTTCGCCTGGTTATGGTAGAGGCAGGTTAGCAGCGAGTACCAGGAGATCTCCGGGTCTGTCTTGTAAGAGATCTATATTACAGATTCGTTTTGCCCCTTCGTCTGACTCTATGAACCTTGATAAGTGCTGGATACGTTAGACGCTCCAATCCCAAATAATCTCTTTGTCGTGGCTAGGGATGGCGGTCGTTGTATCGCTCCCCAGACACATTCGCAAAAGTTGATCAGGGTTGATACTTGACGTGGTCCACCTTGCTCTGAGCCTACACGTGCATTGCTACATATGGAAGAAACGGCACCCCGTACCACAAGTTGGTCCTTGAGTACGTGCATCACACGTGGCGCCATAAGGCACTACAACAGAATCTCTTCTCTAGCAGTGATAGTTGAAGGAAAACAATATCAATGGAGTTACTCTTGAACATTTGATAACAGTAAAAAGTGGGAGACACACAGGTATACATCACGTTTGTTGCTACACACAGTTTGGCACAAGCGCAGGATAGAAGAGCGAGAGAGAAATCTAATATCTGTAACGGGTGGAGTAGTCTAAGGTGACAATGAGCCCAATTACAATCATTATCATATTCAAATACAAACCTTTGGGCGACACAACAAGACCACGGCCCTTGGAGGCTCCGCGGTAAACAGTTTCGATGATGTCAATCAGCTGGGATGGGACACGTCAATAATGTGGGCCTACAAGACAAATCATAACGTGCTTCCTGTTTGTGATTCATTGCCCAGTTTCTGCAGGCGATGCGATATTTGAGATAGATCAATGTGCAAGGTGGATGCGCCACGTACATCTTGTTGTTGTTACCAGTTCCAAGATCAATCATGATATGTTTGTTACTGATGCGCAATGTTTCAGCTGAGCAATTGGTACTATAACAGGACATCAAACCATACCGATAGAAGAACATGACGGTGCATGGATCGTATAACTCGTACATCTGTGCCATTATGCCACGATCGATAGTTAGCGCGAGTGAAACAAGACCTGTATAATATGCACACCTTGTTGAAGTCCGGGACCTCAGTGATATCTACAAGGTAGATGACTGCAAAGTTCTGCACTTTCTCTGCGACAGAGTAGAGGGTCTCGTCCATCGTCATGCATTGATGGTCCCAGTCGTGGCCAAAGCGGATCACAACGACACGGTCCTCTTCAGATTTGATGGCTTCATCGACATGCCAGCCACTGGGTAAGTGTGGAAGGAAATAGGACATGAGTGAGGATACGTAGAACGGAGCCGCCCGAGTTTCTCGCTATGCAAGATTACTTCGAAATGTTAGCTATGGCATTCTCACATACGTTTCGACACAGGAAAAACGTACAAATTGAATGAGTGGTCAAATCCTAGACGAAATTCTACATTTTATGAACAAATTTGATACTGTAAAAGAAAGTCATTGATTATGTAAGTGAGATTTGAAGTTAAAATGTTAAAGCACGGAAAGTAGTTTTAATTAAGATTTCAATCAAAATGTTCATTATTTTTCTTCAGATCTTGCTGTCGGTTAAATAATTGGGTTTAATTTTATTTACACTAAGCTAATGGGTCGTGTCATTGCAGACGTCATTGCAGACAACATGTTACCCCGTTTGAGTCTAACTCAAATATTTTTCCGACTCAGAATTTGCATGGGATTGCTGACTGTTGGCAGCCGTGGTCAGTGTGCATCCCATGTGTGTACTTGAGTTAGTCTGATCAACTTTTTCAGGCTCCATTCTCCTATGGTGGAGCCAGCTTCTTACCTAGTGGGCAATACAAGTTAGTTTGAGCCTGTCCCCTTTCTAACCTTTCCTGTCGCCTCGCTAGGTGAGTTTTTTTGGGTTAGTTTTAGTTATGGTCCTCTTTCTAACCTTTCCCGTCGCTTCACTAGTTATTTCAAGCACTTTATTAACTTTGTTAACATCGTTCTCCATGTTGGACAATGGACAGTCCTTGCAAACTCAAACTGCTACGTTGACAGAACCATCAGACCAATCCATTGAGACCATATCCGACCTCACATGTATTGCCCAATGCAATGAGCTCGTCAATCAGTACCGGCTCAACCAGAATGGAAAAGCCAATTCAATTCTTGCCATCCGTGAAGTTCTCCTTAAGTCAGAGGCTGTCAGAAGCAGTAGAAATCCCACAGAAGCCCTTGATGTTTTTGTCGGGATTCTCGACAACATTGACTTCGCCAGATCTCAAGCGAGTGAACGAGGACAACAAACTAATAATCAAATCACCGAAGAGGACGCTCAGTGAGAGATTAGGGGATCCAGTATTGATGAAGAGGTGCAAGAAGGAGCAAAGTGCTCCAGAGTTGATTCAGAATCCAAGGCTGAAGACGAACCAAGTATCAAATGAACCAAAACAGTTGATTTCAGCAAACTCCTGTGGTTCAATAGAAGAACATCAGCACTTGCCTCTCTTCCAGAGGATATCCGAGCCACCTACAAACAACTTGAGAACTTTGCTATTGATCCAAAGAGTGTTGTCTCCAACATCTTGTCAACACCAGGATGTCCCCCATTTCCCCTTAGTGAATGGCTCAATGTCGTCCATTGGAAATATGTCGACCTTGGGAAGGTACTCGACTCAGTGTACACCACTGAGTTGGACCCAAAAAAGACTCACGTCATCATGGATAATATTCATGATCTAGCCAATGGTCTCTGAATCTTCAGACATTTGCATCCTTGCGCCAAGCTTCAACTATGGAAGGCGGATGTATCTGAGGCTTACCGTCACATGCTGATGCACCCTTTATGGCAGGTTAAGCAGGTCGTTAGTTTTCAAGGAAAGCGATACATCGACCGTCGGAACGTGTTCGCAGGAAGAGCATCACAGCGCATTTATCACACTTTCATGTCTTTAGTCATTTGGATCGTGGTTTTCAAAATCCTTATACGCTTCTTCTACATTTACGTTGACGACTCCTTTTCTTTCGAAGACAAGCGTTACATGGAGTTTTATGCTCCATATCAAAAATCTCTGCCTTCAAACATGGTCAAACTCCTATGCCTCTGGGACGCGATAGGATTACCGCATGAGGAGAGAAAGCAGGTATATGGGTTGGAGCTTCCTATTATTGGCTTCGATGTCAACCCTAATTTAATGCAGGCTCGCATGTCAGATGAGTCTCGCACTCGCCTTATCCAAGAACTCATTGACTTTGCACAACGTGGTTCACGTCATTCCCTGAAGGATTTCCAGCATTTAGCTGGTTGGCTTAATTGGGCGCTAAATGTCTACCCTTTGCTCCAACCTGGACTCTCAGCTCTTTATGCCAAAACAGCTGGCAAATTAGTGTTGAAAGCTCTTATCTGGGTCAATCGGGACGTCGTCAGAGAACTCGAGTGGGTGATAGGACATTTACGTTCGGCAGAAGGAGTTTTCTTCTTCAAGTCCATTTCTTGGAGTTTTTCAAACCGACCGACTGATGTTCTAAAGGTCTATACTGATGCATCAGGAGTTGGTATGGTGTATTGGTTTCCTGACCTTAATATTGGTTTTCAATCTCATCTACCTGGATCTGCACCCACCGGTACCATCTTCTATTATGAAGCTTTAGCGGTTACGAGCACTCTGTTGGATGCAGCAAATCGTCTGGACCCAGAACACCGTGTTGCGGTGTTTACCGATAATTTGAATACCGTAGCCATGTTCAATTCCTTGGCAGCTCTACCTCCCTACAATTGGCTCCTCATAGAGTCAGTTGACACAGTTTTGTCGACAAAAATCGATTTCCATGTTTTCTTCATGCTGGGAATTCATAACACTGTTGCTGATCATCTATTACGATGGAAAAATGCTGAGGCTATGATCGTTTCACCGGGATTAACCATCTCACCCTTTGAACCCCCTCAGAATACGCTGGGGGCAGCCAGAAAATGATTACATCGTCGATTTGGACCAGGCAACCTTTAAGGGAAGCCTGGTCTTTGGAACACTTATCACACAAGTGTTCTGTGCTCCTCAGTTTGGCACTAGACAGCAGTACATGTCGCACTTACTCCTCACATCTTAATTTGTACCTCACTTTCTGCCACATTCATCATTTACCCATCAATCCTATACCGGACTCGCTATCCTTTTTTGTGACCTTCATGGCACATCATATTCAGCCCCAGTCGGTTGAGGCCTATCTCTCAGGAATAGTCAATCAGCTCGAGCCACACTTCCCTAATGTGCGTCAGGCTCGCGAGTCTCTACTGGTCAAATGTACGCTCTGTGGTGTGCTTAGAACACTTGGACGGCCAGTAGTCTGAAAAGATGCGATACTTCAGGATGACTTGCCTCACGTTCTATCCTCCTTGTCACATCCTCTCACTCACAACGACTTGTTGTGGGTAACACTTCTCCATTGTGGCTTTTACGGCCTGCTTCGTTTAGGAGAATTAGTGGCACCGGATGAATTTGCGTTGAGAGATTATGCCAAATTCTCTCTGTGTACCTCAGTCACATTGTCTCATTCTGATTTCTCTTTTCTGATCCAACGGGACAAAACAGACACGCGGTATGAAGGTAATAAGGTTGTGATCCAGCAAATGTTGGTTGGGTCAGACCCTTTGCCTCTCTTTACACGTTACCTTGCAACCCATGATCAGAAATTCCCTCTTCACCTTATGCTTTGGCTCCAAAGCAATGGTTGAATTCCTATGTGGTCCTGGTTCATCCACAGACTGTGACTCTTCTTTCCTACCTCAGTGGCCGGTCACTCCATCAGGAAATTCTCACATTCCTTAATCTCCTTAATCAGCTTAACCTACTTATCTCAAAACTTGTTTGCTCTCTCTCACATTATTTACCTGGCATATTTCATATTTCTCTAGTGTGAAGCATAATAAAACATATATATCAATATACCTCAACATTTCCTTTCTGAATATATTCAAGTTGAAATGTTGGACAAGTAGATCCACCTTTCAACAAGACACTTAAGTGTATTAAGTCTGTTTAAGGACAAATAAAGTAATGTGAGAATTTCCTGATGTCAATGCGAGCTGGAGGAGCAACCTCTCTCACAGCTGCCGGTGTGTCTCCCGATCGTATTTGCGCAATTGGGAGATGGAATTCTGACACTTGGGAGAGATATGTTAGAAAGAACGTTATGCTCCTTCAAGTGTTATTATTTAATGGAAGAAGCTTACATGATCCTCCCTTCGCAAATGCTTAGCTACGTATTTTTATTTTTTATTCATTTATTTTATTTATTTATTTTCTTTCTTCCCTCCCTTCATATAGTCTTAATAGCGGTCGTTCCTCCATTTTTCTCTCGTCTTTTCTGAGGCACTTTACTTACTCAGAAGTTGTACTTTTAGTCATCAATAGTAGCCGGCTCCTTGGCGTTTAAAGGAGCCGATTTTGGCTATACTTGCACGCTTTCTTAAAATACGGCGAGACCCATTAGCAGTGCCAAAATGGTTTATAAAATGTAGAACTTTACCTGCCATCATGAGGTAATTGATGACATAATGCTTAGTTTGGTGACTCTCGTGCTCAAGACCTCGCCCTCTTTCATAGGGAAACATAATTTGCTATAGAGTGTTCTGTAGCACTCTGTAACACCCTGTAGCATTCTGTAGCACAATCCACTCCGCTGATGTTTGACGCCAGCTGCAATTACTGCAAGTGACATTCATGGAGGGCGAGTCGTCGCGGTGCGGCAACTACCATAGCTACTACCATTTGTTGTCCCTATCCACTTTATTTTCTCCGATGATTCTGCAGACAAGTTCTGGCGACCACCGGCAAGGCCTTCATCAATGCCACTTATACAGTTGCATACCTGCCATACTCCAATTTATCCGACCCGTTCAGAAAGGTTCGGAGTAAGATGATTCAGGTGGGCTCAACCAGCTTGACAACATAATGCACACATATTAACGGTCGATATAGTTACGACGAACGACAGAAACACGAGTGGGACCATATCGACTGTCAATCTATCACATCTTCTATTAAACCAGTTACTACTGGAGACTAGCGACAATCAAATTACTGCAGCATACACTTTCCCCATATTCTCACGGTCTGCTGCTGATTTCTTTGGAGTGTCGTTAGACCTGCCTCTCCCTGGGGCCTCCCCCTTAGCTCCTTAAGAGGTATACGCCGAAGTGAGCACGAGGGACGTATCCACGTTCTCGTCGCTCGACAGAGGATGAATACACTCACTGGTTACTGGTACAAGCTACCGGTGCCAAGTGATTAATGGCTGGGAGTGGCAGGGGGTACTGGGCAAATAAATGTCATTTTCGCTGCTCTCGCTAGCCTGATCAGTGATCACCCTAGTCGCTTTCCACCGCCTAAACGATTATATATCATCGGCAAATGGTGCTTGCACGCAGGATCAATTAACCTTCACCGGCAGTCGTACTTCTCTGGCAGATTTAAGGCCAGGCTGCTTGCTCATACTAATCAACATGTTTCCCTCGTTAGCTCTTGGTTTTCTCCTGGCCGGGATTGCTGCAGTCACTGCAGCCAAAAGTAGCAGCTGCATCGGTACAATCTCGTCTTTGGACGACGTTAGCAATGCCATCGAATGCACGACAGTGAATATCAATGCGTTTACCGTCCCTGGTGGAAAAACATTCAAACTGAAACTGCTGGACGGTACCACTGTCAACGTTTGTGAGCATTATCGGATACTTCGTTTTGCGCATCCCTGATTCTTTTTAGTGGGCGAAATTCAGTTCGGGAACTTTAGCTGGGCCGGTCCCCTATTCCAGGTCAGGTGAGAGCAGGCACTACTACTTCAAGTAGCTCGGAGAACCTGACCAAGGCCGTTTCCACAGCGGGAATGATATTACTTGTACGTGTGTTGAGTAAGGTTGTGGCAATTCCTGATGTTCCCAGTTAATGGAAACAACAAGAAGTGGGATGGTGGAGGGCCTTTCTACTGGGTAATTACGCTGGTTCACTTGCGAGGGTTTCGCTTCGTCTTACATTGTTATAGGATGGTCAAGGCACAAATAGCGGCACACAAAAACCACACCCGATGATGCAGTAAGTCCTTATGACTGTTATACTGCGTTCTTTTTTGACCTTGCTTCTGCTAGAATATCGATCTCGGGCACCTTGAACGTATGCAGTCGAATCGCCAGCCATTCCAGGCAGATAGCTGATCTTTTTATGCAGGAGGTTTATGTTTTAAACTCTCCCGCCCATGCCTTTGCGATCACAAATCCAGGACCACTTACTATCTCTGGTGTCACCGTCAATGATTGTGCGTGCTTGCATGTTATTAGCGGGGTGTCTTATTTTGACGCCAAGAACAGCACTGGGTAACTTTCCTAACTCGAAAAGCGGAAATCGCGCTGCTGGTGAGTGACGCATTCATTCATCGGGCAGTTTTTGAACTTGCTGGTCGAAAAGCACACAACACCGACGGCTTTGATGTTAGCGGTAGTAATATAATCATCAAACATAGGTTTGCCTATCCTTTGTTAATCTATCGACTCACAGACACTTACGGACATTCAGCACTGTCATCAATCAGGTCCGTTCAACGATAGGGCTTCAACGTCTCTTTGCCTACGATGTATATATTTTTGCAGGATGATTGTTTGGCCATCAACAGGGGAACAAATATCACTTTTGCCGACAACTACTGTGAAACCGGTCACGGTATATCCATAGTGAGCCACTTCATCAATTTTGTGAACCAAGTTATTTGAATGTTTGTCGTTTAGGGCTCCATCTCGTCAGATTCCGTTGTCTCTAATATTGAAATTTCCGGAAACCATGTTGTTAGCAGGTGACTACAGCACAAGGGTGAATTAGAGTTGTACTGACACGAGTAGCATGTTCTCGTTCCGTATCAAGACCGACGCATCTGCAACAAACAGTGCAGTACGGAATGTTACATATAGCGTGAGTGGTTTTTGATGATGAGGATGATCGTGGACTAAATTTCTTGTAGGACAATGTTGCGACCAATTGTACTGATTTCGGCGTTTTGATTACACAAGTACGTGTGACTTACCATGCTCTCTTGTTGTCGATCATCCAACATGCTTATAGAGCTATCCCTCCAACCTGGGCACCCCGGGCAACGGAGTCACCATCTCTGTATGTGTTGTCTCAGTTTTTACGTCGACAAAGGGTTTGACGGGATTGTTTTAGGATATCAACTTTCACCATGGCACCACTTCCTTGACGGCCGCCAGCGGTGCTTACAGGGTTGCAGTGAACTGTGGAAGTGGATCGTGTACAGGTACACGAGTTCCAGTTTCTCTCAATCCATTTCTGACAGACAATGACAGGTGACTGGGATTGGTCTGGTTTGAAGACAAGTGGTGGAAAAGTCGGCTCCATCCTTAACAATCATGTCATCTCTGGAATGACTTACTAGTGAAGTGACCCACCGTGTGTTGACATATTGACTGGCTGGCCATTACTTCTCCTGTCGTTACTTCTTGGAAGCTAGTATATAGTGATTCATCATTGTCATTCGACGTCGACTACAATCCGTAATGTCCTGCACTCGTGTTTTCCCTCAGCGTTTATTCCCACTCGCTGAGGTATTTTTTATTCTTGTAGCTCATACCCAGACTCATATTGACTTCGACTAGCTAGACTTATTCGTTGTTCTAGGTACATCGAATTGATAGCGTTTCTTCCCACTCGCCAAGACTCACAGTTTCACTCATTGCCGTAGTCCATCGCAGTGAGAAAACATTAAAGGTCCGTTCTGCTCATATCCGCGATCCTATATTGCCATGGCTGGTAGACCTCGTGGAGAAGGGCCATCAGCGAGGAGAAAGTATCTCTAACGCCTCCCAGGCACGCCTGTAGGTTCTATCCCAAATTCCCTCGATCTAGATAAATAAAAATACAGCGATCTGATCCCTGATAGATCCTCTGCCATCGTTCGTGTATTCCCTCGTACTAATCATGTGCATGATATACTAATCCTCCACCTCATTCTCATTACCTTACTACCATGCTCATTCGTGACAGTCGAGCCATGAGCCCGCGCGATTTATACATCTTCCCTCTCCGTTGCCCGGATGGACGAGAATGCATCTCGGACTAATAAGCCATAAGCCGTCTGGGCTTCAGGTTCATAGTCGCTTCTTCATCATCTGTGTGCCCGTTCCGAATAATTTCGGCTTGCCATTTGGTGCAAGTGTGGGCAGGCGATTCACGTATTCCAGTAGAGATACAACAAGAAATGGATTGGTATACATAAACCTCAATTTAAATATGCTTGGAAACACCATTAAACAAATACTATGACGGATCCTCGACCAAATTTCTCCTCCCTGCAGACCACTCGCCATGTATGTCCCTACACAGTACTGCTAGCCGTTACATGTACATGCTCCTGGAAGACGATCAAATTCATGCTAGTTTCTGCGTCAGAGTTGGCCACGAATTTGGCGTGATACTCTCGAACGCTAAGGATAAGGCGTGGTCCCAGTACAAACATCTGCAAGGCAGATAAAATTTGATTGACACCTTTGAGTGCAAGAACTCCAGTAGAATATGAATTCTGCAGAAACGGTGAGCATTGTTCACACGCAGATGCCAGCGATAGATCAGCGCACAGAGATCTCTGGAGAGAAACCAACAAGCCCGAGGCAAGAGACACAAACAAAGCTGGCACGCGCGGGACTTTAGCAGAAAGCTATGACCACAATTACATGGCAAGCTCACCTTGCAAAATAAAGCACGTGAGATTGTATCAGCACTGTGAAACAGTCCCCGATGTTCGTTCCTGCCGATTGGCCGAGTCTTCGCAGGTCACGGAAGTGTGTCACAGCAACCCAGGCTGAAAGACACAGTGCGAGGACCTCCCAAATAGTGCTGAGCGTCCAAGTCATTGAAGCAAAAAGTTGGACATCCACATCATATACACCATTACACATATATGTGCTAGAGAGTATCAGCTCCTCTGGCATTCTTCCAATGAGCTGTGTTCTTCAAGTTGACGAGTAAGCTCACCTATTCTAACATCCTTGATTGCTATTGCCGCCAAGATCCAGGAGGCAATGGTTACAGCCAGGAACATGATAACAAGGAAGAGAAGCATCTTTCTGGATCCCTGATACATGGCATGTAACCGGGCAATCATGATGACTTGCATCATGTTTCAGTCGAGTCAATATTACAGGTACTGAGCTAGGTAACCCACCACCCATCATGGCACCTACGACCACATTTGTCCCATTTACTGCGTAGCACGCAATAGTGCCTGAAACACCCAGTCAGTGATCAGTCTCACGTATTGGTATCAGACACCGACTCACATCTGTGTAATGATTATGTCGGGCCAGGCTCAATGTTCGGAATCTCACTCACCCCTACATATGAGTGTATATATTGGATAGGAATAAGATGGTTGCGTCATACTCACCACATCTCCCAGCGAGAATGACGGCATATTTTCTGTGTGCCGCTGGTCAGCAGAATGGAACACAACACATATGACACATACGCAGAACATAGGTACTGATCGTCAGAGACGAGCATTAGCACAATCCCAAGTTGTTGGCCTCGACACATACACATAATACAGTATTCCAATATAACGCGTCTGAAACATCTTGGAGTCAGCGCGACTTGTCAGCCACTGCTATAGCACAACATGAGATACGAACAAGCAAATACAGCGCAGTCATGAGAGACCATCGTTGCCTCTGTCGTGAATTCGTTGTATTCTCTTCTCTGCTGCTGATACGGGACTCTCGTCACTTACCCAGATCAGTTCAATCTATGACATCATTGTTAGCGAGTTTGCTGCTCCGGCAATAACGTCGACCTACCTCTTGTCCCAATGTTTAGCGCTGGAAATATTATGAGAAGATCAGCAGCTTTCGAACACTGTCCCTGCTCACCCCAATTGTATACCACCACGACACCAGCGGCAACTGCGAAACCGCAAGTCAATGTTAGATCTAGATATTTTGATGTGACGAACCCATCAAATAGCTTAAAGCAAGATTGAAATTGATTATCGGCCACCAACTGGGATCATTTGAGACTATAGTCATATTCGAGGATGAGTATGGGCGAATGGGGAATGTTGGCGGCGTATAACGATAGTGTTGATGCTAGATATACCCCCGTTTAGCCCTTCTGCCGAAATCTGCATGATGGAGGTGGATCATTAATTCCACCCTTGATCGGGTGAAGTAAGTATTGCGGTAGGGCTGCTCACCAGTCTAGGGTATGTTATGAAAGTTGCACCGTAGCCTGCTTATTCCACGCAAGTTGCAGCTGCACGCATAGCCAAAGTAGGTCATCTCATAGCCCCGTTGTTTCACTATTCCCGATCTAAAATCGGGATGACAGATGCACACGATACTAGACACGATAAATGAGCGATAATAGCATGAAACATAGTAGTATGAGAGACACGGGACCCCCTCGGAGGCCTGTTGGTGTGTTTCAAAAGCGATTAGTAATTACTGCCCCCGGTGTTTACCGAAACTTTAATTGAGCTCCACAACGACTACCCCTCTATGTATGCACGACGCTATGTTCACATCTTCCAATTTATTCCTACCCTTAGTCTTGTATTTATCTCTCAACACGATCAATAGTAAACCTTAGCCTCTGGGTTGGTTGCTAAACCTTCCATATGATTCTAGCTTCATCCTTGGTGGCATGGTGCAAGCGTGCGTTGAAGTACATAGCTATTTCATTGCACAACAAGAATGGGTTTGTCTAGATTTTTCAAATATACTTCGAACTTCAACATTATATATCAAGTCAATACCTGGACGAATCCTGGACCAAATTTCTCATCCTGGCAGACCACTTGGTAAGTATGTCCCTATACAGTACTACTCGTCGATACAAATACATGCTCCTGGAAAACAATTAAATTCATGCTATTTTCTGCGTCAGAGTCAGTGACGAGTTTGGCGTGATATTCTCGGACATGAATGATGAGGCGTGGTCCCAGCACAAACATCTGCACGACCAATAAAATTTGAAGAGCGCCTGGGAGTATCTGACCTCCAATAGAATTTGAAGTCTACAGAAATAATGAGTGATGGTCACATGCAGGTGTGAGTGACACCTTGACATACCCAGATCTCCGTAGAGAGTTTGAGAAGCTGGAGGCAAGAGACACCAAGAAAGCTAACATGTGTGGAACTTGAGCAGACGATGTCACATTCACATTACAAAACTCACCTTGCAAAATAAAACACGTGAGATTTTATCAGCACTGTGAAACAGTCCCCAATGATTAATCCTGTCGATGAGCTGGGTCGTCGCAGGTCACGAAAGTGTTTCACAGCAACCCAGGCTGAAAGACACAGTGCGAGGACCTCCCAAACAGTGCTGAGTATCCAAACCATTGAAGCCAGAAGCCGTTTGTCCCCTTCATATCCATACTCGCATATATACATGCCAGAGACCATCACCTCCTCTTGTTTCGTCCAATGAGCTATGTTCTTCAAGTCAACAAGTAAGCTTACCTGCTACAACATACTTGAGGTCTATTCCTGTGATCACTCCGCAGGCGATGTTGACAGCCAGGAAGATAATAACAAGGAATATAAGCATCATCCTAGATCCCTGATACATGGCATGCAACCGAGCAATCATAATGACTTGCATGATATTTCAATCGAGTTAATATCACTGAGGTATTACAACCAGTTTGGGTTACTCACTGCACAACATGGCAGCTACGACCACATCTGTCCAATATATTACATGGTACGTAATTTTGCCTGAAATACTCAATTAGTGATTAGTCTCGTATTAGTATCAGACGTTCCGACTCACACCTGTGTAGTCATTATGGTGAGCCAAGCTCAATGTTCAAAATCTCACTCACCCCTAAACATGAGAGTATTCATTGAGTAGAAATGAGATAGTTGCGTGATACTCACCACATCTGTCAGCGAGACAAATGGCATGATTCCTGTGTGCCTCCGGTCAGAATAATCAAATACAGTGCATGAGACATAAGTACGCAAGACATCGGCACTTATTGTCAGAGATGAGCTATCAGCACAGTGCCAATTCGTTTGCCTTGACACATACACAGAATATGGTATTCCAATATAGCGTATCTAGAACATTGCCTGTCAGCACTATTGCAAACTACACTATAGCACAATATGAGGTACGAACAAGCAGATATAGCACAGTCATGAAAGACCAGCGTTGCCTCTGTCGCGAATTCGTTGTATTCTGCTGTTTCTTCTCATATGGGACTCTGTCGCTTACCCATATCAGTTCTATCTATGCCATCATTCTTAGCTAGTTGGCTGTTATAGCAATAGTACCTACCTACCTCTTGTCCGAGTGTTAATACTGGAAATACCATGAGTATCTCAGTAGTGTTCGAACGCTATCCTGCTCACCCCAGTCGTACACCACCACGACGCCTGCGGCAACTGCGAAAGCGCATGTCAATGTTAGATCTAGAGATATTGATGACACGAACCCATCCAATAGCTATTAAAAGTATTTGAATTGATTTCTGGCCACCAACTGAGATCATTTGAGACTGCGATCATATTCGAGGGATGGGAATGAGCGAGTGGGGGATGTTGATGGTGTGTAATAATAGTGTTTATATACCATCGTCCAGCGCCTCTATCACCAAATCAGCATGGTGGACGTTGGTAACGTCAGCAGCTTATTTCTAATGCGATTTTGGGGGTGTTTTTGCTACAAAAA